GCGTGGTTCCCCTTGTCAATTATGCATGACGGGAGGTCTGACAAGAACAGCTGTCTAGTCATTCGGATGATACGAAAAACTGAGGTCCCGTGTACACATTGGAATGCACGTGAAAGATCCCTTGACAGTTGGAATTCGATATAAGAGTAGGCCGTAGTGCCGCTGTCCGGGCAAAATTTTCTTCATAGCACACTGTATGGCATATACCCGTTTTCATTAGCCCAGTTCTTCATTCGGAGCAGAACAGTAGGTTAATCCCCATTTCATTCATTCCATTTCCATACCAAGGAATATACATGTAGTTCAAATCAATACCTTGACTCACGATTATGAGATTTCATAACTGATCATTAAGTTCATTCATTTAAATAGGGGTCATTTTCACGTTTGAAATTATGACAAAATATACAATGCTCTTCATTTCCACTCACCTTTTAAGATCATGTATCTGTTGATTCAAGAAATTTCGCCTTTCATCTACGAAACAAAACAAAAACAACACAATATCTACTTATCAGATGAAAAATTTAGTTCAAAAAGGAATATATTCATCCATAACAAAGAATGTTCTATATAGCATCGATCAAAATAAAGTATTGAATTAGTTTGATTTAGTAGGTTATTTTGAACAACCTCCAAGCTAACGAGCCAGCGTCTTACCAACTTAACCATCGGGAAGAGGTAATGTCTGAGTGCAAAGACCTGCATTGTTGATGAAGCGATTTCTTAAACTGCTAATAAGAGGACACAGTCCAGAAAAATGTAGCACAAATAATCGATCTGGTAATTTTGATGACCACAGAGCTTTTATTAAATTTAGTTATATTAAATGTAATTGTTTATTTCAATTAATAGCCAACAGGCTATTTGTAAATTGTTTCAAAGACATTTAGTAAATGAGAGAGAGAGAAGTGGGGTTTAATGTCAAATCGATACAAACTAGGTCATTTCGGGACTAACATATGGTTTCATCTCATTTCAATAATTCTCTTGCGCGTAGGGGTCTATAGCAGTGGGAGGACCCGGAGAAAACCCATGAGGTTGGACAGGCGACCCTACTCCTTGTCGCGTACAACCGGTTTAGTAATTAAACTGGAATATACAGGTCACAATTCTATGGAATAAGATTACTGCTTATTACTTAGCGAGGTTTCTACGAGGCTTCTCTAGTCATTGCTCAGTAATAAGCAGTAATTGTATTCCATAGAATTGTGACCTGTATATAAGCTATTTGTACTCTATAAATTTGGAACACCAAATTCTTAGAGAGAGAAAGAAATGGGGATTAAAATCCACTGACACAAACTAGGTCATTTCGGGACTAACACATGGTTCAATTTTATTTCAATAATGCTTGAGCGTAGGGGTTTTTTAGCAGTGGGGGGGGGGACTCAAACACTACTCCTTGTCACGTACAACCGGGGAATCGAAACCACGCCAGTTGACTCTATCACAGACCTTATTCGACCATCCACCTCCCATCACCACAATTCTCAGTATATGAGTCCAAGTTTCGGCCTATTAACGTTCCTAGACTACTATATATTCTTTGAGATATCCTATACAGGGCCCATTCGAGAGGGAGGAACAGCTGGGACATTTGTCCAGCAGCGCAGAGGGGCCCGGAGGTATGCCATGTAAAGTTTTAAAAAAACAATTTGTTGGTGTAAATTAATAATAAAAAAAAATACAATGTTGCTTGATCGTAAAGTAGGCCTAGAAGATAACCGACAACTTTTCTGAATGTGTGGTGGGTAGGATTAGAATCGGATTCTGTCAGTTCACTTTTTTTTTGGGAAAAATTGCTGGATTAAAAACTATAAGCCCCTTGCCTGGGCCTTAGCGCCCTGAGGACCTGTGTTCGTTCCGTTTGGGGCCATCGTCGCCGTCAGATAATGGTCAGTGTCGCAGCCAGTGATCATGCACGCGGTTATCGATCGCTCAAGGTAGGCTGGCTGGTATCCAACCATTAAAAAACAAAACTGAAGCGAAAATTTGACTTTTTCTTCATGGAAGTTAGGTGCTAAAAATCTCGACGTTTTTCGATATTTTTGCCAACTGCGGGCCCTTTCCGACCAATGTGTTTTAGCAGAGCGATCTCGAGTCTCTCTTGCTGAGTTGCTTGTCCCAGAGCCCGGATGTCCCTGTCGCGAGCACTGATCATAGACAGTACAGTGCTGGGTAATGGAGACTTTCGAAAGATCAAACAGATTTCGGTTTGCTTTACTAATTCTTTACTGTGTCGACACAGGTCTGGAATGCATAACCAATTATATGGTATGGTCTGTATCTATTGATGCAATATTTTGAACGAAGCCAGACTGTCATCACACAAAACATCCAATGACAATGATTGTGTTTTTGACGTCAAATGTCATTTTAAATAGTAAAATATAGAAATGTACCTTTAGTTACCATGGGTGGATCTGAATCTTGAACAGTCTGTAATTAAATAAAAACCAAACATATAGGAAATGGTGATGACATTTACTCTTCTAGCCATTGTTGGGATTACTGTACAGTTTGAATGTCAGATGAACAGAAGATATATACTAAACACAGGCATGGCATATTACCGTTGAGGCCTTGCGTCTGGTGCCCCATACATCAGATGCAGGGCTGAGGTCATGGATTAATGTGGGAAAAAAATAGAGTCTGCTGTAAATAATGTCAATCCTCTCAGTAAGTCTTTTAAGTCAAAACATATGATCAGAAAATATTGATCCCATTGAATTTTAAAAGATTGGTCGCAAGACAATGAAGCATGCCTACTGCAGTAGAGTTATCCATAAAAACTGTCATAATTTTATTTTTTTGTAGGTAATGGTAGCATTTACAATTAATTCAACACTAAACAATATGATCAAGGGCAAACAGCCGATAAAGTAATAACCAGAAATAATTAAAGTTTGGTAGGCTTCTAGTTCTTCCAAGCACAAACAAAACATACTGGGAATCAGATTTTGTTTTTGAAGTAGAATTCAGTGCTAATTAAATTGTAAAATTATAATTCAACTAAAAGTTGAGTTCAACTCACCAATTTTGCTAATTGAATTGGTAGTAAATCATTTACGTCATAATAAATGGACTCAATTGATGAACTTGACATTGTCTTCATGTCTTTCTTTGGTGATCGTTTAAATTTATTTCTAATATTGGATTTAATATTTCTTACGAAATTCATTATAGATTTCCTTTTCTTTTTTCTATAATTGCAGTCTGCCTCAGAACTCTTTTGTTTTGGCATATCTTTATTGTGTTGTTCACCCATTTCTTGATCTGGAATATTTACACTGGATCTTGTTTTACTTTCCGAATATTTTTCATAATGTCTGATTAATTTGGGCAGTGGTTTAGAATCCCTATCACTATAATTTTCCTGTAGCATGTATACATTATCTGGGATTTTAAAATAAGACGTTTTCACAGTTTGTTTTGAATTTGTTATTCTACATTTAGGTCTCGAAATTTTTTTAAAATTATATTTTGGGTGTTTATGACTTAAAACTTTGTCAGAGGATACCTTATAACTACTAGCCTCTCCCAAGTCATAATCTAGAATGCGTACAATTTCTGGAATTTCGTCACTGGGAGTGGGAGGTCTGACAATTTGTTTTAGCTTATGTTTTGGGTGTTCATTAGTTAAAATTTTGCCAGAGATATCCTCATACTCGTTAAAGGTTACCTCGTTCTCGTCAATGTTACAGTACTCATGGTATTTTTGTGATGGAGAACGCGGTCCCGGGTATTTATTAGTCACTTCATTATAGGTTTCCTTGTAATAATCATCATCACAAACTCTTCCCTTTAGAGTAATTAGAGAACTGTTCTTCATACGTCGAGTCGATTCATCTCTTTCATACCCACGTTCTACATCAAATCTTGTATTATTTTTTGTGCGTCTTATACATTTAATATTAATGTAGTCTTCATCATCATCACTATTTTTGGTCCGAAAAGGGTAGGGACTCCCTAACCTTTTCGTATAATTATCATCAGTTTGTTTTACATTATGTTTTGTGTGTTCATTAACAATCAATTCAGGTGATACGTATGCACTTTTCGCCGCGTAATCATTATTTTTGCGTCGTTGAGCAAACTCCACCTCCTTTGTATAATCGTCAGAAGTTTTCACAAATTTCTTTAAATCATGTTTTGGGTGTTCATTAGATAAACTTTGCGACAGGGTTTTCAGAGGAATTGTTTTGTCTGAGAAGGAGATAATTGCTTTGAACAATGGTGACGGCTAAAAAAAAGTAAAAAGCATGTATCTGATATTTCTCAGGAATATTAAAGGGGTTAGGTCTATAATCTTCCTTTTTGAATAAATGTAGTATTGATCTGTAAAAGTTCCTTTGTGAATTTTAGTAGAGAAATCAATGGAAGCCAGAATGAAATCATTCAAACAGGTCAGGTTAGTGAAATTCTGTACACAAATTGTTATGAATTGACAACCTAAACTTCACAATATTAGCCTAAAACCAATCTTGAACACTGTTGTTTAAAGAAGAATCAGCATATTCATGTCATACCTTGTAAGGTTTTCTGAGATAGCTTCTAACAGGTTCATACTCCATGATCTCATCAGCACTTGGACGTTCTTCTGGTGTTTTAATCATCATGCGAGAATTAAGATTAACCAAATCGTTGCTATAGATGTCTGGTATAAAAGGTGGCTGCCATATAAGTATCAAAATAAATAGTAACTAATTTGTTTCATAGGTATTTGTTGATTCAACAAATTATATATTAGTAGATGTCCATACTATAGCATATCATTGTTTTAACTCCATGTCCCATCTTCATTAGCCCAGCCGGAGCCGAACAGTAGGACGTTAAACCTAATTTCATGTCATTTAACTCCATGCAAAGAAATGAAATGAAATGGGGTTTAAAGTAAGCCCTAATGCTCTGTTCTGATTGGGGTAATGCCGATGGCTCCATTATAAGACTGAATCTAATAAGTTTTTTATGGAATAATAACAATATTGCCACTTTAATAAATATTTCTATATTCTGGAATATAGATGTGAGCGTTTATAAAATGTGTTGAGTAATTGTGATCTGATCTGTAAATAATAGCCATATTTCATTCCATCTTATTTATTTCACGCCCATGCACCTGCAGATCTATCGTTAAGATCACGAGATGTAAACGGAGTTAGGGCACGTGATTTTTTCTAAGCATTGTGGGTTAGGTCTAGGCTTAGAGCCAGCCCTGTTAACATCTCGTGACCTTGACGAAATCTGCAAGTGGCCTTAATATTTAGCCTAACCTTATTTCACAGGGATGGTTGTTCAGCTAATGGAATAATTTTATTGTTCACATGACATACAAGGTGTTTCATTGGTTAACAATGAAACTGAATGTATGAGTTAGATGTGCAAATTATTATTAGATAACTTCGTTAAATTAACAACTTTCATTGAATGTGAGCAGAATAATTTGCATTTGTCAGTAAAATTTAATGATTGGACTTACATTTCCTAATACCACTTGAAAAACAATATGCGCATATGATATACCATTGAATGCTCTGTTCGTTGTGGCTAATTCATAGATAACACACCCCAAACTCCACACATCAGTCTAAAATCAGACATCATAATAACCGATTTTAGAACAGAAAATATATTAAATGAGCGGCCTAGAAACCCAATGGCAGACCTTATGATGCAACGCGCAAACGCTAACCATTCGGTCATCCAACCCCTCTCAAGATATAAAGTAAAAAAAAATCACTGCATTGATTCGCAGGAAGTTATTTTGATATTAGAATTAGAGTACTTTACAGAAATGGAATTGATATGAAGGTTAAGTTAAAATGGTTATCTAATCCTTAAGATTCTCTATATTATAATGTGTTTTTTTTTTTAGATACATATTTATATCCGGCGTATATATAACCGATGTGTAAATACACACTATGGTATAATGACCTATAATAATGAAATATTTTTATTCACTATTCACAACTACATGTTCAAGCATGCACATGGAAGTTACAACAATTATACTAATCAAGTAGTAACTATAAGACACTCTATAAAAAGCCATTTAGAACCTCTCGGTGATTAGTCGTAAAAAAGTATAACAAAATGAAATGAAATGAAATGAAATCGGTGATTAGTCGTAAAAATGAATGAATGAATGAAATGGAGTTTTAATACATGTCAGCTCCAACCGGAATATATTGTCCAAACACATAATGCATAATGAACAATGAGACAGGTTAAATTATCTCACAAAACAATAGATTTACATGCATATAAACAAATATCACAAGGGTTTTAAAATAATATATAATTATGCATAAAAATATTAAAATGAAGTGATACATAATATATATATATAAACTAAATTAAAGAAAGACACCAAAATACTCAATTAAAGGACAATATCGGTGCCAGTCATTATCACATATGTGATAGAACTGGTTAAACACGTTCCAAATATTATTTTATCACAGAGATCATTGCTACGATAGATGAGTAATCAATGTTTCAACAATAGGAAGTGACGAACGCAAAACGAAACCACGAGTTATCCCTTTATATAACTGAATGAAGTGACGGGGCGAATTTCTGCTCACTAATAATTTCTTCGAAGACGAAAAGTTGTTGTATGGGACTGTGAAAGGATATCTGACAACCCATAAACAAAATTGACTCTCACTAGATAAAAGAACATGAAAGAAAAATAGAAAAAGTCAGTCCGGACGTCCATCCATAATTTGTTTGTGGACACTATACAGGGCACAATTCTTGTCCGATCTTGTCGTTTCCAATGTAATGTATTATGTTTTATCTTGTATGGTTCTCATACTGTAATTAGCAGATTGTGATGTATTATGTTTTACCTTATATCAAATAGATATTTTTATACGCCCACATTTTCATATGGACGTATATTGTCGTCACTCCTGTCCGTCCGAACGTCCATCCATAATTTGTTTGTGGACACTATACAGGGCACAATTCTTGTCCGATTTTCACGAGACTTAAAATATGGGTTTATCTCCAAAAGATCTAGGTTCCTTTCGATATTGGCATGTATCGGATTGAAACTTCATGAATAATGGCCCCTGATTGTACGAAAAGTCACTTTTTTTTAGCGTATGGACACTCTAGAGGTCACAATTATCATCTGGTTTCTTTCGATATTCGCGCTTATCGCATCTTAACTTTCTGAATTACGACCCTTGATTGTACGAAAAATCTCGTTTTTAGCTTGTGGTCCCTCTAGAGGTCACAATTTGTATCCGATTTAAAAAAAACGTTTTAATATATCACCGTTACGCCCTAATGATGATTGAGTTCGAATTTTCTGAAAATCTGATCGAAACTGCCGGACAAAATGGTCGCCCCTCGTACGCAAACTTTGAGAGAGAGAGAGAGAGAGAGAGAGAGAGAGAGAGAGAGAGAGATGGGTTTTAACGTCCACTCGACACAAACTAGGTCATTTCGGGACTAACATATGATTTAATTTTATTTCAATAATTCGCTTGCGCGTAGTTGTCTTTAGCAGTGGGAGGAAACCGGAGGACCCGGAGAAACCCCACGAGGTTGGACGCAAACTTTGATGAAACTTAAAATATATATCCCAAATATCTCAGTCCATGTCGATATTCGCGCATTTCAGACCATAACTTCATGGATTATGGCCCCTGATTGTATGAAAAATAGCCTTTTTTATTGCTTGTTCTCAATCCACCTCTTGCAAAATATGGGCGTATCTTGCCTGGCAACCGCTGGTTCTCATACTGTAATTAGCAGATTGCAATGTATTATGTTTTACCTTATATTAAAGAGATATTTTTCTCATTCTGTAATTACATGTATCAGATTTTAATAGATTATAATTTACCTTCTATCAAATATTTATTTTTCTCATACTTTTATTTACGGAAGCGTATAGGGGTCATGCAAAATTTTGCTGAAGGTCTCGAGATCCTGCGATCCTATGATACTTTCTCGAAATCCCGTGATCACCTGGTAATTTTCTCGAGATCTCAATCTAATGTTCTCGAAATCCCCTGATAATTTTCCTGAGATATTGACATCCTGTGTAAATTTTCTCGAGAATTCAAGTTAATATTCTCGAAATATTGACATCCTGTGTAAATTTTCTCGAGATCCCGAGTTAATATGAAACCTTATATGATAGTGTCTCCACGTTGTGATGCTTATCTGCGATATCACTTCGGTGGAAGCGTACGTTAAATAAAGCTATTTCACACTCACACACACGTTGTGATGCAACCATTGGCCCAATACTTCGCACCAAATTTGATAAAAAAAATACTCTGACATTTGTTACAAAGGAAAACTGCTAACTAATGAGAAAATAAACGGACAATCGATAGGGTGCCCATGATTTACACTAAATTTGAAATATGATTAAAATCGATAGGGTTCATCGTCTTATGGCCCAAATACTTCACACCAAATATGAAATTCAAAACCCTACCACGTTAGCTTTAATGTGTGAAGCTTTGAATTACAGACATGCATGCTTGTTAAATTATTTCAATTTAATTTTTGGGCGACATTTAATAGAATATGTCATTTTTTGCATGGTTTTCGGGCCATATTTTGTTTTAGAATAAAGCTAGACACAGAGTTTATTGTCTTGTGGCACAAATGCTTCGGAGCAGATTTTAAATCCAAAATTTTGAAAAACTTAGGGCTCTAACGCGTTCACAAGGGAGCGCTGCAAATCAATAAGGTTCATTTTTATACGATTTTGATGAAACCTTAAATTTATACCACAAAGATCTTGGTTCCTTTCGATAATTGCGCATATCCGAACGTAACTTCCTTGATTATGGCCCCTGATTGTTCGAAAAATCGCATTTTTAGGTCGTGGACCCGCTAGAAGTCACAATTTGTATTCAAATTTAAAAAAAAGTTTCACTATATCACCGCTACACATCAATGAAGGTTGAGTTAAACATTCGTTAAATTCTGACCTGCCGGACAAAATGGCTGCTCCTTGTACGCAAATAGTGTAAAAGTATGTAATACCAAGGTTGTGGACCTTCTAGAAGTCGCAATGTTTTTCCGATTTTGATGAAACTTGAAATGTATGACTATAATCCAAAGATCTTGGTTCTTGTCGATATTTGCGCATATCGGACCGTAACTTCTTGGATTATGGCCCCTAATTGTACGAAAAATCACGTTTGTAGCCCCTCTAGAATTCAATATTTTTTTTGTCAGATTTTGATGAAACTTAAAATATATCTTTATATCCCAAATATCTCAGCCCAAATTCGATATTTGCGCATTTCAGATCATAACTACTTGGCTTATGGCTTTTGTAAGGAAAATCGCTTTTTTTTTTTTAGCTTGTTCTCTATCCATCTCTTGCAAAGTGTGGGCGTATCCTTCTTGGCAGCCACTGGTTCATTATAAAATGGCACCCGAATCCATATGATTTGTGTACTGATTATAAAATGTTAATTCAATAGATATTAGGAGTCTAGTTTCACGGCAAGATAACAACATCAATATTGGTTGAAATTGATCAACATTGAATTCTAATTCTTGTTTTTAATTTCGAATATTATGGAAAACATTTTTATTTGTGGTTACATTTAGTTTAATGTATGTTGGAAGAATGATGCGAATATGTTAGCTTTATTTAATGTCAATATTATTATGATCTGTATGATTACCGAATAACATATATATATATATAATTGAAATTGTATTATTGTTTAATAAATGCCTGAAGAGCCGCTATCGCGTTGAGAACGTTAGCATAAAAATGTAGTTTTATTTTGCCGGTGTAACGGTGATATATTCGGTCGGGTTTTTTTTTTTAATCGGATAATAATTATGACCTCCAGAAATAAAAATAAAACGCGATTTATCGTACAATCAGGGGCCATAATTCAGGAAGTTACCCTCCGATATGCGCAAATATCGAAAGGAACCAAGATCTTTGGGTTATAAACATGTGTTACACGCTTTATCAAACTCATATGAAAATTGTGACCTCTAAAGTGTCCACAAGCCTAAAACGTGATTTTTCGTACAATCAGAGACCATAATCCATGAAGTTATAGTCCGATACATGCCAATATCGATATCAACCAACATTACGATGTAACGGTGATATATTTGAACTTTTCTTTTTAAATCGGATATTATTGTGACCTCTAGAAGGACCACAAGCTAAAAACGCGGTGTTTCGTAAAATCAAGGGCCATAATCCAGGAAGTTATGATGCGATATGCGCGAATATCGAAAGAAACCAGGCTCTTTGGGTTCTAAACATGTATTTCAAGTTTCATCAAAATTGGATCAAAATTGTGACCTCTAGCGGGTCCATAACCTTGATATACCATATGTTTACACTATATTTGCGTACGAGGGGCGGCCATTTTGTCAGGCAGTTTTGGTCCGATTTTCACGAAATTCGATCCCAACCAATGATATATTTTTAAATCGTATAATAATTGTGAACTCTAGAGGGACCACAAGCTAAAAACGCGATTTTTCGTACAATCAAGGGCCATAATTTAGGAAGTTATGATCCGATATATGTATCGTAAGACACCAGGATCTTTTAGTTATAAACATGTATTTCAAGTTTCATCAAAATCGGATCAAAATTGTGACCTCTAGAGGGTCCACAACCTTGATACCATATTTTGTCCGGCAGTTTTGGTCCGATTTTCACGAAATTCGAACTCCGCCAACATTACAGTGTAACGGTGATATATTTGAACGATTTTTTTTAAATCGGATAATAATTATGACCTCTAGGTACAAGCAGGGGTCATAATTCAGGAAGTTACTCTCCGATATGCCCAAATATCGAAAGGAACCAAGATCTTTGGGTTATAAACATGCATTACAAGTTTTATCAAAATCAGATAGAAATTGTGACCTCTAGAGTGTCCACAAGCCTAAAACGTGATTTTTGTTCAATCAGAGGCCATAATCCATGAAGTGATGGTCCGATATATGCCAATATCCAAAGGAACCGAGATAGTTGGGATATAGACCTATATTTCAAGTTTCGTCAAAATCGAATAAAATTGTGACCTGTAGAGTGTCCACAAACAAACATGAAAATGTGCGTATAACAAATAAAAACAACAACACAATGTGGAAGTAATTAGTAAAGACTGATTCACAAACGACAAAATAATAATTTTAAAAAAGTCCAGAATACACTAGTACTACGCTTGCATAAACGACTGCCGTTCAATTTGAACTGTTCACGTATTTCACCGAACATAATTGATTAGAAAATACAATATTTTTTTCAAAAACTGAATATAAATTATTTTACATACAATATTACAATAATATGTGCTTTTAGAACCATTTTTGTCTATTTCATGGTTCCAAAGAATAGAGCCATAACCCTTTAATTGTTTTTTTTTATTTCTTTGTGAAGTGGGCATCTGACCCTACCGGTATTTTAAATTGAAGGTTCAAAGATAGAGCTAATGTTGATATATATGTTACTGATTTTTGTCTTCCACTGTTCACAGTAATACCCTACAACAAAACTAAAACTAGTAAACAAATAGACCCACAAAAAACTTTTTGACAGAAATAATCTTTATAATGAAAATAATGCAATAACCCAATCCAAATCAACATTTTATCTCGACCTTAATCAAAAAGGCTTAGCACCAATAATTGCGATGGGGAGGGTTCGTAACCGGTGCACGTTAGATGGTAAGGTCTGTCACTCAGTCAAGTAGCATGGTTTTGAATCGTAGGTGACAATGAGTAGGGTCACCTGTCCAGCTTCCTAGGTTTTTCTTCCGGGTCCTCTGGTTTCCTCTCAACCAAAGACTCCTTACGTGCAAAAGAATTATTGAAATGAAATTGAACAATGTGTTAGTCCTGAAATGCTTGTTTGTATCAAGTGGACCTAAAATACCATCTCTCTCTCTCTCTCTCTCTCTCTCTCTCTCTCATTAAGATTGAGTTTAAAATTGGTGGGGGGGAGAGAATGTTTGAGGTTTAATGGGAGACAGTTCCACATTGACAAAGTTATATAAATAGTATAATATGTATATCATTTCATAGACAATAATAAAGAAGTATCGAATTTGAATACAGCTTTTTTTCCATATTGAAAGCTTCACTCCTTTTTCAGTAGTAATTCAAATAATCGTAGATACAATATAAATGTATGGTACTCTTCATATTTATGCCCCAACAGTTCCCTTAGTTTTTCCTGGAAAGAAAATTAAAATTTAGACATGTTAACAAACTATTATAGCAGTAGCTAACATTAATTATGAGCAGTGCATAAAGGTTATTGCACTATGAATCTTCTGTAAGAAAATAAAACTATCAATGGAAACACGCCAACAGTGAAGCTGATATCCCCCGCCAAAATTCCAAAATAAATTGATGACACGTATTACTTATTTGCACATTTATCTTTTTCAGCAGTATTGAGCAATCAAACTGATTATCTATACTTAGTCTAAGCATAAAATGTTCACGATCAAAATCAGTCAAGGGTTTTAAGTACCTGGTAGTTAAAATATACAATAAGTTTCATCACTATCCATCAGTTAGAATCAAAGTCATCTTGCCCCAGCTTGCCCCAAAGTGTCGAGCAATGAAATTGCTTTACTGGGAAATGATAATCATTGAACTCAGTCAAGACATTCACCTAATGAACATCTAAATCAAATTTAAACATTCTACCTCAATTAAAAGCAGAGTTGTTATGTTTCAAAGTCTTGGCCAATCAAATTACTTATCGCTACTTAGCCTAAACAGAAAATCCTCATCATTGAACTTAGTCAAGGTATTAATATGCTCTCATCCAATTAGAACCTAAGTTATCATGCTCCATGGCCTGAACCCATGAAATTGCTTATCTCTGCTTAGCCTACGTGGAATATGTGCATGATCGAACTCTGTCAAGGCATTCATCTAATAGACACCTTCACCAAGTTTGAACATTCTACCTCAGTTAGAAGGAGAGTTATTGTGTTCCAAAGTCTTGACCAATGAGATTGAAGTCTCTTCTTTGCCTAAGCAGAAAATGCTCAACATTGAACTTTGTTAAGTAAGGTATTGATGCAATAAAACGATACACAAAGTTTCACCACTATCACCCAATTAGAATCAAAGTTGTCGAACTCCAAAGTACCGACCAATCAAATTGCTTATCACTCTCCTTACCCGTAAATGCTCATTATCGAACTTAGTCAAGGTATTGGTGTGACGATACTATACCCAGTTTCATCACTTTCACTTAATTAGAACCAAGGTTATCTGTCCGAAAACATCAATCAATCAAATTGCTTATCTCTGCTTACCCTAAGCAGAAAAGGCTCACCTTTGAACTCCATCAAGGCATTCATCTAATGAACACCTACACCAAGTTTGAACATTCTACCTCAATTAGAAGGAGAGTTATTGTGTTCCTAAATCTCAACCAATCACAATGCTTATGGTTCTGCTTACCCTGAGCAGACAATGCTCATATAATGAAACTATTCACCAAGTTTCATCATTCTCACTTAATTAGAACTAAAGTTATCGTGTCCGAAAGTATCAACCAGTCAAATTGATTATCTCTGCTTACCCTGAGAAGAAACTGCTCATCTTCAAACTCCATCAAGGCATTCACCTAATAAACACCTACACCAAGTTTGAACATTCTAGCTCAATTAGAAGGAGAGTTATTGTGTCCCAAAAAGTGAATTGTGAATTCAATTGGTTCTCTTGTTTCACTAATTTCAACATACACAATTTTAATCAGATAATAACTTTTCACAAGATTTTGCAAATGAGCAGGTATATCCTGAGAAGAAATAAATAGAAGTAACTGAAATTCGATGAACTTAGAACAATCAGATGATGGATAATAAAAGAATGTAGTCTGTAGAGTGTTTACAAGGAATTGTGGATGAGGAATGGACAGAGGTAACAACCATAAACAATTCAAATTCATGTGGGCGTATAAACCTTACAAAAAACTATTTAAACAAACCTCTAAAACTGTTGGGTCAGACGCACTTTCCATTAATCCATAAGCTTTGGTTAATGTTTTTTGTCCGATACCACGTGCGCACATACTGCAATATCAAGAGTGTCATCAATCAGCAAAGACAAATGAAATCGAATGAAATGGAATTTAACATACCGCTGTTCTACCTCAACCAGGCTAATTAAGTGGTAAGAATTATGCATAAAGTTGATGGTTAAAGGTGAATTTCAATACGGTTTCTCCTTATGATTACCCAAACAATCCCAGTAAAATTTCAAAAATTCTCATCTGTAGTGAGTTAAAGGTTTTAATGACAGTGCAGTAACTCTAGATGGATAGATGGAAATTGGTGATGACAAAATCATACAAACAAATCTAACCTTTGAAGATACTGTATCTGCTTGAGAAGGAAATTATTCCTGTCCTCTGAAATAAATCAAATCAATTGTTATGTTGTTTTTCTTTGTTATTTCTAATCCATGTGTTTACATATGCAAAAAGAATTGAAAGGAAATATTTAACAAATGTATGCCAATGAAGGATGGGGTTTTGTTGGGTAGCCCCACTAAAATGCCATGCCACTAATTGTACTCTCAGTAGACCTACTACATGTCCATATCATTTTGTTTATTTTGACTCCTTATGCTTCCTGCACCCACATGAATATATTAACTTAGGTGATAATTTTATAACCTGTATATAAACCGGAACTAGCTCCTAGAGTTGAATCTTGTGTTGACTGCAATGACAAAAAAACCTCAGTTATTCTGATACCTATTCAATCCAAAAGGTTTATTAAATACATTTAAGGATTCCCAAATAAATGAAGTACAATTAAACAAATAGTTAAAAACTATCAATCTAGAAGTACTGTTTAATCACAATGATGAAGTGACATTAAGTTTTCAAGAAAGAGTAAGCACATTTCAGATGTTTTTTATTATGATTTGTGGCATTGTGTTCATAACAGTATAAAATTCAAAATCATATTAACTTACTAGTGACGACATCATACTAAGCAATATGTCTGACATAGTCACGTTTTCGTCCATGGTCGGTTGTTTATCAAAGGTTGGCATTTTCTTCAAAGTTTTACTTGTTTTCTTACGTTTCGGTTCCTTTTTTTCCATGATTGTGCTTAGGGTGCTTGGGTTTCCTATAATTGTATTGCATGCATTATTTAGTTCAGTTATTTGGTTGTTATCCATGTTTTGTGTAGAAAGGACGTCTTTTGGTACACCAATATCTTTACGATACATTTCCTCAGAAACCTTAACTGGTTGTTTTGAACTTCGCAAAGATCCTTGCACCACTGAGGAAGAGTTCATAGATTCTAATAAGGGCAGTGGCTGTAATATAATAAGAAGGGCATAAAAAAGATAAATACTTATTAATTTTCAACTATCTTCACTGATCAACTCTGAATTGGCTTTGTTAGCTCCTTATGAAGCCTCACATTGCTCAGACCAGAGGAAGCTTGAAACGTGTGCCGTAATTCCCAAATAACCGCACTTATATATCCTCGGTGGCCTGCATGTGTATACTTGCAGAATCAACAACCAATGAGAAAAGCTATATTGCATCTAATTGGCCGTACGAAAGGAATTTTGTTTCGAATACTGAAGAATGTTGAGACACCTTCCATAACTATATGCGTCCCATAAACACATTATGCTTATATCTACTAGAAAAAAAAACAAATGCTAAACTAGAGCTGCAATGCATTAATGACGGGTTTCACTGGTGCCACGTAACCCTTGAACTTATGTCACTTCCGGTGCCTCGTTACCCTTGAACTTATGTCATGCAGAATCAACCAAATCCAGCAATATCAATTCCATTTATACATTTGTTACCATGTGTTAGATATGTCAAAAAAGTGATCCTGACAAAATTTATTACTAACTTAGCACTAAGTTAGCTGACTATCTAATGAGAACTTAAAATGTGAAAAAAAAGTCTTAAAAAGTGATCCTGACAAAATTGGTTATTTCTCGACAAAGAAATATGGTCATCTATATGATCGTATTGATCCAATCTATATCTCCATTGGAATCAAATATCATAATGTTAAACGAATAATAAATATAACTCACTTCAAAAAATATTTGTTTTGAAGGCTAAAAATACAGTTTTTGCCAAAACGACATTACTTCTGGTGATAATGAAAATGTTAAATTAGTTCCATGAAATCATAAAAGGCATCAGGCATCACACGGTGAAAATTTTATGAAAATCGAATAATAATTGACACTTTTATAGACCAAAAACCTTGAAAAGTGACTAGTAGAAAATCGTATATTTCTCTGCAACCGTAAAAGTTAGGAACCATTTTGTGGTATCTGTATGATCGTATTGGTTCATTCTATTTGTTGCTTGCAATCAAATGTCATAATTTTAAAAAAATTACAAATCAGACTCATTTGAATAAAATATCTGTTTTGAAGGCTATAAATACAGTTTTTGTCCATATGACGCCATTTCCGGTGACAGTGAAAATGTAAAATTGGATCCACCCTGTCAAAAATGGCATTAGGCATCATATGGTGACAAAAAATAGAAAATCGGATTATAATTAACTCTTTTACAGGCAAAATAACGTGAAAAGTGACTCATGCAAAATTGCCTATTTCTCGGCAACTGCTAATATTAGGCCTACAAACTAATTTTGACATCGTATGGATTAATGCTACAGGTTCGTGAAAGTTGTTAAGAAATATTTTAAAATATGAAAAGCCTGAATGCATTGTAAATAGCTCATTTTTACACCTTTTTTTCAGCTTTAAATCAAAATGATGCAAATGCAAAACCGAAATAAAAAAACAAAACAAAACAAAGCAAGACATATTTTGCGTCTTTAGTATGAGCATTCATCTTGATCTATTAGATTTGTAAACATTAATATTTGCTTTTTAAAAGACCTTTCGACACGTCAAAATTGAAGTTTTGGGCAAAATTACGTCACTTCAGGTGCTGACAGAAACTTTTATAGGTAGAAGTAAGTTGAGAATTTGCACCAGGTGGGCTTTTCTTTTACACAAATCAGGCAATAAATAATTAACCCAGTGAAATTAAAATGCGAAACATCTTAAAAAGTGATCCTGACAAAATTGGTTATTTCTCGGCAGGGGAAGATGTTAGAAACAATTTTGTGATATCAATATGATCGTATTGATTGATACTATTTGTCCATAGGGATCAAATATCATAATTGTACACCAATAATGAATATCGCTTACTTCAAACAATTACTTGTTTTAGAGGCTAAAAATACAATTTTTGCCAAAGTGACGGTACTTCCGGTGACAATGAAAATACCAAATTACTTGTATGAAATCGTAAATGGCATTAGGTATCACACAGTGAAATTTTTTTATGAAAATCAAATAATAATTGACACTTTTATGGACAAAAACCTTGAAAAGTGACCTGCCGAAAATCGCCTATTTCTCCGCAACTGAACAAGTTAGAAACCATTTTGTGATATCTATATGATCGTATCAAAATTGACATTACGCATCAAATGGTGTCACTTTTATGAAAATCCAATAATAATTGGCTCTTTTACAGGCAAAATAGCATAAAAAGTGACTCATGCAAAATTGACCATTTCTCGGCAAATACTCATATTACAAACTAATTTTGACATAGATTCTCTTCATATGGATTAATGCTACAAGTTTATGAAAGTTGTGAAGAAACATTTTAAAATATGAAAAGCCTGAATGGGTTGTAAATAGCTCATTTTTACACCTTTTTTCACCTTTAAATTGAAATGGCGCAAAAACAAAACCAAAATTAAAAAAGGCGAGTCCGAGATTTTTTGCCCCTTTTGTAGGGGCATTTATCTTGATCTATCAGATTTACAAAAATTAACATTTGCTAGTGAAAAGACGTTCCGACTCGACAAAATTGGGTTTTTTAGCAAAATTTTTTAGCAAAGTAGTTTCTGAGATATGCTCAAGTGGAAAAAAAAAATAATAATAACTCGAACTGCGATGCAGTAATGACGGGTTTCACCGGTGCCACGTTACCCTTGAAATTATGTCACATTGTTACCATGTGTTACATATGTCAAAAAAGTGATCCTGACAAAATTTGTTACTAACTTACCGCTAAGTTAGCGGACTTTTAATGGGAAATTTCTCGACAAGGGAAGATGCTAGAAGCAATTTTTGGACATCTATATGATCGTATTGATCCAATCTATATGTCCATTGGAATCAAATATCATGTTAAACGAATGATAAATATAACTCACTTCAAAACAATTTGAAGGCTAATAATACAGTTTTTGCCAAAATTACATTACTTCCGGTGATAATAAAAATGTTACATTAATTCTATGGAATTATAAATGGCATAAGGCCTCACATGGTGAAAATTTTATGATAATCGAATAATAATTGACACTTTTAAAGACCAAAACCTTGAAAAGTGACTTGTAGAATATCGTCTATATCTCTGCAACCCAACAAGTTAGAAACCATTTTGTGATATCTGTATGGTCATATGGGTTTTTGCCCAAATGTCGTCATTTCAGTGGCAGTGAAAAGTTTAAATTGGATTGACCTAGTCAGAGGTGGCATGAGGCATCACATGGTAACAAAAATTGAAAATCGAACGATAATTGACTCTTTTACATGCAAAATAACGTGAAAAGTGACGCATGCAAAATTGCCTATTTCTTGGCAACTGCGCTATTACAATCTAATTTTGACATACATTGTCCTTTTATGGATTAATGCTACAAAACTATGAAAGTTACGTAGAAATAATTTAAAATATGAAAACGATAATGGGTTGTAAATAGCTGATTTTTACTCCTTTTTTTCAACCTGAAATCAAAATGGCGCAAATACAAAACCGATATAAAAAAAAAACCCAAAAACTAAGCCCGACATATTTTGCATTGAAGAAATTAAGATTGTTCCTTAGGAAAGGACCTCCCGACCCGTCAAAATGTAAATTTTAGGCAAAATTACGTCACTTCTGGTGCCGACAGAAAACATTATAGGTAGAAACAAGTTGAGAATTTGCAGCAAGGAGTATATGAGCTTTTGTTTTATACAAATCAGGTAATAAATAATTAATTTAGAACCCATAAACTGTAATAAAAATGCGAAAAGTCTTAAAAAGTGATCCTGACGAAATTGGTTATTTCTTTGCAAGAGAAGATGCTAGAAGCTATTTTTTGACATATTTATGATCGTATTGATCCAATCTACAATCTATATTTCCATTGGAATGAAATATCATAATGTTAAACAAATAGTAAATATAACTCACTTCAGAAAAATATTTGTTTTGAAGGCTAAAAATACAGTTTTTGCTAAAATGACATTACTTCCGGTGAGAATAAAAATGTTAAATTAGTTTTATGAAATCAGAAATGGCATAAGGCATCACATGGTGAAAATTTTATGAAAATTGAATAATAATTGACACTGTTATAGACCAAAAACCTTGAAAAGTGACTAGTAGAAAATCGTCTATTTCTCTGCAACCTTACAAGTTAGAATCCATTTTGTGGTATCTGTATGGTCGTATGGGTTCATACTATTTGTTGATTGAAATAAAAATATCATACTTTTAAACAAATAACATATACGACTCATTTGAAAAAAATATCGGTTTTCTAAAATTCAGTTTTTGCCCAAATGACGTCACTTCCGGTGACAGTAAAGGTGTTAAAATGGTTTAATCTAGTCAAACGTGGCATTCAGCATCAAATCGTGGAAGAAAATTGAAAATTGAATAATAATTAATTCTTGTACAGGCAAAATAGCATGAAATGTGACTCATGCAAAATTGCCTATTTCTCGACAACTGCTAATATTATTACAAACTAATTTTGACATACATTCTCTTTCTATGGGTTATTGCTACGGGGTTATGAAAGTTACGATGAAATATTTTGTTATATGAAGACGGTGGATGGGTTGTAAATAGCTTATTTTTACACCTTTTTTCGCCTTTTAATCTAAATGGCCCAAAAACGAAATCGAAATTAAAAAACTGAGGCTGATTTTTTGTGCGCCTCTACAGGGTGCACCCTTTCAGTTAAATCAGATTTGAAAAAAATGATATTTGCTTTCAAAAAGTTGGACCAAACTGTCAAAATCTGTCAAAATTGTAGTTTTTGCTGATTTTACATCACTTTACCGGTAACAAAAAAATGACATTTTGGACCACGCAGCATATGAACTTTCTTTTGTACAAATCAAATAATAAATTAAATAATTAATCTAGGACTGAAAAACTGAATTAGCCAATGGCGGCCAAGGAAAATTACGGACACAAAAAATGTTGACATTTTTAGTCAAATCGGATAACTCTCCAACCCTGGTTAAAATGCCATATAAAAATATTCATAAATAATAAAGTTTTTGTAAAATTTTAAATTTTTAGAAATTTGGCGCTCAATATCTACGAAGATTCGTCGACAATCAAAAATCAAAAGTAGCACAGCTACGTGCCTTGTATCCGGCTATGTCAAAATGCATCATATGGTAAAATTCGATTGATTATTATTAATACTACGGCATTTTTTTAAAAAACGACAACTTTGGTGATTTCGGACATTTTGCATTGTCACAGAATGCCCAAAATAGCTTTAATCTCTAAGTCACACTCATTTTCCCAATAAAACCGAAGAAATCGTATCGATCCGACATGTAGTTTCTGAGATACAATCAAATTGGAAAAAAAAAAATAATAATAAGAATAATCTTAACAAAAACAATAGTGTTTCACACAAGCTACGCAGTGTGAAACCCTAATAATGGCTATAACTGTAATAAATTAGATTTTAACAGGGAGTAGGGACTAACCGTCCACAGTACTTACAGCATAAGGGTTTCTAAGATAACTTCTTACTGGTTCGCTATCGATGATATCTTGGGCATTTGGCCGATCTTCTGGATCTTTAAGTAGCATATGTAACGTAACTCTAATAAGTTCTTTAGTGTAAGTGTCTGGTATATTTGGTGGCTGTTAAAATTAATGTAAATGCTTTTTAGTGGTTTTTTTTATTTTCCTTAAGAAAAAAATGCTTCTGTCCACTGTCTGTGCACCTTGGGATACAATAAAATCTCATCTTATAGGTAATCTGACTACTTCAATCCATGCTTGTATTTTAATTATTTAAATTATTGACAGACAACAAAGTTTGAAAAACGATAAAAACAAAAGCGGTTGTTATGCAACAGAGAACATTAACTTGATTTGTACAGTAACTCCACAATTTGTTATAGTCATATTATGCAATCCGGAGATTTTGAATGTCGATATGATTCTTTCTTACTTACTTCCATATTAAAAGTGAGGATATAAAGACAACCCGGGAAGTGTTTAATCTTCTTCTAATAGTGAAATTTCAAGATAAGCTGAAATTTCTATTCTCTCATTAAAGACTAATTATTTTTATTTTTCATTAAAAAATAATCAGTTTTAATTTCCATTTTTCCATAAAAAATATTTTTAATTTTTATTAAAAAATAATCATTTTTTTAATTTTTATTAAAAAAATTATCATTTTTAATTTTTATTTAAAAAATTATCATTTTTAATTTTTATTAAAAAAATAATCATTTTTAATTTTTATTAAAAAATAATCATTTTTCATTTTCATTAAAAAATAAACATTTTTCATTTTCATTAAAAATATAATCATTTACTTTTTCATTAAAAACCTAAAAAAAAATTTTTTTTTCATTTAAAAAAAAAGAAATAATTTTCTTTTCATTAAAATATAATCTTTTTCTATTCAATAGAAAAAATTCATAATTTTCTTCTTCATTAAAAAAAATAATTTTCTTTTTCATTAAAAAACAAAGTAATTTTCTTTTCTATTAAAAGAAAAGAAAAAGATTTCTTTTTTTTTTTTCATTAAAAAATTAATCGTTTTCTTTTTCACTAACCTTGTTTGTCATTACATTGAGGATCAAGCCAGGAAGAGTAAAACCACTAAATGCCCTGTTAGTTGTAGCCAATTCATATATAATACAACCCAAACTCCATATATCTGTCTAAAAAAGAGTCAATGTCAATCACTCAAGAATTTAAAAAAAAAACCAGAAGCTCTGAGACAATACCTCTGCTCATTAGGTGCTAGTGCTACATGTTTTCATATAGAAATCTTTACTTCAATGGTCATGGATAGCAACTAGTAGGACAAGTGGTGTCATGTGTTCTTGAAATAACAAGCATGTCCCATCTCTAGCTCTAAGGTCATGGAATCCCACAAAGAGAGCGGTGTTTTGTAAATATGTAATGTAAGCAATGTTCTTGAATGAATGAATGGATGAACTGGTGTTTAATGTCCAACCAGACTAATCAAGTATGGCAGTCACCATTCAGTGTGCCAAAAAGGAAATTTTGCTTGGACAGCTGGATTCCAAATGTCAAGGGCTTCTTGCAGGCCCCCTGTCCTGCACCACTGACAAGCTGAAACCTCGCCGGAAAATCCTGAGGAACTTTCCCTGCCACTCCTGCACCACTGACAAGCAGAAACCACACTGGAAAATCCTGATGAACTTTCTCTGCCAATCCCGTGCCACTGACAAGCTGAGGAACTTTCTCTGTCAATCCTGCACCACTGACAAACAGAAACCATCCCGGAAAATCCTGAGGAATTTTCTCGACCAATTGAGGACCACTGAGCCACCACAGCTCCCAATCAATTTTCTTACCTTCTCATTGTATCCACATCGTGATAAACTTTCTGGACTCATGTAAACAGGTGTACCAACAAATGACATCACTAATGACTCTGTTGGTTTCATAACCCTGCATTAAAATAATATAACTTACTTTGGGGTTAAAAGCAAAACAAGCAGTTGCCATGCAAGATACGACCACATATCGCAAGAGATGTACATAAACTAGGGAAATTCAGTAGGATTTGTCCTCTCATTGAAAAAACTTCTTGGATGAGTTGGATTTTGGTATGTATCATACCTTCTGTTCTGGAGTTACTCCCCCTGTCTTTTACTTAGATATGTTATGAATCAAAAGATCTTTGATGAGTTGGATTTTAATGGCCATCAGATTCTTGTTCTAGAATGAAATATATATGAATTTTGTAGACCCTCTAGAGGTAACAATTTTTGTCCGAACAAATATGTTGCGGATAAAAGATCTGGAATGCGGACATAATCCAGTTAATATTAATATGTCAATTATATATACAAGTACTTACCTGGCTATACCCAAATCACCAAGTTTAATATCAGCCTTATCTGTTAAATAAATGTTGGGTGGTTTTAAATCACGATGTAGGATCCTCTTACCATGTAGGTACTAAAAACAAATAAAATATCATATCATGCTATAAAATGATAGGACAAACTTTCTAAAATGTCCTGTTATGTCAGGACCATATGTTTTAAAGGGTCCTAAATTTATAAATTAAACATTAATATGACTGTGGGCCTGAGCGTGTTCTATTTGGGTTTTCATTGATACAGAGGCTTTGATTTTCACCTTTGTATTTATTATGTGTCATATATATATTTGTATGATATAGATATCATACTCTCATCAATTAATGTGTTAAAATAATAGCCCCAATTAAAGGCGATATTCGGCTAAAATTGCTAATCTTAGATGAGGGCAGTATACGTATAGTACTACTATAAATGAGCAAGTGGAGAATCACTCATAACTTGCTGTCATTTATTCAGGGGTCCCTACCTTCGCTACTATGTTAAGCCAACAAAAAGTCCTGTCCTTCTTGATTTGATGATTCTGTCATATTTTGGTGGATATATATTTGTGATGTTAGTGATTGTAATTCTGATATATTCCATTCTGATTGCATTAGTATATATCTATGCTGTATTCCTTGATGTAGCTTAAACGTATGGACATGATGTTGTCATTCTCCATAAACAGTAAATTTAGATAGCGCATAAGGATAACATTGGAATGTCAGATGAGCTTCAAAATATATCTTACCTTTAATGCATCTGCCATTTGACTCAGCCAGCAAACTATCAGCTTCTCTGGTAAAGTTGGTCTTTTAAAATCTTTTAAAAGGTCTTGAAGATCTCCACCAGAACAATATTCTGTGTATATATATAGATAATCTTCTGTTATATTATAACATTTTAAACTCAAGATATTTGGATGGTCGGTTTTCTTCATCACCTCCACTTCTTTCTCTGTGGCTTCTTTCTCATCTTCGGTTAAATTCTTGAGAGCTATTTCTTTCCTAGCTAACTGTAATGATAAATAACAGCTACTTAAACATTCCTTAAATTTAAGTGAGCCAGCACAGCTACTTAAACATTCCTTAAATTTAAGTGAGCCAGCACCTTACCCATTGAGTCATCGTGGTTCCACAGTACAAAGCATTTACAATACAATAAAATACATAGTCAAAAAACTAAGTCAGGAAGTATTGCATTCAAAAGAAACAAGAACACCTCAGGGCCAAATTGGTGCCATGTTTGTTTAGCTCCATGTTTTTGTATCTGCAGGATGCATTGTGCTCTAAGACTTTACATTGCTAAATGGAACTAAACTATCTACATATCATCTTCTAATGTTGTTTTGGCATTTGTTAATTCTGAAAATTCTTGAAATATATTTTTCATTTATTTATCAGTCTTTGTAGGATACATATGCACGTCGGAACAGTGTGGTTTTTCATCTCAGGTTTTGGGTGATTTTATGCATGGCTCAAAAAGTTTCAGGACATATATGTGCCAGTACATAATCTTTTCAGTGCTAATTACTGAAATATTAAAATGAATTCTACTCGCTCCACTCTGTTGAACCATGGACCCAGGGCCGCACAACCTGAGCTTAATCCAGATAGGCAAATGGGCCGATGGCCATATTTTTTGGGAAAATCGACTGGTTTGACACATTCAATCAAGCCAATATGAGGCCTACAAATTAATATTCAACTGAGTCATTTAACCAGCGGTTGCCAGGCAGGATATGCCTACATTTTGCAAGAGATGGATAGAGAACAAACTAAAAAGAAACAGGATTTTTTGAACAATCAGGGGCAATAATCCAGAAAGTTATGGTCTGAAATGCGCAAATATCAAAAGGGACTGGGATCTTTGGGATATAAAGATGTGTTTTAAGTTTCATCAGAATCGGATAAAAATTGTGACCTCTAGAGGATCCACAACCTTCGTATTGCATACTTTTACACAATTTGCGTACATAGAGCGGCCATTTTGTCGGGCAGTTTCATTTCGATTTCCCCGAAATTCGAATTGAACCATTCATTATGGTGGAATGGTGAAATATTTAAATGGTTTTTAAAATCGGAAAAAAAATTGTGACTTCTAGATAATCCGCAAGCTAAAAATGTGATTTTTCGAACAATCAAAAGCCATAATCCAGGAAGTTACTTCAGATATACGCGATTATCAAAAGGAACCAAGATCTTAGTGTGTAATGGTGATATATTCACATGTTTTTTTAAATCGGATAAAAATTGTGACCTCTACATGGACGGCAAGCTTAAACATGATTTTTCGACATTCAAGGGCCATAATTCAGGAAGTTACGATTCGATACGCACAAATATGGAAAAGTAAGGGAGAGAGAGAGAGAGAGAAATGGGGTTTAATGTCCACTCGACACAAACTAGGTCATTTCGGGACTAACATATGGTTTATTTTTTTTATTTTAATAGTTCGCATGCGCGTAGGGGTCTTTTAGCAGTGAGAAATATCGAAAGGAACCAAGATTTTGGGGTTATAAACATTTATTTCAACTCTCATCAAAATCGGATCAAAATGGTGACCTCTAGGGGCCACAAGCTTGATATACCAGATGCTATACACTATTTGCGTACCAGGGGCGGCCATTTTGTCCGGCAGTTTTGGCCCGATTTTCACAAAATTCGAACTCGATAAACATTACGGTGTAACAGTAATATATTTGAATGTTTTTCTTAAATCGGATAATAATTGTGACCTCTAGAGGGACCACAAGCTAAAAACATGATTTTTCATACAATCAGGGGCCGTAATTCAGGAAGTTACTATCCGGTATGACCGAATATTGAAAGGAACCAACATCCTTGGGTTATAAACATGCATTTCAAGTTTGATCAAAATCAGATCAAAATTGTGACCTCTAGAGGGTCCACAACATTGATATACCAGATGTTTACACTAATTGTTTATGAGGGGCGGCAATTTTGTCCGGCAATATTGGTCCGATTTTCACGAAATTCGAACTCAATCAAAATTAAGGTGTAACGGTGATATATTGAAATTATTTTTAAATTAGATAATAGTTGTGACATCTAGAGGGACCTGAAGCTAAAAACGCAATTTTTTGTACAATCAGGGGCCATAATTCAGGAAGTTACTATCCGATATGCGCGACTATCGAAAGGAACCAAGATCTTTGGGTTATAAACTTACATTTCAAGTTTCATCAAAATCAGAAGAAAATTGTGACCTCTAGAGGGTCCACAACCTTGATATACCATATTTTTACGCTATTTAAAAACGAGGGGCGGCCATTTTGTCTCAGTTTTGGACCAATTTTCACGAAATTCGAACTCAACTCTCTTTAGAGTATAACGGTGATATACTAGAACATTTTTTTAAATCGGATAAAAATCATGACCTCTATAGGGTCCACAAGCTAAAAACGCAATTTTTCATACAATCAGGGGCCATAATTCAGGAAGTTACGGTCCGATATGCGCAAATATCGAAAGGAACAAAGATCTTTGGGTTATAAACTTACATTTCAAGTTTCATCAAATTCAGAAGAAAATTGTGACCTCTAGAGGGTCCACAACCTTGACAAATACCATATTTTTACGCTATTTGAGAACGAGGGGCGGCCATTTTGTCTGTCAGTTTTAAGCCGATTTTCCCGAAATTCGAACTCAACCATCCTTAGGGTATAACGGTGATATACTAAAACTTTTTTTTAAATCAGATAAAATTTATGACCTCTATAGGGTCCACAAGCTAAAAATGCGATTATTAGCACAATCAGGGGCCATAATTCAGAAAGTTACGGTCCGATATGCGCGAATATCAAAAGGATCTGAGATCTTTGGGTTATAAACTTACATTTCAAGTTTCAACAAAATCGGATAAAAATTGTGACATCTATAGGGTCCACAAGCTAAAAGCGTGATTATACATACAATCAGGGGCCATAATCCATGAAGTTACGGTCCGATACATGCCAATATCGAAAGGACCTGATATCTTAGGGAGATAAACCTATATTTCAAGTTTCGTTGAAATCGGATAAAAATTGTAACCTGTAGACTGTGGGCGTATAAAAATTACATAATGCTATGCTTAATAATTACTTTTTGAGCTAACTGCAGGTAATAATTAATTTTGTAATGCAGAGTGTGGCGATTTTTGGATTTAGAAATCGTATTAACGCATCAAAATATTTCCAACTCTTTGATTGTCTTCTAATAATTTCTTTGGTCAAAGTTGTTATGTTTGATTCAATACTATGACAGATTTAGAGACTTTCTCTACGTCCACTTTTGAAAGTTCAAGTTATATAACTGCCTGTATCATACATTCATGCCACAATACAGCCGATTAAGAATAGTTGTCACGCCCATAGCTAGCCAAAAATTGTTGGGGGGGGGGGGCAAAGGCTTTTGGGGGCACCCGTGACAATTCACAGTACTGCGGACACTTCTCTTTTCGGAGAAGGGTCTAGGGCGCTCTCCCCCCAGAAAATTTTGGAAAATAAGGTTTGCACCTGGAACTGACAGACAGGTTCAATTTTGGGGCTGAATTTGCGATATTGGCATACTATGATATTTTAATATAAACATTATACAAATTTGAAGGAAGGCATACGACTTTAACATACTTATAATAATTTATGACAAAAAAAACGAAAAGTTCACAATCGGGTTAGAGTGCGACTTGTTTGAATTTTGAAGATTATCACCCCGCCTTACCAATCTCACTCAGCATTATGGGCGCCCCACCAATTATATTATGGGCACCTATTAGTGGGCGCCTTACCAATCTCACTCGACATTATGGGCACCCCTATGGATGAGGCACCCCACGAATCATGCCCAACCAATCTTATTGACAATCATATATTGTCATTATAAGGCACCCCACCAATCATATCATTAAAGGCGCCCCTCCAGGATAAAATACCTCCCACAGATCAAGCCATTTTGGGCACCCCATCAAGTTGTGTTGTTATTCTGTGAGTCATTAAGAGGTGCCTCATAAAACCAAGTGACATTGGTTGTGTGCCCCGCCAATCTCGCGGTGAGTGCCCAACCAATGTCAATCAGCTTTATGTAGCGCCCATACAGATATGGGCACGTTGGTTGTTGGCTTTGTATTGCGTCCAATGTATATGAACATTATAAAAATTTGAAGAAAGGGGTACGACTTTAAAGTACCTATAATAATTTATGAGAAAAACGAAAAGTTAGCAATTGGGTTATTCATTCGTGGGCGCCTAACCAATCTCACTCGGCATTATGGGCGCCCCGCCAATTATATGGGGGCCCATGATGTTGTCGTGAGCAACCCACCAATCTCGGCATTATGGCCGCCCCTCCGGGATGAGGCACCTCACCAATTATGCTGTTATGGGCGCCCCATTGATCAAGTCGTGGGCGCCCAACCAATCATACTCGGCATTATGCATTATGTGCGGCCCAACAATCATATGTTGTCATTATAAGGTGCCCCACCAATCATGTCATTATAGGTGCCCCTCCAAGATAAGGCACCCCACAGATCAAGCCATTTTGGGCACCCCATCAAGTTGTGTTGTTATTCGTGTGACTCATTATGAGGTGCCTCACCATTTCAAGGGCGCCTCATATATACTGACATGATTGGCGAGCCGACCATAAAACTAAGTGACATTGGTTGTGTGTCCCGCTAATCTTGTCGTGGGCGCCCAACCAATGTCTCTCAGTTTTATGTAGCCCCCATACAGATATGGGCACGTTGGTTTCGTATTGGGGGAGTCGATTTTTTCCCCAATGGGCAACTTTTGGTGAGCCGACCATAAAACTAAGTGACATTGGTTGTGTGTCCCGCCAATCTTGTCGTGGGCGCTCAACCAATGTCACTTGGTTTTATGTAGCGCCCATAGAGATATGGGCACGTTGGTCGTTGGCTTCGTATTGGGGGAGTCGATTTTTTCCCCAATGGGCAACTTTTTTACTGGGGGACAGCTGCCCCCTTGCCCCCCTGCTAGCTACAGGCCTGGTTGTGAGCTCTTATAGCTGGCAGCACGCGTTATAACTTATACAAGGTTTAGTATAGACTACCTTATCTTTGGTTATTTTGTGTTGTATTAAGTAGACAACTCCAAATGCCCCCTCTCCCAACTTTCCTAAAACATCAAATTCATTGGTATAACGAACTCCAGCAACAGCCATTTCTCCTGTGATCGATTTTAAAAGCAAACTTTAATTTTCCTCTTCCTTTTGCAAATCTATGCTATATCTTCCTACTTTTGGTTTCTATTCTCTAAATAGTGTTGGGTTATATGTAATATCTTCCTGTTTTTGGTTTTCACCCTCACTGTGACGTATAATTGTGACATGTTCAAACATAAATTACTCTGTATATTATAATACAAACATACATACCTATAGTATACACTAGATAATATACATTCAATACAAATCATATTGCTATTTACTGCTTATAGAAATGGAAACAGTCACACCGTCAACTCAAAAGGCCCGGGGCCCTAATGACTTCGTAATTTTCTGAATTCGTGAAGTCGAAAATAATGAATGGCTCCAGCAAAAATCTAATACCTTTTATTTAGGCCCACATGTAATATGAAGATATTGTCGTCACCATTTGCTTCTGAATGCAAGGTCTACATTTTGCCATTTAACTTGATTGTACCGTAACAAAACTTTGTATCTATGAGATCTCTGATACGTTTGAATTTGAACTAGATTCACAAGTTAGTTGTGGAGTTAATGCTAATTAGTCTAAGTGAACTCATTGGGATCTCTTATTTTTTATCTGATTTTAATGAAACTGGATGCCTAAAAATCCACCACTTTTGAATATCTCAATTGAGATAAACACAATAAGTTGACAATTTTGAATGTAACATCATCAGATCTTGAAGTTTCCACGTCAACACACCACAGATCAATTCTCTCAAACACAAAGATTTATTCGAAAGATGGGTATGTTTAAAATAACAATTTTATGGTGCAAACATATGGTATAAAATGTGACTTTTAAAAAGCTAGGATCAGAAATGAAATGGGGTTTAACGTCCTACTGTTTGGCTCCGAACTGGGCTAATGAAGACGGGCATACGCCATACAGTGTGCTATGAGGAAATTTTGCCCGGACACCGGCACTACAGCCTACTCTTATATCGAATTCCAACTGTCAAGGGATCTTTTATGTGCACGCCAATGTGTACACAGGACCTCAGTTTTTCGTCTCATCGGAACGACTAGACAGCTTTTCTTGATAGGTCCTCCATCCTACACCACTGACAAGGGGGAACTACATGCACACCAGAAATCCAGATGAACTTTCTCGGCCAACACCGGAATCGAATACAGGAGTTTCAAGTTGGCAACTAGCATCTTACTGAGAGAGAGAAATGGGGTTTAACTTCCACTCAACACAAACTTGGTCATTTTGGGACTATGATATGGTTCAATTTTTATTTCAATAATTTGCTTGCACGTAGGGTTCTTTAGCATTGGGAGGAAACCTCAGGACCCGGAAAAACTCCATGAGGTTGGACAAGTGACCATACTTCTTGTCACATACAACGGGGAATCGAAACCACGGCCGTTGACTCAATCACAGACCTTATGATACAATGCGCACACGCTAACCATTTGGCCATCCATCCACACACCCCCCCCCTTACTTACTGAGCCACCATGGCTCCCCCATCCGAATGAAGAATATGTGACATGACTAAAAACGAAACTAGCTTGATTCACTTAATCCACACTTATTTTTTCTTCTCTGATTTAGACCATTTTATTTTTTCTTCTCTGATTTAGACCATTATATTTTTTAGTGGATACAAAGATGAATTTTATTATTCTGAATAAATTACAATCTTCTTGTGCCTATGTTTTATTGTAAAACAAAGTTGCTGTATGTGGCCTCCATGGGTTGTTGATTTTCTTGTGTCAGTAAATGTCAAGTGACCATGCCAAACATCACCTTTAAGCTTAATTATATCTCGCCAGCACATCAGCAGCTCTTGATCATTGTGTCTCAGTATATTTATATTTTCAATGGGTATGAGTTTAACATAATTCTGAAATTATTTGTGGGGTTACAAGAATGAAATGGCAGGGCCGGTGGAAGCAATTCTTGATTGGGGGGGCTTTCATCCTAGGTCCTTATAGGCGTGGGTCCAGGGGCCGCAATAACCTGGAGAAAAGAGTACTTGCGACCAAATTATTGGGGGGGGGGATAAAGCCCCCCCTACCCCCCACTCTGCCGGGCCTGAATGGAATCTATGGACAAGTCATTTTGAGACTAACAATGTGAGGGGAATAATGTATATAGCGCTACAAGACAGACAGCTGGATATCTTTAAGTCCAGGATCGGAGCATTCCTGCCCTAGGCAGCCATGTCTATTTTTATGCCGTTTTTAAATAATGTGAACACGCCACAACATGATTTTAACCATGTGCGGGTATGTTCAATACAGAACTGAGAACCCGGCACAAGTGATAAATTGAATTTTATTAACTTCTCAAGTCTAAAGATAGGCAAGAAAGGACTAGTTGTTATATTTATTGTCGGATCAGTAAAGCAGTATTTTAAACAGACTTTCCAAAAACTCAAAGCAGCATTAAGGCCGAATTCTCGAAAATATTCATATATCCATTCTAGACATCACATCCGACATTTTGATTTTGGTTTCCCACCGATCATTGCTAACAAATAGCTCGGGAATTTTTCCTATCATTTTGATGGCTAAGCATCAATCAAATAAGATCAAGTGTATCGTAGTAAATTATGGTGTATGCAAAGAAATATATTAATGTGTATGCTTGGTGAAAATGCATGTAAAAGATCAGAAGAAGAGAAGAAGAAAATGTGTATATGTCGTTGAAGTTAAAGAAAGGAAGCGGAAACGATGTAGAATATTGCGCATATATTATGCGCAGCAGGTGCTTGTTTAGTAGTCTTGGTCTTTTGGTCTCTCGAATTAGAGAAGCGGTGGGTAGCAAATATTTTCGTGCACTGCAGGTTGGTTGTTTTGGCAGTTTTCGAATTATGAACCTGAAATGTCTTTAGAACTTTCTGCACATTGTTAGATACTTCCATCATGAGAAGCCTACAACTTGCCGGATGTTAATGCGATGTGCAACATTTGTTTAGCTATACAAATTCTTTTTTGGGAATTTTCTAATTGTCTCTGTCAGAATCAATCATGCTTCTTATTCATTCATTTTTAAATTCTCTCTTTGTATACCATCGGAGTGCATTTGTCGCGTGGTCTTGGTGTTCAGCGCAAAGCTGGGGGTCACGGTGGCTAAGTGGGAAGACGCTGGCTCTCTAGCCTGGAGGTCGGTACGTGTTCGATCCCTGCATTGGCCGAGAAGTTCACCTAGATTTTCCGGCGTGGTTCCCCTTGTCAGTGATGCAGGATGGAGGGCCTGACAAGGACAGCTCTCTATTCATTCGGATAATACCTAGGTCCCGTGTACACATTGGCGTGCACGTAAAAGATCCCTTGACAGTTGGAATTCGATACAAGAGTAGGCCATAGTGCCGCTGTCCGGGCAAAATTTCCCTCATAGCACACTGTATGGCGTATGCCCGTCTTCTTTAGCCCAGTTCGAAGCAAAACAGTAGGACATTAAACCCCATTTCATTTCATTTTTCACCGCAAAGCTACCACTGAAATTTGCTATAAGCCGAGCAATATTCAGTCTGGATAATCAATCCATTTAACGGAAACTTCCTTATACAGAAACCATTCGGGTGTGTAGCTGTGACGTCATTTCGGAAGCTTGGAATTATCTATCATTTAGGAGTGTAAGTATATGACACATTTAATCATTGATTTTCTTGTATATTATTCGTAATTGGGCGTTTGAATAGGGCACAATACTGCAAATGTTCCACATAAATATTCAATTAACATAGCTTAAACTTAGAAGGGAGATAACGGAGGAAGAAAACACCAAAATTTTGAGGTCTGTTTTTCATGTTTTGACTTCGTTTAGCCATTGCTCAGCCCAGTCTGCTGTCTGATTGGGTTCGTTTGGTTGTTTTAATTTTTTATATACGACCAGACTGTCTGTTGTTATCTGTAGTGTTTTGTTTTAGTGGTCACGATGAGTGTGTGTTATAAAGACTGCTTTGGGAATATATTTGTCGAGAATGTCTACCAGGTCAGTAGACTTGGTCATTGGCCAAGACTAAACAGAATGAGACTGTAAACTGGTGGTACTGTACGTAGACCACCGTCTTGTGAAATGAGTTCATGTTTATTTTGATGAGATTCCTTATTTGAGAACAAAGTCTAAAAGACATTGAACTGGCATATCAATTATGAATGCGAGCTGTTTCGTACTTAGTTCATTCATACCTCACATGAGCCGTTTTCGTACCTTGGTTAATTTCAAGGGAACAAGAGAACTATAAACCCCCTCATTTTGCACCGGAGCTTGGGACTGGCAGAATGGGTTCAATAACGAACACCAGATAAATATTTTTCAATCATTTTTTAACCGCTTTAACAATCACCAATCATTTATCTTCAATAATCACAACTCACTCAGCAGAATGGGTTCAATAATCAACACCAGATTAAAAATAACTAAAGGCAGGTAGCTAGCAGTGGTTTGTTGGGTTTTTTTCAGTCGTTGATTATTTCAATTTATTTCAACAACATACTGGTGTAGGTTTATTTCAGTTTATATCAACTTATTTCAACAATTTGAGGTACAAATCATGTGTGTGTTCATATTCTAGTTCGACAGCCAATTTTATAAATGTATTTTTGTAGTAGCAATTGGATTAGATCAAATTATGTTTCAACTTTATTTCAATTTATTTCTACTTATTTCAACAACATAGGCCTATAGGAAAAGGTACGAATCAACTTGAAGTACATATCAGTTCATGCGTGTGTTCTAATTCTGTATTGGCAGCCATTTTTATAAATTTTGCATAGCAGTTGGATTTTATCAAATTGTTTAATTATGTTTCACTTTTATTTCAATTTATTTCAACAACGTATAGGAAAAGGTATGAATCAATTTGAGGTATGAAGTGAGGTATGAATAAACTAAGTACGAAACCGCCTGCACCGTATCAGAATATTTCATATTTTTGTTACAGAACCAGTTATATAATGAAATGTATTTGTATTTTAGAGGTTGCCATGTATGTAAATTATTAAGCTTATTTGTCCAGCTCTGTGCAAAATCTTTCATTTCTATACTTTAACGTATAGTTTAGATTCCTTCTAAAATAAACAATATGTTGAAATCAGGAATGTCTTCTAAAAGTCACATCTCAATTTGTGGTAAGTCAAATTAAACCCTCTTGTCAGATGACTGATCGAGACGTAAATATTTACATGATTGCTTACGTGTATACGACCCCATAAAACTTTCCTTATGTTCTGATGATGATCCACAGAAAAAAACCAAATACATGTAATACATGTAGTCTTATGTACAACTACATTTTACATGCCTCAAGATATGTGCGTGATTCATGGACACTCTGGAGATCCTCACTCTGGTTGATCGAATCCAAAGCAGTGTTTCAGAATACATCTTGGGCGAAAAAACAAAGTAGTGAAAACCATTTTTGCCATTAGGGTCATGTTTTCTTTTGAATTTAACCGGTACCTATCTAAATGTATGCATACGTAATTTTAGTTTGTTGCTGTGCAGAACATGAGGAATGTATGTGGTTGAGCTGTATACAAATGTACATCAATTCTAAACTCTGTCGTAGAAGATCACTGTCAATACCGGTAGTAAAAAGAATATGATATCGAGAATATTGTAGTTAACCTAAATGATTTGTATAGTAATTATACAAAGTATTTGTCGGTCTATTGTTAATACATTTGTAGATACTTTTGGTTGTATATGGTTGGACTTCAGTCCTAAATTTGATAATTATTTTCAAGACTTATAAATGGTAAAAAATGATTTGTCACAATGTATTGCATACTGTACAATTGGAATGGTAGTTACAGTACAAATCATCTCTTGAAATTCCTTTTATGATAGTTTCTGGTACAATGTGATAATGTTGAAGCCATGTACATGTATAGCGATTCATAATTGAACAATTTCTGTTTTATTATGAATCCATAAATTTGACCAAATTTGTGGTATAAAACGAATCACATTGTATTAAAGTAAATTGTACTTTGTTCTTATGTTGGATTATCTTGTTAAATTTGGAGCCTAACTGAATATGTACATGTATGTATAATATGTATGTTGTAATGTACATGTATCGTGTTGTGACTATAGATAGACACAATACCAAGAAGTAAGCTTATGTAAGAAGAGCAGTTCACAGAAAGTACTGGACAGCACTGTTTCCGCCTTTTCTTCATGCTGAAACTAAACTGAGAAAACAGGGGTCATTTTGTTCTGACTTCTAAGTCATCTTAAATGTGAACTATCTTAGTCTGAATATTGATGATACAGTCATTCATTTCTCCTCAACTGTAAAGAATCACAGGATATTTTTTGATTCATTCTCTCAAGGAAGATCATGTGAGTCATATATGTAGGATTTCGTATTATAATCGGTTCTATTATCAGACACTTGATAACAAGAGGTGCTGTTGCTACTCTAGTTTGGTGCATGATCATATATCAAGGTTTCACTATGGTATGGTATAAACATCCTTGCTGGAATATCACAAGTGCAGCTTAAATGTACCTTCACAGTCGTTGTTGTTTGTACATGTATTTTAGGGGAGAGCCGAAAAAAGCTCCCCTTAACAAATTGAAAAAAATCGCTGCCCTAAAAAAGCTCACCCAGTTTCGATAAGAAGAATGATTTAGAAATTAATTTAAGGAGAGTGATCTGATATTAAGGACTAAAAGAGAGTCATTAGTTGTGTGTATGGGAAATGGTTCTGAAGATCAATAACTGCTTACTGCATGTTATGGGATAATTCCAGGTATGATAATAAACCCCCGATGACTTTGTAAAGGAGAGTGATTTTCAATTTTAAGGAGAGGGAGAAAAAAAACCTTGGTCGACATTCAGGTGAGCGATCGCTTGTCTTAAAAAACAATGACTGCCTTCAGCATATTTACAGAATCGGAGTCCTAAGATTGTTTAAAGGACAAAACAGAGCGCACATTTCTCCTGTGTTAAATTCTCTGCATTGGCTGAGGATATTTGAACACATCCCTGAAGATTACAGTGTTGTCAAGATGTAACATATCAATCAATTGATTCATCTACTCCACTGTACGTATCTCCAGGACTTATTTCATCTCTATGTGAGTATGTGCCTACGTTCAGCTGATCATTTTCTTCTGGATACTCCCAGTCACACATACATGTATATATGTTACAGGTATATTTTAGGCATTGTACACATTGCCTGATTGTAGACATTGACTGTCACATATATAAACTGAAAACTAACTCCTGGTTAGTGAGCCAGCACCTTGTTGCTCCCCACAGAGAAGCAAGCTGAAATAGATTATTGTTTGATCCAGATTCTTTATATCTAGGTTAAACTATTTTATGGGTTACTTAACTACGATTTAAAATCATAATCATACAATGTAGGCTGAACAGGAAGTATACATAAAGATAGTGGTCACTTTGTTATGGATGTGTACACCTACATGTAATTAATAATTAGGAAGCTACAGTACAATGTAATACTCTATTTCTCAGAAATGTATTATTAATAAATGTTACAATGTTCAGATTAATATTGTCCTTTCTCTATCATATTTATATCTAGGCCTACTTAGTACAAGTACACATCTATTAATGTGATTAAGAGAATTCTAAAGAGACAAAGTAAACTATGACCCGCTTTTGAGTTTTAATAACAACTAAGTCTGAACTTGAAAAACAGGTTATACATACTGTACATGTTATATATATATATATATATATATATATGTATGTATGTATGTATGTATGTATGTATGTATGTACATGTCACTATAGTTTATACAATAAGAAGAAAATATAGACTTAGGTGTATGATGTACAACTGTAAATGTATGTACACATAATAACCCAAATCAAAATCAACCGATTGAGACATTTCTCACAACTTGTTTGTATACAGTACATGTATTTCAAATGGGTACATTAGTGAAAATATATACTGGGACTGTACTAAGTGACATGTATAGGTGGGTACATGTATTTCATAATGTCAGATGTAAAATAAGATACTAATTTAAGGACACTATTATTACACATACATGTAGTCAGTATGCAATACATATCTATCTTTCATTTCACTTAGACTATTCATTCACAGCTGACATTTATTTTTAATTGTAGTTTTAATCTTTGATTTGTAATTATATAGACATACTGTAGTTGAGTTTTTTGGGTGTGGTTCATCAAGTGTTATTGAAGTCATTTTCTAGATCAATAAATCAAAATACGTGAAGTTCAGCTTTTCATATCAATCTTTTAAAGTACATGTAGTCCAGAAAATATGTATATTGTATTCCTACAAGGTATTTCATTTGATAGTTGTCTGTATCATGTGGTTCACAAGGTGTTGTGTTTTATCTGATGCTTGTTACTGTAGTTAAATGTTGTGTGTGATACATGTATGTCATCCTACACATACTGTTGTCGGTATATATATATACATCTCTATAATTATTCTTTTTTTCCAGGCATTGTTCATTGAATTGCGATATAATTGTTCGTAAGATACAAAGAGATAAAGATGAGAGAATATAAGATTGTTGTCCTAGGAAGTGGTGGTGTTGGTAAATCAGCTCTAGTAAGTATTCATACAATCATTCACTCACACACAATAACTATTTCATCATTCACAATTAAAGTTATTATTATATTAGGCTTATCAAAAGATGTTATTTCATATTAAAAATTTATAATGATGCATAAAAATAATTATAGGATATATGAAGTAAGGTGTTTGTTTTTGATCAAACATTTTATAAAGAAAATATTAATGGCTTAATCCACCAGAAGGGTAATATGCAATGTTATTATAGTCACAAAATTAAGGGGTGATACATGTAGGTGTTCTTTGGCAATGAAAGATGATTATATAAAAAGACCTACAGGTACATACATGTATAGAGTAGATGCGATGTTGTGATCTGAACAAAACTGCCAGAGTCGAATGTCAAAGAAGTAACGGTTAAAGATAGGTAATACAGACTGATAATCTGCTCATTAGTGTTGGTTTTATTAGGCCTAGACCGTATTTATGTTTTGTCAGTTATTCATTTGTTATGGAATATAATCTTAAACCGACTGAAGATTCATACAGAACTTTATATTCAACATTGAATTAAATCCTTAAATTTATTACTAGGAACTATTAGATATTTATTAGATCATACATGTATATGTCCACACTCTGATATTAAACTATTCCAAATTGATTTAATCCTTTATTTTTTTTTACTGGAAACTATTAGATGTATATATTCACACTCTAATATTAAACATGTACTGTCTTAATTTTTACTGGTAACTATTAGATATATCGTCGCCCCTATCCATCTGGACGTCCGTCCGTCCACAATTTTTATTCAATTTTGACGAAACTTAAAATATAGGTCTTATCTCCCAAAGATCTCCTTTCGATATTGGCATATATCGGACCATAACTTTATGGATTATGACCCCTGATTGTACGGAAAATCACGTTTTTAGCTTGTGGACACTCGATGGGTCACAATTTTCATCTGATTTTGATGAAACTTGAAATGCATGTTTATAACCCAAAGATCTTGGTTCCTTTCGATATTTGCACATATCTGATTGTACGAAAAATCATGTTTTTAGCTTGTGTTCACTCTAGAGGTAACAATGTTTATCCGATTAAAAAAAACGTTTGAATATTTCACAGTTACACCCTAATTATGGCTGAGTTAGAATTTCGTGAAAATCGGACCAAATATGCTGGACAAAATGGCCACCCTTCGTACGCAAATAGTGATATGGTATATCAAAGTTGTGGACCCTCTAGAGGCCACAATTTTGATCCAATTTTGAGGAAACCAGAAATATATGTTTAAAACCCAAAGATCTTGGTTCCTTTCCATATTCGCGCATATTGGATTGTAACTTCCTGAATTATGGCCCTTGATTGTGCAAAAAATCACTTTTTGTTTAGCTTATTCTCCATCCATCTCTTGCAAAATGTGGGCATATCGTGCCTGACAGCCGCTAGTTTTGTTTCCTTTCAAACACTGAAACAGTCTGGGTAGTACTTTTTCATGCAACATGGTTATAAATCATCAAATCTCACATTAGTTACTGTACTATTTGTCTTTCAAAACCATGTTGATGGATAGAAATAAATTTCAGTAGTAGCCGACTGATATTCTAAGAGAAAAAGATGACATCATGAAATCCATAGAAAATAACTGGAACTTAAGGTGGTCTAACTTGCATATTCATGTAAGGATTAGTTGATTTTAATCAGACTACTATGTAATTTAGACTGAATGTCTCTATTCGCCTTTTTAATCATACCATTGTGACAATATTTCAATTTAATTAAGAATGTATATTTTCTATTTTACAGACAGTGCAGTTTGTACAGGGGATATTTGTAGAGAAATATGACCCTACTATTGAAGACAGTTATAGAAAAGTAAGTTCTCATTTAAATATATATTTTCTGTGCACAGGTTCTGAAATTAACTTTATAGTTACGTTTTTGCATACTATAAATTTGAAAGGTTAATGCTATTGCAAACTGTGAATGGATATTTTCAAACTAATATCTTTAGGTACCGTATGAATGAATATTTTTTTTTTCTATAGCAAGTAGAAGTTAATGGATGTCAATGTATGTTGGAAATATTAGATACAGCTGGAACGGTAAGTAGTAACAATATAACATTTATTATGAAGTCTGGTGCCCCAATAATCAAGACAGTTTCCATGGCAAGGCAACTCTTTGGCAATAAAGCAGTTGAAAGCAGGATCAGTATGGCTTGACTCTTTAATTTTCCTTTGAATCTTTCAAGATTGTCATTATTGACCATTAATGTCTGACATCTTTCTAGTTACATGTAATACTACATGTATATTCATTATCTTACAGCTAACAATGGTTAGGTTGCGATAATATAAATTAATAATATTGCCAGATGTTACAGTAAGACCAAAATGAAAAATGCTAGTGTGGTTTTTTTTTTAGCCAAAATCGTTGAACCTAAACTTTTTTCTCATATCCCGGGCCTTATAATTTAAATTTCAGTATTTTTTTCAAGAACCTTACTAAGTAATTTAGCTAGCACACAAATGAAAATAATATAAAGTAAATAAAAAGATTTTCCAACCGATAGCCCTATATTTTGGGACAAGTACAACTGTAAACACAACAGTTATTATTGTTCTTGGCCTAATATAATACCAAAATAGTCAATTGTATGTGTTTCATCTAAATTTATGACTGAGTTTCTCTGATATCTTTTAAAAAAATATATTTTTTTTAGGAGCATTACGATGTATATTATTTTCATAGGAAGCCATACTGTAGTGAAATACCTCAAAGTTGTCAAAATGACTAGGCAGGTTTAATGCAAGTCTATAAATAATATTGTATACCTTACTATAAACACATGCTAGTATTTCATTGTTTACAGTGAGATTATAATGTACAGGTGTAAGACTGATTCATATATAAACAATATATAGTAAACAAATAGGTCAGTGATAATCTGAACTGTAGATAATAATACATGTCATGTAGCTTGAAGTAAGTACTGTACTCGTGTAGTTGTAAATATGATTTGAACACCATATTTTGGAGAAATTCTGAAAGATAGATACGCAGTATTTATTTGAAATTTTGTAACATATGCCTGCTTGGAGACTTTGAAACACGATAACTCTTTCTAATTGAGGTAGATATACTCGATCATAAATTAAGTGAATGCCTCGGAAGTGCTTGATCATGCAAATTTTCCATAAATAAACAATTTGATTGGTTGAGACTTTGAAACACGATAACTTTGCTTCTGATTGGGTAAGAGTGATGAAACCTTGACTAAATTTGATGATGAGAATTATGTTTTTATACGCCCACATTGAAATGTGGTCGTATATTGTCGCCGCCCATGTCTGTCCGGCGTCTACAATTGCTTGTGGACGCTCTAGAGGCTAAGGTTAATATCTGATTGACATTAAATTTGTACAGAGTGTATAAGGTCGTGAGACGAAGAAGCCCAGGGATTTTCAATGGTTTTCGTAATTACTACCGGAGTTGTGGCATTTGATGACTTTAAAAAATCTTGAGGGTGCTCTAGAGACCAAAGTTATCATTCGATTCGTTGTATGGCAACCTATCTTTAATTGTGGTAGAATGTTAAAACTTGGTGTAGATTTGGTCAATGCTTTGGGACAAGTTTATGAAAAAAGACCAGAAACATACAAATTAGTACAGAATATTATAGATAACTAGTATTTCCATTGACTGAGGACCAGTCTTCTATCTAACCTATTAATATTATATCTTCATTTTTGGTAGAGTATATTCTGATATAGCATCCTGTGTTAATTAATGTATAATAGAAGATAAGTTAGATATATGATAGATATACACTGATATATACTTGTATACATGTATGTAGTAAATTTCGCATACTATGAGAGCAAGTGTTTATCACAGATACATTGTAAATGAATGTTTTTCATTCATTATAGTGTTAACAGATTACTAAGTAATGCAGTTTGTTCCATGAGACAATGGCATACATGGTGAATAAACAGGATTATTTAACATACAAATTCTCAAAGAATGAACAGTTTGGACAAAAAAGATTATTTTTAACACAAATTCACAAAAAAATGAATCTTTCATTTTCTAAAACATACCAGATGAATAAACCGGATTAATTTTATAATTTCATAAAACATTAGGTGAACAAACCAGATTATTTTTTAACTTCTCATAGAATGAACTTTGTATTTTATTAATCATTCAACAATATTTCCCACTGTGTTGTCAGTGTCTGATTCATTGTACAAACAAACTAGTTTCATTATCAGATGGGATGGACTCAATTTATTAAGTGTAATATTAGTTGCTGGATTGTGTATGGAACTTTAATTGCTCAGAAAAATATAAAGTACCGGCAATGATTATGAGCATACACCCATCAACAGCTGTTGCCATCCAGTGGCAATAACTTTGTATAAAATGATGAAATAGTCTAAATTTCGAGATGGTTTCTCCTTAATGATTTTTTTAATTGGTCTTGTATGTATTTTTATTGGTCTTATATGTATAATAAACATTCAAGTTTTAGTGAGTAATGAAAATTATTTTTTTTTATAGGAACAATTTACGGCTATGAGAGATCTGTACATGAAAAATGGACAAGGGTTTTTGTTAGTTTATTCCATAACAGCTCAGTCAACCTTCAATGATCTTCAAGATCTACGTGAACAAATTCTACGAGTTAAAGATACTGAGGATGTAAGTTTAATCCACTTCGATTGAATTGTTTTATTGGTAAATGGATTGTTTTCTTAATATTTATTGTAAATTTTCACGCTGTCTAGGGAGAGCTATTTCTGATTGGCAGACTGTTAAATTAAATTTATAGGTTTTGATTTGAATTGATTACTGGTTATTTATGTCAGTCAAACCACTTGAATAATTGACTAGAAATGATTACAGTTGGGGTAGTCAGAAGAGAATGAAATATGATTTGTAAGTTTCATAACGTAAGTTTCATGATACATTTCATAACGTTTCATGTTACAAAGAAGTAACATCCCAAGGTGTGTAACATCATTTCAAGTAGATCGCTTTTTGTTCTGGTTGGAATATCGTAAAGTGGAGCCAATGTTTTCAAATCGTGTAATAGGTGTCGACATTTGGCATACGTTAAATCTGTTGACACTGCATCTTTTTCGTTATCTTCATCTTCAATTGAAGTTTTTCAAGCGATACATATCGTCATCTTCATCGTCAGAAGATACACCAAATAGATAGCACTTGTCATCCAGGCCTTACGATTTGCTGACCAGTTGACCTACAGGTTGTTTTTGTCCACGCCCTTAAACCACTCGTGCATCATTCTGTTGATGTCTTCAAACTTAGCGTTCGAGTATAATCGTTTCTTACTGCTGTTAAAGTTATCGGCACACTTCTGTTTGAATTCATCTTTTCCCTTTAAAATGGCAGATACTTTAGTACGACCAATTGAATACTTAATGGTTAATTCCTTCTGTGTAGGTCGTGGAACTTTCTCAAAATCTGCTATAATTCACTGCTTGACATCCAATGTCAAATCCGTACAGGAACGCGTACAGGAACGCTTTGCAGGACGATCACACAGTATGAACACAATATTATGATGATAGTGATTCTTCATCTCGGCAATTTATATATAATGTTGCTGTATTTGACGTGAGAAACACAAATCATATACCAAGAGATTATAAAATTATGAAGGTAATCAACAAAGAGCGACGCAGGTTTATGTTCACAGATAATTGATTGGTGATGGCTTGATTGAAGGCCGGATTATCCAATGTTAATTGTAGTTGTACACAAATCGTGTGATGGGACTGCTGATTGATGTCGTAATTTGGAATCCGAACTACTCAAAACTTTTTTGGGTTGAAGTAAAAAGGAAATAAATCGGCACATGAAAATGATGACGGATTTCACAGAATGCCGTAGTATTCAGATGTCGGAGGTGACAGAGTCCACTGTATTGAACTTGGGTATAGTAACTTTACATACACTTCGGTTAACAAATACCTGTACACAGTTAATGAAACACTTTGAAATATAACTTTCATATTGATTTGTTTAGGTACCTATGATTTTAGTTGGTAACAAGTGTGATTTAGAAGATGAAAGAGTTGTAGGAAAGGACCAAGGTGCTAATTTAGCTCGTAATTTTAACTGTGGTTTTCTAGAGACTTCCGCTAAAGCTAAAGTTAATGTTGGTGAAGTGAGTATTGTTGATTCTTGATTACATGTGAAGAGCCCCGGGGAAGAACGATCTTAGTCACTTTTTCAATGAACCCCAGTTAATGGTGCCATCTGGTAGCAAATTGTATAAGCTTTCTGTGGAACAATCAACTTCAGATAAAAACGATCGGAGTCATGTCGAACCAAAGCCCTTCTGAAATGGCCTCCCGGACAAATATGTCCATCGGCCATCGTACCCTTTATTTGACCTTAATTTGGCTGAAAAGTGGAAGTCAGTTGGTTGTACTGGTAATTATGATTCGTATTAAACAGCATTTTGAAGTTGTAATTAAACCCACTCGTTGTTCTGTTCGCGTCAAGCATTCGCATCCAAAAGTCTGTTTTGCCTTTTATGCGAAAAGACAAAAATGTGACTTAGATCGTTCTTTCCCTGGACTCTTCATATAAAGTTCAGATTGAAATGAAAATAGTTTTAGTTTAAAATTTATGTATTTAATTGGTTGTTCATTTTAATTCACCTAATATATCGCTTTATCATTGGCAACTAGCTGGACAATTCATCCCAGTCAGTTTCTGTCAAGCGTGATTTGTATCAGACAGGTAGTTTTCTTTGAGTGCAGCCTAAGCCAGGGTTATTAACAGATTTTATACAACCTGTTCTCGACAATCAAGTCTATAGTATATTATGATAAAGCTTGTATAACTTTGGTATTTTGTGAATATTATGTCAACAAAAAATTTATATCTTGCTTTTTTTTTATTAGATATTTTGTGACCTAGTTCGACTAATCAACCAAAAAAATCCAGAAAAAGTACCGAAACGCAAGAAGAAATCCAATTGTGCTTTACTATAAATGATCAGGTATTTTAACAAATTACTTTCTGTTCAAATCCAGCATATGGACATTTTCTGTATTTGTTTTTATTTGGCGTATCTTGACTTTCAATTCCTAATTGAGAATCCTTATAAATTTGTTTAAAAAGCCAGTTCCAGATTTATCAGAAAACAATAAATAGAAGTGAAGAAGGTGTATTTCGTTTGAAGAGAGGCATGTTGTTATTAGGACCCAATTAACAGTGTTAAAGACTTTATGAATTTATGTTCACTCTGAATTTTATTCACAAATTGGCAACTAATGATTTTATTCACAAATTGGCAACTAATGATGAAATTCATCAAATCATCCAAGTATTCAATATGAATCTTAATCACCAATTGGCAACTAATGATGAATATCATCAAAGCATCCAAGTAGTGTTCACATATTCGCTCACTCTCAATCAGATCCAAAAATAACTGAATTGGCCGACTATGTAAAAAACCAATGGGCGAGGGTGAATATGCTACTCATCAGTTGAACCACTACCACACAGGGGAACACAGAACCAACAACACTCTGGAAGGATGGCATTCAAGGATCAAGAAGCTAGTTGTTAAAGCTCATCCGAATTTTTTTGAAGTGATCACATTTTTACAACAAGAGCAAAATATTAATGAAATTAGAATTGTACAGTATGCCGGGGGACAGGAACCACCAAGGAAGAGACATAAATATGCCCAAATCCAAAGCCAGCTCCAGGAATTAAAAAGTAGACACGAAGAAGAGGAATTAACTTTAGTCGAGTATTTAGACAGAGTGTCTGATTTGGGGAAATTAAAATTAATTTGTTTTTATTTCTTAAAGTCATATGCCAAACATGTTAAAATGTTAGTTAATTAGTCACATTGGGGATTATAAAAGTCTAAATTCTTATCATAACAATCTATAACTCCATTGTTAAATTTTTAAATATATTTAAATCCCTGAAAGCTGGATTCCCACAAAGGTGTCGAAAACGATCTCCTTTAATCTGTTACAGTCAATAACCGCACCTTCGTGGGAATAAACTGTGAAGAAATGTCCAATTAACCTTATCTGAAAGTTTCAAAATAAAATATTCACAATTCGAATATGATTGCTGAATTTCCTTAGCATGGTTTTATAATGAATTTTCATGTCGAGAAACTGATAATCTTGATGATTATTTGCCACTATAACTTGGGCAAGTATATATAGAAATCTTAATCTTGGCAGCTTTGCATTTACTGCCAACCCCACATCAAGACTGAAAGGTTTTTTTTCTTCTAAGTATACAAAGCTTCAGATAGTTTCACTAAGGTATTTTTATGATGATAAGCCAGTTTTAGTCACTAAAATATATCTGATACTGACCCTTTAATGCTTATATTTCAGATATGACCTTGGCTGATTTTCTTCGCAAGATTAATGGAAATGTGGTTTAAATGAAAAGAAAACTGATTTTAAAAAAAAGGCATTCAGTAATTACTATGGCAATATAATTATTATTGTTTATTAAACAGTTGACTTATGTTCCTTATTAAATGTAAATGCTGTCTAAAATACAATTTCGATTGTGTTTCATATTAGCATTGTTTTTCTAATAAAGAAATCCAATCAATTGTTTCCTTTGGCTTCAGTATCTTATATCCTATGTATAAATATAACATGGACTTAAGTTTTTTTAATTTAAAAACTTCTATTTAGATATGAAACCCTTCATTGTAATTAGTTTGTACATATATAATTAATTAATTGTATTATTAAAGTTTGGTTGAAGGGTATGAAGAGGGTAGGATAACTTATGATTACTTTCAGTCACAACTAATTCAAAATAGTTTTACACATTGAAGAAGAAGATTAGCAAGTGAAGTTTACACATTGAAGAAGAAGATTAGCAAGTGAAGTTTATCAAATGTACAAATTTTTCCAGTTTTCTTTGAAATTTGTGTATGTACTAAATTTCTCACATGATTCATAGTTGTTTCCAAATATCATGCAAAATAAAACATTGATGACATTAATAATCATTACTTTTTTACTTGAACAGAAACAAATTGTGTGTTATTTGCTTGTTTTTGCTAATAAAACACATGCTATATATATAATCTGTAGAACTAGTTGTGAGATCGTTTGAGTTGATTGTCTTGGAATGAAAGTTTGTTTTGCGATATAGTTAGAGCGGACCATTTTCAATCAACCATTAGTCTTATTAACGAAGTAATATACAGTAAAAGATTTACCTGCAGTAATGGATCAGGTTCTAATCATTAAGACAGTATTACACTAACTACAGATAACTTTTGGTATAAGCTTAGTATGGACAACTGTCGTCATGAAAACCCTTGTTAAAACTGTTATGTAATAATCATACGATAATTCTTTGTTTAATAATCATTTTCTATTTATTGTTGTAGTCTCTATTATAGCCTTTTTACCAACACATTTAATATTGTTATTCCCTTAGATTTTAATTTGTTACTTAAGGGTGTGAGTGTAGAGTATCATTTTAAAGTCATTGTTATTATAACATCATTGGAAATTAGAAAAAAAAAAAGAATAAAAATATTTTGAAATTTAAATTGATATTTTATAAATATGTGAAAAGAACAACACTAATCATGAATACGTAAATGGAATTAAAATTCGGTTTGTTATCCTATGGAAATGTACAAATTGTATAAAATGGTTGCTGTATTTATAGTCTGGTTTTAGAGAGTTACAAATCATGTGGCAGTGGTTACATGTATGTTGAAGTTTGGGAATATTGACAATTTTATTTAGTTCATTATTATAATTTGATCTGTTTGGAACAATTTGCTTGTAAAATGAATAGCATATGAGGATTTTAGTTCCATTTTTACTCATCTAGGATCTATTCTTGATTAATGCATACTAGTGGTTACTGTTGGATCATTCTACTTAATAGAATAGATGTGAGTGGGATAGGAAGTGGAGCTCTGCAATAGTATGATTTTCTTTTGACATTCTCTATTATTATTAAAGACTGTATAAGTCTATATAACGAACCCATTATTTGAATTGTGCATATTGTATATTAATCAGTGTTTAAAGCTTGTGCTCGCGTATTATTGTTCTAAATGTAATCTTCATTATATAACTTGCCACACTACATCTAGTATCATTATTTTTCTTAATAAAAATAAAACACTGTAATTGAATAATATTAATCGTGTTCATAACTTACTTATCTTATACAATTAGTATGTGTAAATTGGGGTTAATTATTACCCCTAACATGAACCAGAATTTCTAGTTTTATAATATTAACAGCTTGTGTCATCATTGTTTCAAAGAACAGGATTAATTACATGCTGTTTTTAGTACAGATACAGCAGGTTAATGGGTATGCTATTAATTAGAGGTTTATCATCTAAGCAACCTATGTTTCATTAACCTCAATAATCGCTTATTCAAATTTTTTCCTGCTAATGGACTTTCAACTGGAAAAAATAAATGAAATCCAAATTTATTACATCCTGCATTTTAGCCTTCTTGGAGGCCTATGTAATATTTGATCATTCAAACAGTGATCAACATTTTTCTTGTTTATTCAGAGGGGGATTAAGATTTTGTGGGCCCCAAAATTTCAGTTTACCATAGTATAATTACTACAAATATATATACAGAATATTAATTGAACCATTTGCAGCCTCCAACTAAAGCCCATGCCTGAATCAGACTGTGAATCATTATTTTATTGTTCCCTCTGATGGAGTTGTGTGTGGCATAGTGAATGGAAATGGAGGTTTCCGCCTGGGAAGACAATACTCTGGTCATTTTGTTTTACATGTGGAATGCAAGGGAGGGGAATTTTGGGGAGATAGCAGCATTTCGCCTAGCTTGAAAAATCTTGGAAGGTTATATTTTGGTCACCCCACTGGGAAATGCTTTGACATTTACTGTAATACAGAAGATACGTTGCCAGGCAATGAAACATACGCCCACAGCAGCTAAGTCCTCCGAGCAGTCAACAAGAGTTGTCGCATATTTTTTCTATTGTGGGTAATGAAACATTTATAATACACTAAAGTCTGATTAAGAGTAACAACTCATTATGTAATTGTCAGAAAATCATTAGAATTTTTCAAAGTGATCAAGGGCCATAACTCTGGTAGTAATTATCGGAAATCGTTGAAAATCACTGGGCTTCTTCGTCTCACGACCTTAAACACTGTGTATAAATCCGAAGTCAATCGGATATTAACTTTATCCTCTAGAGCATCCACAAGATATTTTAATGTGATCAAGGGCCACAACTCTCGCAGTAATTATCGGATATTGTTAAAAATCAATAGGTTTCTTTGACTCCTGACCTCAAACACAGTGTTTAAATTTAAAGTCAATCGGATATTAACTGTAGCCTTTAGAGCGTCCACAAAGATTTTTCAAGAGATCAAGGGCCATAACTCTGGCAGTAAAAATATCGGAAATCGTTGAAAATCAATAGGCTTCATCGTCTCATGACCTTAAATACTGAATAAATCTAAAGTCAATTGGATATTAACTTTACCCTCTAGAGCATCCACAAATATTTCAAAGTGATCAAGGCCATAACTCTGGCAGTAATTATTGCATATCATTGAACATCAATAGGCTTCTTCGTCTCATGACCTTAAACACTGTGTATAAATTTAAAGTCAATCGGATATTAACTTTAGCCTCTAGAGCGTCCACAAGATTTTTCAAAGAGATCGCGGGCCATAACTTTGGCAGTAATTATTGGAAATCGCTGAAAATCAATAGGCTTCTTCGTCTTGTGACCTTAAACACTGTGTATAAATTTGTAGTCAATCGAATATTAACTTTAGTCGGACGGACAGAAGAGGGTGATGACAATATACGACCACATTTCAATGTGGGCGTATAAAAACAATACGCACCCAACCCCCTCTGAAGAGAGGAGACAGATAGCACAAATTTGAATATTTTGGGACTAGCGTGTTAAATTTTTAGTAGTGGGAGGAAAACCAGAGACATTACTACTAGTCATATGCAAACATCAGGGCCCTTATTCACGAAAACTTAAACTAAGTTACAACCGAAATTTTAAGAAATACTGCAACTTCATTGGATATATGCAAATTGATTTTACTGGTCAGCCAATCGAATTGCAGTATTTCTTAAAATTTCGATTGTATCTTAGTTTAAGTTTTCGTGAATAAGGGCCCTGATCAAAACCAGGACTCATTTACAGACCTTCTCTAAAGGGCACATGTATACCTCTTGGCCACCCACTGATCTGAAGAAGTCAAGATGTCAAACTGAAAATGTTGAAGAAAAAAAAACCTAGAGGAAATTCTTATTTTTTTATCACAATAATTCTACATTTAAAGTTATTCTTAAATCTTAACAAAATTTTGATTTAAAACTAGGACTATTAATTGCCATACATGGTATATGGTACAGCAACAAAACATACATAATGTATAAATGATGTCCTTAACAAATATTAATATAACATTTAAGTTCATGTGCATGTTTAAAGCCAGTAGGGTACAGTTATATATTAATGTAAATATGAATATTCTACAATGTGTGGACATGATCTGAATAATAATTTAAATTTACATGAATAACATTAAAATGAAGTCAAAAATATTACAAGTGTTACAGGAAAGGAAAGTCTGGATGGGAAGAATTACACAGATATACAAAGTGATAAGAATTAAAGACAAGATATAATGTACAACAATGATATATGGTATATAATATATTTTACGAAATTAAACAACAGATAAAAAGAAATAAAATATTAAAAATCCTCTGAAGTTATACATAATTACCTTTTTCACTTGTATTAAATTTGTTTAAACCAAATTCTTTTTTAAATAAAATTTCATGGCTTGATATTCAGTAAATGTAAAAAATTTCATTGTCTTTTTCCTCTCCAATAATTCAAATGTAAACAGATACAGTTGTGTATGTATATAGATATATAAATAAGTTGAGAAAACAATTTTGTTGTCTTTTTCTCTGCATTAATTAAAATTACAGAATACCCAGTTTAGAATGGTCATATGAATGTAATTTTAAAAGAGAAAAAGAAAAGTGTGTGTAATATAGGTTGAACGAGAACATGGTCCTTATAATATATTTTACTTACAGTTACATATATTATTATATTTACACACATATCTTAAAACCAGATTCCACACCTCCTAATTTCATGATTCTATGCAGTAGCCTAGTTAGATTGTTGCAGTCAAGTGCCTATACAATCTGATTAAAACACATATCCTATTCGTTCCGATTTTTATAGTTCAAACTTTCGTTTTACTTGACTTTATTACGCTAGCATCTGGAAGAGTCGTTATATAAACCGCATTCTGGATGATGTGACTGATTAGCCAATGAAACGGTCTTTTACGGTGAGTTTTTGGCATAAAGAACTATGGGTAACCCACTAGAAACATAAACGCTCATAGGTTAATCAACGTCTGATGTCATAGGGTCAAAAGCCGCTTGTATGACCTCTGACACGACCTTCCACTTCCACCAGTCAGATCTTCATGTAAAAAAACCAAAAAACCAAAACATAGATCTGTAATTTTATCAGATTGGCGCCTATAGCGAGGTGGCATCCTTGAAATTCAGTACATAAACAATGTACAGTCTCCTTATACATTGTTTCTAGTTGTTGGTGCCCAAATTCCAAACACAAGAGTAAAATTCTTTCCGAAATATTAAAATTGGATGAAAATATGATAAATATGAACAATATACAGGAACCGTAAATGGTCGCAGTTATTAATTGTGACTGGTTCTGATTTTATTTGTACAGAAAGGTTCTTGTTTTTGAAAATCATTTACTTACAGTGACAAATGTTTTTGGTTTTAACGCACACACACACACAAAGGCTAATTATCACCCAAAGACTTCATTTTGTTGCACCTACATCATGTAGAGTGTGTGCCACCTGCGATAACAAGAGATAGATTTTGTGGACTCATTAATAAAGTCCAATCTGATTAAAATACAGATCTATATTTCTTTCCGTTTTTTTTTATACTTTTGATGGCCTCTACTGCATGAAGATTTGACCAGTTATAGTAAGAGCTTGCGCCAGGGGTCATACGCGCGAGCTTCGACCTATGATGTCAGACATTTGATTAAAAAAAAAAACCAATCAACGTTGATACAAGCAGCATATGACCTACGACATCAGCCATTTTATTAATCAATCAGCGTTGATGTTTCTAGTTGAATACCCACTGTTCCGTGCAGCGAATGCCAAGAACTCGATGTTTCATTGGCTAATCCTTCACATCAACTTCATATAACAACTCTTCCAGATCCTAGTGTAGTAAAGACAAGTAAAATGAAAGTTTGAACTATAAAAAATGCCTATCAAATTCAATATGCGCTATTATGAACAAACTTTATACAATGTAAAACAAAGAACATCAATAATGCATAATTTCATTGATACGATTAGTGACCTACAAAATAAATGATATGTGTACCGTAAAAACATTTTCATAGAAAATATTTTATCATCAAACAACACTATGTACCCACTACATGTATATCCATACTACAGTTATCAGTTATAGTGTAAAACAATTCCTTTAAATATAATTTCGTTTACATGTACATTGCAAGTTATCTTTAATATTATTCATTACTGTAATTAGTTCACATTACACAGTTCCGATTCTTTAAATGTAAATTAGTTTACATTGTACAGTTTACTCTTCTTTATTTAAAAGTTTACATTATACATGTACAGTTTACTTTTCTTTACTTAAAAGTTCACATTACACATGTACAGTTTACTCTTCTTAAATTAAAAGTTCACATTACACAAAATTTCCCTACTGATTCTCAGATCACATTACAAACGTCTTGACTAATAATTTTAATGTAATTTAGATCACACAGTTATTCTTCTATTTCTTTAAAGCCATTAATTGCCATTACACATTAACAAATTAATTCACTTTTCAAAATCATGTATTTAAAACAGGATGTTTAACCGACATACAAATTGCACTGATATATCAACTTGTTTATATCTAAACAGTTTTTAAAATTCCTTCATTTCACTTCGCTGTAGTAACAGGATTGCTATCGGCCTGCATATTGCCTGTTGAGCTCTGCTCATGCGATTGGTTGGGAGTCTGGTTCATTCCATTGGCAATGGAATTTATCTGTTGGGCAGCCACAGATGAAAATGGATTCATCATGGGCATATACATAGAGTTGGGGGAATTGTTATACATAAAAGGATTCATAGGAGTGTTCATGTAAGGCATACCGTACATTCCTTGATGATGCATAGGAACTTGTGGGGATGAGGTGGTGTTAGTTGCTGGTTGTTCTGTTGGCTGTTGACTGCTAGATGTGGTCGGACTAGACATCTGAGACATCATTTGAGGCTGAATACCACCCATTATTCCTGGATTAAAACCAGACATTAATGGCATACCACCCATATGCATGCCCATGCCTGGCGTCTGTCCCATCATTGGATAATTATGTTGCGGGAAATAAGGGAAGAAAGGATTAGCGGGCATATTGGTGTAAGGGTTCACATAATTCTGGTCCATCATTGGTGATGCTTGCTGCATGCCACTATTAAACGTACTATTATTATAGTTGTTAGAATGACCAAAGTTTCCCATCGGGTTGTAGTTATTTCCAAAATTATTGTAAGAACTTTGATTGTTTGAGCTTCCTTGATTATTCTGAGAGTAGTTGGGGTTGTTGCTGTTTGCACTTGCATTGGTGGTATTATTCTGACTGGTACTGGTATCATCAGTGATCATGTTGTTCTCTGAGTGGTTACTGACTGACATATTAGGTGGACCAACCCGTTGACTTGTTCTCTCGGACGACGACTCCAACAATTCACTAATGGAATTAGCAGATTGATTCTGAAGATTGTAATCTTGGGAATCGCTATCTCCATACTGGTTACACAAATCTAATATTTCACTTGCATTATCCATTTTATTCATGCTATTAGATCCACCAAAATTATATTCTTGATCGTAATATCCGCTGTTGCTAAAGGCATTTCGTGGGTCAGAACTAGCATTGTTAGATTGAAAAGCATTATAATCAGGTCCAGGGTTTGAATTAGTTGCATTAAAAACACCAGAATTCTGAGCACTAAAACTATTGTTTCTACTAGAACCATGGAAGTTACTTATATTGCTGTCGGTGATGTTACTTGATGTCACATTATATGGGTGATTAGTCAGGTTTGTACTAGCACTAGGGTTCATGTCTTCATTGCTGAAAGGAAAACTGTCCATACTGTTAGATTGTGATGAGGAGTTAGGAGGTGTTTGACCAAGGATGTGATTACTGTCCTGTGAAGTAGTAATGGTGGATGCAGCTGGTTTAGAGATGCCAACAGGTTTGTTGATCGATCCTATAGATAAGTTGAGAGAATCAAAGTCCTTCGTACACGTAGAATCATTATCTGAAAAATAAAAATCTCTTTTTTCATGTGAACAAGTGGTTGCCCTGTAAGATACGCCCACATTTTGTAAGAGAAGGAAGGGGTGGGGGGGAAAATTGTGACTTCTAGAATGTCCACAAGCTGAAAACGTGATTTTTCGTACAGTCATTTCGGGACACTAACATATGCTTCAATTTTATATCAATCAATCACTTGCGTTTAGGGGTCTTTAGCACTGGAAGGAAACCGAAGGACCCAGAGAAAACCCATGAGGTTGGATAGGCGACCCTACAAGTGGGAAATCTTATGATGCAATGCACATGCATTAACCATTTGTCCACCCCATCCAGGGGGGTTGGATGACCGAATTGTTAGCACATACGTGCTGTTATCGTAAAGTCTGTCTTGACTCCCTAGTTCAGTCGTTGTTGTTTGTATTTTAGAGGAGAAGTGAAAAAAAGCTCCCCTTAATCAACAAATTGAAAAAATCGCTCCCCTAAAAAATTACAGTTTCATTTACAACACAGACCTCATTACATTATGACACATACAAAGATGTGCTTGGATAGTACCATCACATGATATCAATGTGACGTCATATAATTAAGTGCAACAAATCAATCATACATTGAAAAAAATTGGTCTTCATATCCACAGCATAAAATGAAAAATGTAGTTGTTTAATAAGAGTATTGTAAATAAACGCAAGACAGTCTAGGTATAGAATATTATGTATAGTTGATACTATTAACCTGAATAAAAACCAACTAATTCAATAGTTCCAATGTTTAGTTGATTTAATGTATTAGAATATTAAAGAAGAAACTTTTCATTTTAGGAAAACTTCAACAATTGTTAAATTTAACAGGCCATAACCTCTTTGATTAGGTAAAAAAAAACATGACTACGTAAATCAGGTTCAATTGTATACAATATGGAAATCTTTAAATCAGTAGATCAAACCAATGTTGTGATATAATCAATTTTTTCAACAAAACAAAACTAAAATCAATAACTAGATTAACTTTTGCCAAAATGAAAACTCAATCGTGAGAGAGCTTGCCCTACAACTAATTGAAACAAGCCAACAGAGGCTGATGTCCCCCGCCGAAATACCAAAATAAATAGATGACACATTAATTAATCGCACATTTATTTTTTTTCAAAAGTATCAAGCAATCAAAATGATTATCAACTATACACTAAGTTATATCACTCTCTATCAGATAGAATCAAAATTATCTTGTCCCAAAGCATCGACCAATGAAATTGCTTAGCTCTGTTTAGCTTTAGCACGAAATGTTAATCATTGGACTCCGACAAGACATTCACCTAATGAACATCAACATCAAGTTTAAACATTCTATCTCAATTAAAAGCAGAGTTGTTATGTTCCAAAGTCTGATCCTTAGCCTAAAAAAAAATTCTCATCATCAAACTTAGTCAAGGTAAATGATATAATGAATCTATACTCAGAGTTTCATCACTCTCACTTAATTAAAAACCAAAGTTATTCGCCCCAAAGCATCAACCAATCAGATTGCTTATCTATGCTTACCCTAAGCAGAAAATGCTCATCTTTGAACTCCATCAAGGCATTAACCTAATAAAAACCTCCGCCAAGTGTGATCATTCTAGCTCAATTAGAAGGAGGGTTATTGTGTTCTAAAGTCTCGGCCAATCAAATTGCTTATCTCTCTGCTTGAAAGGCGGGGGACAATAACATGCCAGATTAAAGGACAATATTGGTGTCAGTCATTATCCCATATGTGATAGAATTGGTTAAACATGTTCCAAATATAATTTTAAAACATGTGTTTGGGTGTTATCAAATTTGATTTTATATAATTTATCATTGTTATGTGAAAGTAAAGTTTGTGTATCTTATTGTATCCTATCTTAGAGCAAACTGTTTTAAATATAAATAATTAGATTACTTTCTCATTTTTTAACAATGTAATTAATTACTATTACCCATTACTTTATGTCTATATGACTATATATATATATATATATAAACAACCCTTTTTTTAAAACCAAGAAGCACCTATAGAATCCGGCTCAAAATACTCTTTGGATACACAATAACAGTTATTTTTCTACATTGTCATTTCTAAACAAAAAGTAAATTTTTAAGTTAAGAGTTGGTGGTGACAAAAACTGTTGTTTAAAATAAATTGAAAATATAGTTCACTATGTACATTTATTTGAAAGAATTAAGTGCATTTTCATTACTCTTGAAATCTTCAATTACAATTACCCCAGCCCAGTTTAACATAATTCAAAGAGGTCCTGTTTCCTTAACTTAGCATTATTGTTAAGAATCTAAAGATAGAATTGTTCTGAAGAAAAGCCTTAATATGATTATCTCATTTAGCAAATATTATAATTTTGTATATCTTGTCTGTACCTTGCAATTTTATTTTTTTAAAGTTTATTATCTTATTGTAGATCTACCAATTAATTTAATTTTCATTTTTTTTTTAAATTCTGTCATTTTTACAATATTAAATTTCTTTTTAATGATATTAATATTATTCCTGTATTGTGCTATTTTTATTTGTTGTTATTTTATACTCTTTTTTATGGTGCTTATAATCATATATTTCTTTTGTACAAGCACAACATAGCAGCTCTACAAGCTGGATTTTGTTACTACACAAGTTCAATAAATTATTATTATTATTATCACCTACTGTTATCATCTAATAAAAACAACCCAAATCAAATCTTTGCATGGAGTAAAGACTTACTATTATGACCATTTGGACACATTTATTTTACAAATTCCCATATTACTCAAACAGAACATTTGAATAGCTAATTCATGAATTAGTTGGTAACCAAAATAACATGTGTTGACAGTGAGTAAGTGACATTATCGAGAGATACACAATGTGCATTTTATTGCCAGTGTGGATCAAATGCTTCAATGGCATTTAGTCAGCCACATAGAATTGTGGAAAGGGTACGGCGAGAATAGAGCTTAAACTCTTAGAAATTCTAAATTACTATGAATATTCAACATTTGTGTGATGAAAGGCTGATTAAAAATGACAAATTAGTCCGTCTTACATGGACTACTTTAAAATGAAGTAAAGATCTAAAACTAATTGTTTTGTTCAGTTAGTATAAAGATTATCTTGTAATTACCTATGACTGAGTTAAGTGGATTAGGATTAACACGAACCATATATCCACCCCCATCCATGTTATTAGTTTTAATACTAGTGGTAGCATTGGTACTAGACCTTGATGAACCAGTAAAAGTGACATTTGTGTCATTTGGTTTATCACTAGAAGAAGCCTCTGAACTATTTTCTGAATCTTGATCTCTCAGTAGAGCATTGACTGTGTCCGTCTGAGAGTAGATGGTAGACAACATTTCACTCTGTAGTAATTCTGCTGCCATTGGGCTCTTGGATTGAGTGGATGGTTTTGGAAAGGCTTTCACCATAGCACTATTATTGTTCCTGTTTATAATAATTTTTTTCTCCTTGCCGTTAAAAGCTGCACCTCCACTTGAAATAATCTTAATATTGAGGTTAGCTGGAGATGATGAAGTGGCGGTACTTGAAGAAATGGATGGTATTGGTCGCGTTAATCCTGTTAAAACAAAAAATACAAATATTATTAAATACATAGGTGCCATTACAATGTGCAACATCTTTAATATATAAGGCTACCTAAGATAAGAGGTCATTTGTGAAGGGCAGGTCAGTCATGAATTCTTTTTAAATTTTGTTTTTTGAAAATTATTTATGCAGTTTTTTAGTCAGATAAATGTACAATTTATATTTAATGGCCTAATAATGCATGGCTACTAAAAAACAGACAAGTACATGGGTTGCTGAAATCCAGCTCTAACCTATTGCCCCATTTCTTTATAGGTGTGTGTAATGCATGACACATATTGTGCTTATGTCTTGTAGAACACCTGATACCACTTCACATATACATATACACCAAGAGCTATGCTGAGCAAAATTGTTCAAAAAATATCTGCAAAATTGAGAAAATATATGTCCCTCTCTACAGAAATAAATAACAACAAGGGTAAATAAATAACAACAGTGACAAATAAGTTCCCTACCTGTTGGTTGTGAAGCTGACAATGTGGTTAATGCAGATGATGATAAATTTAGTGGACCAGGAGGTGCCATAGAAGGGCCGGGTAAGGTCTTTGATCTTACAGCAAATAGTTTCTTATCAGCTGTACGTATATATACTCCCTTCAATGTCTTAATGACTAGCACTTTCTGTCCTGGTGGAATCCTGTTCACAGCACCAGCCTGAGTAGCAGTGTTAGAACCAGGCAATACAATTTCTGAAAAAAATCAACATAATAATATACTAAGATTTTGTCTGACATAAAAAAGACATAAATACCAATATAAGCAGAACATTGCATCTACTAGACTTTTCATTGTGGTCTAAGGGGAGATAATATAATGTCTGCATATTTTGTACAAGTAACCTCCCCTGATTTTCAAGAGAATTATATGGCATATTAAAAAAAAAGTCTCTGGTTCTATTCTAAATGAATTGTACACTTTTCATTATGAATCTATCTTTATAGATATGCCCCTTAAGAGGATTCTGATCTTACACTGGAGTCAAGGCTAAATAATCTTTGACGATTTTCAACTTGTGCATGCACACACGGCAACCAGGGTAAGAGAAGGTGTCTAAATGAGTATATTACCTGTAGTTGTTATAACTTGATGAACTGATACACCTGGTCTCATTATACTATTACCTAATGGTGAATCTAGTTTACCACCAGCTTTAAATCCTATAGGTAATGGTGTAGATATCATAGGTTTAACACTAGCTACTGGTCGTACATACGCTCCTCGTGTATACGGTAACCTGGAAAGTATTATCAGAATTCGTTACATATTTAACTTGCAGAAAACATGGTCTTGATGTTATGGCAACCGTAAACAAAGCGTAATAAATAAATCAGTATTTTGTGAAGATTGAGAAACTAGCAGAAAACTGGGCAGACTATTTCTAAATGACATCAAGAAGCTAGTTTCATGTCAGTTTTTCTTCTCTGTCTTCTGCTACCAAGGAACCACTCTTAATTTTAAAAGTATGGGTTGTAATTAATTTCCTATACAAATGACTGAACAGGGAAACAGTGAGAATGATGTCCCATGTCTTAATTCCTTATATGTTATTCGTTAATAACTTGCACATTTATCTTTTTATTAGCAAGCTTCTTGTTGCTCTCACTCAACTAGAATCCTGTTCGAAAGCGACTACAAATAAAACTGCTTATCTCTGCTTAGCCTAAGCAGATAACGTTGATCATCAAACTTAGTCATTGAGCTGTCAATTCCAGTTATAAATATTTTTTATAGATATGGCTCTTTGCACAGTAATGGCACATATTACTCCCACCAGGAAGATTAAAACTAATGTAATAATATGCCATTTAATTATTTTGATTCATACAAAGGGACCATTTTATGAATTTAAAATTCATACATTAGGATAGCTCCTTCATATGAGTGTTTACGTAACAGTACCCAGAGATAGCAAAAAAGAACCACAGATATTTAGCAAAAAAGAACCACAGATATTACATGATAAATAATGACCATTTTAGGTTTAGAAATGTGTGTTTGACTTTTTTAAGGTAATAGTACGTCATTTCCACCTTATAATAACTTTGAATAGACTGTTTATTCCCATTACTTTTAAAATTATAGTTATCAATTGGCATAACTTGGATGTAAAATAACAACTGTTATATCTCTATCAAATTTATTTTCTTGATTTATTTGCAATAATTTTTATTCAATCTGTGAATTATATATTATTAAACAAACAAATAAAAAAATAATCTGTTGTCAAGCTTTTAACAAAATAACAATGGTTTTTGTATGCAATTGATAATGTCACATTGGATAGAAATATAGTAAAGTTATCAAATCTTGGATGGAAAATAACATTATTAAAAATGTGATGAATGGAAAATAACATTATCAAATATTCTAATGTTTGAAATGGCAACAAATCTCATATAGATTAGATGTGTAAACATGATTTAGCGCAAAATAGCAGACCCACCCTCTGAGCCTCAATTTGGACGAACCCAGGAACCTGAATGATTATATTCTGAACAGGTGCGCCAGCTCCAAAAATTGATTGTTTATATTTTTGTAAAGTAATGAAACAGACGGAATTTGAAAACATGAGGAATTGACAGATTTACCAATGTCGCTTTTTGTTCTCTTTCTTCTCCTCAATGACAAGTTTTATTGGCTTTCATTTTCGCAAAATTTTGGAATGCATTTTATCCGAAGTCAACGTTATTTGTTTGCGGATGGAATGAATTGTATGTGACGTTCCACATTTTGTTACAGCAAAAATAACATGAACACAAGTCGTAAATACAGAATAGATTGATGTGAGATATACTTTATGCCCAATTCTACCTAATTTTACTAATGTGAGTGGACTTATTGGAAAACATTAAAGGTTAGATACTTTACAAAATTTTGCGCATTATGTTGTGGCCTAGGATGGAAAATGAGAGAAAATATGAGAAAACTGAAGGAAATATTTTGTTTATTTTTACAGTCCATAGGGACTGTGGTGTTATCCTAATTCAGCACTTAATCATTATAGAACAATTTTATACAGATAATTCAAACATACACTAAAGTTTTGTTGGAAATCAAAAGCCTTATCCAATAGGTACTATTTTTCAGGAGTTTGGCACCTTCCAAATTATGAGGGTTTCAAACTGTGTTTGGTGAAAAAATAATATGTAATTTTCATGCAGGTATTCTATATTGTCTTTTCTGTCTCCCCAACCATATATATCAATAAAGAACAATAACAAAAACAAATATACATGTCCAAGTTTACTGCTATGTTTTGTCAGAGCCCTATCCTAAAGACTTCATTATAATTAAAGGCTAACATCATACCCTTGTTGATTTCTGATAATAGGTAGACCAACACCACCTCTATTTGGATAGAAAGCAGCATACGACGGTCGACTATAGGTTACACTCATCTTTTTATCTCTAGCATAACCTTCTTTGGCAAGTTGTTTTTCACGTTTACTTAGTCTCAATTCTTTACGATCCAACAGTAATGATTCATGTGTGAACGGAGGCTGAAAAAAATAAAATAAAACAGTCTCTCAGAGAATTGAACTGTCAGTCAATTGATATGTCATAACATTAGGTACTGATAAAAAATTTTAACCTTAACAAAAAAAAAACATAGTACAATTTATAGTTTTTCTTCGAAAAGAAATTTCAGCTAAATTTGAGATAAACACCCAAACAATCTAATTAAAACACAGATCCTATTTTGTTTCGTTCTTTATAGTTCAAAATTTCGTTTACTTGTCTTTACTACACTAGAATCTGAAAGAGTTGTTATATAACCCGCGTTCTGGATATGAGGGGATAGCCAATCAAATGGTCTGTTACTGCAAGTTTTTGGGGTGAGGTGCACAGAACTTTGGGTAAACCACTAGAAACATCAACGCTGATTGATTAATCAATGTCTGATGTCATAAGGTCAAAAGCCACTCGTATGACACCTGACGCACCGTTCCACTACAACTGGTCAGATCTTCATGTAGTGTAGATCTGTATTTTAATCAGACTGACCCCAAAATTGACCAGCTAGAAAAGTGAGAGTAAAGGATAAACAGAAAGTAAGTGTGAAAGCAAAAGTACATATAGATCATAAATGAATTATTCTTACCTCAGTCAGCCATTTTCCTTCTCTATTCAAAACATTTAGAATAACAGGATCTGTGTGTTTCTCCATCTTGTCAGAGAAATCTACTTCAGGATAATCCCGATCCTTTAATAGAAGAAATACAGTTTAACATTGAAAAATTGATAATGTCACACAGTAAATGGTGAGGGATTCAACAAAAGTTCAATGGACCACAAAAAAACGAGTAAAATCTCATACTAATCAGCTGTCTTTATAGCTACAAACTGTGATTAGTGTGGTGCATGACACACTATACGCATATTCTTTCCAGATAACCTGATACCTGGATAAAGTGAATATAAGAGCAGTTTTACCTGAAAGACTAGAAGGTCGTTGGATGTTCGTCTCATATTATCTGGGTTCAGGTCATCTACCACACGATCTGTAGAAAAAAAACATCATGTTTCACATATAATCAATGTATAAATAAAAGATGGAAGACATCTTAAAGATATAAAATATACCAATAAAAGTTCGGTTTTTAAATTCCATTTAAAGGCCTATATATATTTACTGTTTTTATAATGTACCATACGATGGGATCTGCCGAGGAAAATGCAAGTGCATGATATATACTTTGGATACATACATAGTTTGACAAATTGCTGATATTTCCAAGAGTGCCTCTCAGCGATCTATGCAATAATGTTTCTTTAAACATACAAAATTAAATGCTACTCAGGTCTATGCATATACTTTCAGAAAAAAATCTATTTTCAATTGTATTTTATAAATGGTTACTTAATGTTATGATGACACTTGAAACATGATAATAAGAAAAACATTAAACATACCAGACATTTTCTGTTTATTTACTTGACGATCATAGATCTTTCGTTCAAGTGTATTCTCTGTAACAAAGCGATAAATATAGGATTTCTTTTTCTGTCCAAAACGGAACACACGGCAAATGGCTTGACAATCATGACACGGATTCCAGGAAGCATCAAGAACTATAACTCTATTAGCTCCTATCAAATTAATACCTAAACATCCAGCCCTGAAATAAAATAAATGAGAAGATTGTTAGCAAAGCATGATACAGATTTTAGGAGAAAATATCAGCATAGATACAATGATTACAATTGAAATACCAGAAGAAATTTTGCCTGTACAGTGGTACTCCCACCTACTTTTATTATTTTGAATATCAACTGTTTAGGGTTCTTTTATGCGCCACACCAACAGATCTCCTGGTTAGTGAGGCAGCACCTTACTGCCTGAGTGGCGGGATGTAGAATATTTTGTTGGTGGTGGGGTGGGGGGATCCTCACGTCACCCTGAGCAACAAAAAATTCTCACAAACACAATAATTAGTGAATTTTATACAGTTTTTGGAGTAGGAGGTGGGGCTAGGGATCAAAGACTACTGCCTTAGTGGTAGGCACAGAATATTTTCTTCAGGGTGGGGCAACTCACATCACCGCAAGCAACAAAAAAAATTAAAATTTACACATTTCATTGAAACACAATAATTTGCGAATTTTATACTGTTATTGGAGAGGGGATGGGGCTAGGGACCCCACATATGGATGTGCCACTGGTCACAAGTAGAAATAACATGTAGGCCTACGACAGATCTCACCAGTTTACAAAATTGGGTCACAATTTTTATCAGCCAAACCACCAGCATACATGTTTTATCATATTTGTGACTACTTTGGTTCATATTTTACTCTTCAGACTGATTGAACTCACTTGCATGGTTCTATTTTTCTTAAAATGTTTCCATGTATAGAAACCAGCGGCTGCCAGGCAGGATACGGCCAAATTTTGCAAGAGATGGATAGAGAACAGGCCAAAAACACAAAAATGATTTTTAGTACAATCAGGGGCCATAATCTAGAAAGTTATGGTCTGAAATGCGCAAATATCAAAAGGGACTCAGATTTTTTAAATATAAAGATATGTTTTAAGTTTCATCAAAATCGGATAAAAATTGTGACCTCTAGAGGGTACATAACATCGGTGAAGTGTCAAAAGGATGTATCTAAGAATTTCTAAAGATTAAGAAATAGAACCTTTTGCATTTCAAAATTTCCACAAATCAAGATACAACATTTGGACACATGATACCCAGAACAGTTCTAATTGGTGTAGAGATACACAGCTTAGAAAGAAATGTGCATATTAATTGGGAGATTTTAAAAATGCAAAAATGTGTATTTGACTAATTTCCCGAGATACACCCTTTTGACACTTCACCGACGAATTAACCTGTATTACATACTTATACACCATTTGCGTACAAAGAGAGGCCATTTTGTTGGGCACTTTCCTTTTGATTTTTCCGAAATTCCAATTCAACCTTCATCATGGTGGAATAGTGATATATCTAAATGTTTTTTAAAATCGGAAAAAAAAATTGTGACCTCTAGAGAATCCACAAGCTAAAAATCCAGGAAGTTATATTTGGATGTGTGATTATCAAAAGGAACCAAGATCATGATGAGAAAAACATATATTTAAAGTTGCATCCAAATCGGATAAAAACTGTGGCCTCTAGAGGGTCCACAACCTTGATATACCATATTTTTACACTATTTGCGAACATGGGGAGGCCATTATGTCCGTCAGTTTTTGTCCAATTTTCACAAAATTCGAACTCAACCATCATTAGTGTATAACTGTGATATATTCACACATTTTTTTTTAAATCAGATAATAATTGTGACATCTATAGAGACCACAAGCTCAAAACGCGATTTTTCATACAATTAAGGGCCATAATTCAGGAAGTTACGATCCGATATGTGCGTATACTGAAAGGAACTTAGAACTTTGGAAAAGGTTCATCAAAATCGGATCAAAATTGTGACCTCTAGGAGGTCCACAACCTTGATATACCAGATGTTTACACTATTTGTGTACAGGGGGCAGCCATTTTGTCCGAAGTTTTGGTCCGATTTTCACGAAATTCGAACTCTACTATCATTAGGGTGTAACAGTGATATATTAAAACGTTTTTTTTAAATTGGATAAAAATTGTGACCTCTTGAGGGGCGACAAGCTAAAAGTGTGATTTTTCGTAAAATCAGGGGCCATAAATCAGGAAGATACGATCCGATATGCACGAATATCGACAGGAACCAAGATCTTTGTGATATAAACATGCATTCCAAGCTTCATCAAAATCAGATGAAAATTGTGACCTCTAGAGGGTCCACAACCTTGATATACTATATTTTACACTATTTGCGTATAATGGGCGTGCATTTTGTCCGACAGTTGTGGTCCGATTTTCACGAAATTTGAGCTCAACTATCATTAGTGTGTAACGGTGATATATTAAAACGTTTCTTTTAAATCGGATGAAAATTGTGACCTATAGATGGACCACAAGTTAGAAGCGCGATTTTTCATACAATCAGGAGGCATAATTCAGGAAGTTACGATCTGATATGCACGATTATCGAAAGGAATCAAGATCTTAGTGATATAAACATGCATTCCAAGTTTCATTAAAATCTGATGAAAATTGTGACCTCTAGAGGGTCCACAACCTTGATATACCATATTATACACTATTTGCGTACAATGGGCGGCAATTTTGTCCGACAGTTTTGGTCCGATATTCACGAAATTCGAACTCTACTATCATTATGGTGTAATGGAGATATACTAAAACGTTTTTTTATATTGGATAAAAATTGACTTCTTGAGGGACCACAAGCTAAAAACATGATTTTTCGTACAATCAGGGGCCATAATTCAGGAAATTACGATCCGATATGCGCAAATATCGAAAGGAAACAGGATATTTGGGTTATAAACATGAATTTCAAGTTTCATCAATATCAGATCAAAATTGTGACCTCCAGAGTGTCCACAACCTAAAAACGTGATTTTTCGTACAATTAGGGGCCATGATCCATGAAGTTATGGTCCGATCTATGCCAATATCAAAAGGAACCGAGATTTTGGGGAGATAGACCTATATTTCAAGTTTTGTCAAAATCAGATAAAAATTGTGACCTGTAGAGTGTCCAAAAACAATTTGTGGACGGCCGGACAGGGGAGACGACAATATACCTCCACATGAAAATGTGGGCGTATAAAAAAGTGCCATTGTGTCTACATGTGTAGTAAATAATAAACCACATGTTATCGTTTGTTTACATGTCAACGATTGGCTAATTAAAGACACTTGACCAGTACCTATGTCCAAATATGGTTTAAAGAGTAAGTTTCCGCGGTAAAATAATCCGCCAACTGTGAGCGCTAATAAAAATACTGCGGGGTTAGAACCTCAGAACTATCGATATTTTTATACAGAATACATATCTTTATTATAGTCAAAGCAAAGATCTTTTACATTTCCTGATCCTGGAGCAGAATGTTTTTTCTGATAACATTATTTGGTGTCAGCTACTGGCCTAGCACTAACAACTATCTATTTGATCATCAATGATTGAGAGGTAATTACAGATCAGAAATGTGCAGTTAATGATAAAAAAAAATGTCAGGGCATAGTTTACCTTAATATATAATTTCTTGGTTTTCTGTATATAACAATTACTTTAAAGTACAAATTTAAACATTGTTTTTTTCCATCTCCATTTGACATTCAAAAATGTATTTCTTCTCAATTGAGCAATCTGATTAAAACACAGATCCTATTTCGTTTCATTTTTATAGTTCAAAATTTCGTTTTACTTGTCTTTACTACACTAGGATCTGGCAGAGTTGTTATCATTGACGTGTTCTGAATGATGTGAGCTATTAGCCAATGAAACGGTCTGTTAAGGCGAGCTTTAGGCGTGTTTTGCACGGAACTGTGGGTAATCCACTAGTAACATCAATGCTGATTGGTTAATCAAATGTCTAACATCATAGGGTCAAAAGCCGCTCATATGACCTCTGACGAGACCTATCTGTATTTTAATCAGATTGCTCAATTGAGATAAAAACATTTTCATCCTTAACGATTAATCGACAATTTGGGACTATTTAAAACACATGTGTATGGATACCAGTGAACGTTTACCTTGTAGATAGTAGAAACAACCATGATGTATTATTGTCAGGTAAATTAAACTGATTTATTAACTTCTCTCTTTCTTGTGCTGATGTACTTCCATCAAGACCTACACATATAACAAACCATACACAATCAATTTATAAGTATTTTAAAAACACAGCATTAATATTCCCCAAATAAAATTGTCATTTCAAGATTCAAATTTTGGTTGATAAATGTTATAATAACATTATTGATGTCAAATGATTATAAGAAGTTTAATGGACTGATACAAAGAGATAACCTCTACTCATCTTGTGATGATGAACAGAGCATGGTTAGGATAGATTTAGATCTGATCTACTTATTTTCATATTGCACATTATACAATGGGAATATTATTGACTCAGTTTTAACAAATTCTTATGTTCAATAGATTTCATAGTTTATAAGTTTACCTATATTAACGAACTGAGGAGGAAAAGAAGTCAGCAAGGGGTTGGGGTGTCATTATACAACCAAAATAAACTGTGTTTATATACAAATCAATATCAGCAATCTGCTTAAAATAATAAACAACTTACGGAAATAAGATCTATTTTTACACCATTTTTCATTCATATCTGGTCTTGGTACATTTCTTTGTGATAAATATTCTTCTATCAAATTTAATGTAAATAAACTTTGACTGTAAAAATAAAAACATTTATATTAATTCTTCTATCATTATTCATAAGAAAAACATTTGAGTATCAAACCACATTAATCAGATCCTATTTATTAGGTGACAAGAGTAGAAAGACATGGCAAAACCTAGGTCTCATGTACACATTACTATTCATGTAAACTAAAACATGGCAGTTGGAATTCAAAGATCAGTAAGCCAAAACAGCTACAATGCTTAATTTCATTAGCCCAGTTGGTGCAGAAAAGAAGGACGTCAAACCTCATTTCGTTTCATTTCCTTTGCTCTGCGTATTCAATCCTATCATGTGGTAAATGGGTAGCAATAGGACACTAAAAGGTAAAATTAAAACTGAAAAAAAAAAATCTTGAAGCAAAAACATGACTGCTGGAAAGAAATAACCCATAAGGGGAGGTATTGACCTAGCATTATGTTTGGCATCCAAAGACGGACAAATGGCGTTAAAATTCTATTACTATTCAATTTCGATTACCCTGATGAACAATAACATAATTTGTGTTCAAGTCTCGCCTTCAGCTATATATTAAATCCACTAACCTGAACACTAGAATTTTATCTCCTATAGCTAGTGATTCTTCTATAATTGTATTTAAAAACACCATTTTACCACTATGTTCTAATAAACCTGGTATATAATCTTTCATTAATTCATCAGCCTGAATAAACATTACAACAATTACATAATCTATAAGATTTTATAACACTGTGTTAGGCCTTAGATTTATTATTGAGAAAAGTTGCTCAAATTAAAACTAACAACTTACTGATTTGTTTTGTTTCGTTTATTCCCATGATCAGATGCCTACAGAATTGAATTTGAAATATCATTTTAGGTTTTAGGTATACTCATCATCTAGCTTTGACAAATTGACCCAATAAAGTAATCTCAGATTAACAGCGCCATGCCACTCCATTCTGATTTTTTCCAGAAGTGAGAGGGATGGCAAACCCACTGAAACAAGGTTATGGAAATGATCATACTTCTGGGAATGTACAATTGTTAAATCCTAGTAGATTTAATGATAGACTGAAAACAGGAGTGCAACCTTATCCCTCTAGACAAGAATTCAATTCTCATCACACCTAACATGTCATTGTATTATTCAATTAATTTTACCCATTCATAAGTTATCATGCCATCTGTTGTTATATCTTTCTTTGATTTCTTCTTTCCTTCGTTTCCTTCCAGATCTAAATCATCATCTGCTGATTGTTTTTTCTGTGTGACTATTTTATATAGAACATCAGGATGATTCCATATCTATAAATAAAACAAATAAGTGCAAATTTTTATAAACATTCTTTTTATTATGGTAGATTAGTGTTTACATAATAGAGATTGGGTAACAGGCATACTCTATGCAAACCCCACTATGCTGACTGGGATCAGCAATAAACCATTCCAGTAGTCATTTGGAAGCTAATACAAGGTATTCCCTGTGACTTGCAATGTCTTCCAGAGAATTTTGAAGAACATAGATGAATAACATCATCTCTTCCATGATTTTCTTAGGACCCTTTTTTCTCTCAGTTACAGTTTTATTTGATTTTATCTTGTAAGTTGTTAAGTAAAAACAAATATATTTTTCGCTGTAACTTGAATATATTATACAGTGGACTCTGTTACTTCCTACATCTGAATACTACAGCATTCTGTGAAATTTGTCATGATTTTCATGTCCCGATTTATTTCCTTATTACTTCAACCATCACAAGCCATCACCAATCAATTATCTGTGAGCATAAACATGTGTCGGTCTTTGTTGATTACCATGTTAATTTTATAATCTCTTGGTATATGGTTGAGTTTCTCACGTCAAATACAGCAACATTATATATAAATTGCCGAGATGAAGAATCACTATCATCATAATATTGTGTTCATAATGTGTGATCGTCCGGCAAAGCATGCCTGTACGGATTTGACACCGATGTCAAGCAGCAACTTATAGTATAGCAGATTTTGAGAAAGATCGACACGACCTACACAGAAGGAATTAGCCATTAAGTATTCAATGGGCAGTACTACAGTATTCGACATTTTAAAGCAAAAAAGATGAATTCAAACAGAGTGGTTTAAGCACGTGGTAAAACACAACCTGTCAGTCAATTGGTCGGCCAATCGTAAGGCTTGGATTTTAGATGATTATATAATACTCAAAGTAAATTGTTATGTACATGTATTGTTATGTTATTGTTATGATATAATGTAATAAAGTAATGAATGTACAGAAAGTGTTATCATATTTTAAGTTCTGCGTATTCGAGGGTGCATTATAATAAAACTTCCAGTATTCAAAGGTACAATAATACTTTTGGTGTAATTGAGTATTCCGACATGCTGTATAATCCAGCATATTGTATCGATCCCATACGATGTCGAAATTGACAGAGACCACTGTATTTGGTAGTCTGAATATATTTTCATGTCTATTTTTATGTATTTTAACTCTTGACTGTCCAGGGAAGATATCTGCCAGGTTAAATTCTCTGAAATACTTAATTTTATATCATGCAAATTGACTGAAATGTCAATCTCCTGCTGGTCAATTTAACTGCCAGAACCGTAAGCCTTAGCCAAATAAATTCATGCGTACAATAATAAAACAAATTTGAAATTTAAGTCCTTACCTTACAACAGACAGAGAAACTTTTTAATGGATTATTATTAGCCCAGGAACTAAGTCCTGTATCTGATATAGAGGCCATAAATTTATTATATAAAGCTCTTTGTATAGGTGACATTCGTATCATAAATACATATTCTTGTTTCTCTGGTAAACTTGAGTTTAATACAGCATGGCCTCTCCTGAAAGACAAGTTTATGTTTAATAGCTAATTTGACAAGGACACTATGTTCTGATTAAAATCGTACTTTCTTAAATGAGCTAACCCTCTTTGATTTAGGTCAAAATAAAGTGTTGAATTGGGGCTGAATGTCCTACTTTTCTGCACCAACCATGCTTATGAAGACAGGCATACGTCATACAGTAGTGTTCTATGAGGGAAATTTAGCTCGGATAGCAACTGAATTCCAACTATCAAAGGTTCTTTCACTTGCACAAGAACAGGTAAAAAGACCTCGGTTTTCCATCCCATCCAAACGACTAGATGCAGAAACCATGTTGAAAAATCCTGAGAAACTATCTCTGTGAAAACTGGGATAGAACACGGGGCCTCCAGATTTACGAGCCAGCCCCTTTTAGTCACTGAGCCACCGTGACCAATTCCATTATTAAGAATGGGACAAGCTCTATATACTTCTTTCATAGCAAGACCTAAAAACATGATTAACTTTAATTCACAAGGTCAAATCTAACTAAAGTCAATCCAACAGAGAACCATATTGATTATCATTATATCGCACAGTAGAATATTCAATTCGAAGTACTACCTTTGTACAAAACCTTCTAATAAACTATGTAAAACATAGGCTCTATGTCGGGATAAACGTAAATCTTTTTCTGTACTATCAACGCATACACCATTAGCCATTGGTCGTTCAAACATGTTAGAGAACTCGGTCTTTGTACCAAGGAAATTAGGTCTTACAAAGTCAACCATACACCAGTACTCTAATAAGTTGTTTTGTAGAGGATATCCTGTTAGAACTACTCGTCGTCTGAAAAATAAATAAACAAGTAAATAAGTCCTTAAATTCAAAATAGTGGTATTAGGTTTAATATCTATAAACTGTCTACTGATCTTCAAATTTCAAAAAAACTTTATGTATAGTCCAGTGGGTGCCATATCATTCTATATCTCACTTAAAAGACTACATTCTTATTTTTGACAACCTTGCAAACAACACAATAAAATTAGTTGGTATCGAGTAAAATATTACAATTCGATAATTCTGAAATGGACCCTTTTTTAACTCCTATACATGTCGAAACTGCACATTTATTTGCATTAAAGAAAACTCTGATTGTGAATTCTACTGGCTGATTATCCCCAATACTATAGGGTCTAGTATGTGCAGTATTTGTATTGGGAATTTATCAAATTTCACGGCTATATAGTAAATACATATATGTTATTTACTTATTCAATAACCATATGACACCTTGAATATTGAAATCCAAAATAAATAGATGATACATATTTCTTAACTGCATATTTATCTTTTGTAAAGTATCGACCAATCCAACTGATTATCTATACTTATTCTAAGCAGAAAATGTTCACGATCGAAATCAGTCATGGTTTTGAAGTACCTGATAGAGAAACTATACACTAAGTTTCAACACTCTCTATCAGTTTGAATCAAAGTTATCTTGTCTCAAAGCATTAATCAATGAAATTGCTTAACTCTGCTTAGCTTTAGTGCAAAATGTTCATCATTGAACTTAGTCAAGACATTCACCTAATAAAACATTTTTTATCACCCAATAACACATTCTACAGTAGATATCGCTTGTGTGATAAACTACATAATCTACTGCAATAAACTACATAATCTACTGCGATAAATTGATAAATTTGATTGGTCAATTAAAAAGGAACTACTTTCTTTTATTTTAAAGGAGACACTTTTTTGGAATGAAAAGTAACTTCTTTTTTTTTATTAAAAAGACACTATTTTTATTTAATTAACCTTGAAGGAAACACTGGGTCAATATATAGGACTTTGTAATAGGTAAATTGCTGTCAAAAAATGATGTATCACTAGCTGTAATGTAATCAGGTTCAGTAAAAGTGAAATTTATATCAAACAAAGAATTATATATTTATCTATTTGTGCATGTAAGAAAGGATTTGGTGATAAATAAAATCTCCTACTCGTCTTTTATGATATTAAAAAAAGACTCGTAGGAGATTCTCTATATCCCAATTAAAAGCAGATCTGTTATGTTCCAAAGTCTTGACCAATCAAATTGCTTATCACTACTTAGTCTAAGCAGAAAATTCTCATCACCAAATTTAGTCAAGGTATTGATATAACGAATCTATACTCTGAGTTTCATCACTACAGCGCAGTGGAAGCTTACGGCTAGCCCCAGGATCCATTCACTCTATTTGATTTGTACGTTTGTTTGTGAGTTCTGCGTAACATGTCTTGTCCGTATATCTGTTTTTGTGTAAATTATGTGTGGTGCAGTCCCCCTGCATTTACTATTAATTAGAACCAAAGTTATCGTGTCCCAACGCATCAACCAATCAAACAGCTTATCTCTGTTTAGCCTAAGCAGAAAATGCTCATCTTCGAACTCCATCAAGGCATTCACTTAACTCTTAAATGACCCAGCGATTTGACATCATAAAAACGCACGTCATAATGGTCAATAGTGTTAAAGTACAGATATATGCATTTAAAATTCATATCATTAAAAAACATCTGTAGATAGACCCTTCATGTAAATGGATGAAATAATCTAAATTTAATGCCATTTTCATAAATATGGATTTTATACAAAACATTAATTGAGACATGTCATGAAAAATTCATGTATATAATGGTTATTTCTATTTTTTTTTGTTTGGCTGTTGTGAACTAAAAATCATTCATCATGACTCTCTTTTAATTTAAGCTTATTTAGGCAATTAAAATTTGTTGATTAATCCTACTTCTATCACGTTCAAATGCAAAACTATAAATATCTACACCACCGATAAAATCTGAATCACTGTCATTCAATAAGGATGATAATCCATCATTAGGAGAACGTTGTCATGTAGGCCTAGACATAACACTGTTTTATTATAATTTTTTAAGAAGCAACAGTACGACTTTTAACTGTCATAATGTCACACAGGAAGTAAACAAATTAGAAAAAGCTGTCTGTTTATAAGGGAAGTAACTCTCATTACGCTAGGAATGTTGCATTCGACTAACTGGTTTTGTCGACAAAAGTTGCTGTGGGTATGTAACTTAAGGGTAACGTTATAGGTGATGACAAAAGTTGCCGTGGGTCAGTTAAGAGTTAATAAACGCCTAAAACAAGTTTGAACATTCTACCTCAATTAGTACATTGCCAATATTATTAATTACATTACCATTACTTTTTAAATGTAATCATTACAATTACTTTCTCATTTTTAGCAATGTAATTAAAGCTGAATCCGATTTCAAAACTACAGAAATAATCAAATAAAAAAAAAAGTTAGCACCCTAAAATATGGACGCATTTTAAACATAACTAAAACATTACACTGTATTGACAAATATAAATGTTCACAAAAGGGAACAGTATTGTATTTAATTTGAGTGATAATATATCATAAGCGTTTAAGGTACATGTAGCGTCACCCGGTCGACATGTGTTGATTCTAGGGCAGTTATTTCTTGAACTTCCGACTTCGGTGTCAACACGGGAAAAGCCTGGATTTGCTTATCGGTATGTATTAGGAGCACCCCTTCTAGAAAATAAAATATTTGGTAAGAAAAAGTGTGCCTAATACACCGAAAATTATGGTAAAAAGATTCTCACTAGTCAGTGTAAAATATTGAAAGAAACACAGTGTATTTGAAATCAGAATTGGGTCAAAGTCAAAACGATATTGTGTCTATAAGGTCAATTTACAGGATAAGAAACAACCCAATCAAATCCTACCTGGTTTTAATATTTTTCAATGATTGAGATATTCCAGCATGGCTATTTTTAATACGATGTCCTTCATCGCATATAACTATATCAGGTCCTGGATTAACTAAAGCACCAAATATATCTGAAATAATCACAACAATATTATAACTCGGTAGTTATTCTTTTAATTTAACCAAACAAAATTATAATGTTGTCACTGACACCCTGCAAGGTCAGGGATTTATTCTGTAAATTAATATAATTTTTTGTAATAACAATAAAATGCCCCCCATAAATTGTTATCAGTGTTATTTTTGTTTGATTTACAATTAATCTTCAAATTGGATGGCCCAACATTTCATCACTAAGGCATGTTTGATATTGCTTGCATACAGCAGGAAGAAAGTTATGTAACTATGGTAGGCTTTCTAAAAATCTTTAATTGTTTGTATTTATTGATTTATTTATTTATTCATTTACCTGTCATTAAGGATTTATTTTTATCTTCTTCATCAACATCTATAATTTCTGGCTCCATGGTTTTCTTTGAACGTTTTGGTTTAGCAGGAAATGAACGCTTAGATGACAATAGACGATACATTTCATACCCCATTAACATAACGCCTCCTTCTACATTCCACTGTCCTATAAATATACATTACAAAATTAAACATTTTGGTCCACTTCACAATATCATTGAATTTAGCTATCACTTTCATAATTTACAAATGGGGTTTAAAGGAGCTAAATCACTAATATTTGGGACTTGAATTTGACACAAATGCGTCGCAACACATATAATATTGTAATATGAATGTATATAAACTGATTTACATCCAATCGTTTCCGTTTTTACTCTAATTTCAAATGAGTTATGTTCGGCAGAATATGTGACAAGTCTCAATCGACTGATAATCTCTAGCGCCTGGTTATTCCAGTTTACAATGGTAGTATTTATTGCGCATGCTCTCAAGATAAGAATATGGTGTCACCGTTTGACATGACTTGTGGAATATATCTTCAAGTCCCTTGTTACAAATGGTGCTGAAACGAATTATGGTACACGATTCGTGTACCAATCCTAAAATGCTTATTTTATCTTACATATTGGATATCAGAATCCCATCTTTTCACGGTAAGATCACAACATCAATGTTGATTTAAATTTAATTGACAAATAATTTGTGTTTTCAATGTCAAAGACTTTAGATGATACTGAGTTAAAGACTTTGCTACTTTCAGATCTTATCTCTGCACCATCTGGGCTAATGAAAATTTATGTTGCTGCTGTGTGGAAATTATTGATTTGGCAGCGGTGCTACATGCATGGCCTACTCTTATTTCGATTTCTGGATCTTTAATGTGTTGCACATAGAACCACAGTTTTTTATACCATCCAAACCACAAGACACTTTTCCTTGCCAAGTCCTTCATCCTGCACCTTTGAAATGGGAACACCAAGCTAGGAAATCCTGAAAAGCTTTGTCAGCCAACACCTGGAACTCAGCCTGTATGCCTCCCTAAAGGTAAGGTTGATCAAAATTTATTTACCAGAATAAAGTAATTGTCACAGAATCAACCAAATTATACTGTAGTAGACTAATTACATGGTGTTGGTGTTTAAATTAGTATCTTTCTACTTACCTATAACTTTGGCTCGTGCCGATGTAGTTTTATAATTATCATTCAATAAGAAAACTTTAAAATTCCTCGGCAGAACATCGGTATAACCTGGTGGTACACAACTAGGGTCAGGTGCCCACATATTAAATTCAACCATCCAATTTTGTAGCGTGTTAATTGGCACTATACATAGAGCACTCCTAGCTTTAGTGTATCTAAGATAAATTTCTATAAATGAGATCATTTGTATTGTTTTTCCTAAACCCATACTATGGGCTAATATACAACCAAATCCTGGTGTTGTCTGATGTCTTTCTAAAGATTCCACAACATTGTCATACAGAAACCTCACACCTCCAATCTAGCAGGAAAAAAACAACAAAACAGAATATTTTGATTAACATTGGAATTCTAAAATGGTATTTTAGCATGTGTTGCTTGGCAACGATGCACGCAAGTCTAAGTCAGGTACATGTATCATTCCTAATGGCAGCCCAGAAATCTAGAAACTTAATTTGATTATTTTATATTGTGACGATACGTAGTAGTTTGAATATTCCAATAATAATTACAGCACCTAGATTGTCAAAGAAATATTTCTTTTAATGTGTAAATTAAATATTAATATCTGTTTGAATTTCTACATAAAGTCATTACATGCACAAACCTGATGTGGTTTAATAGCTCTAGCTATCTGTGGTGCTAGATATACATCAGGATCTTCTGGTGGATGACTCAGATTTACCAATACATTTCCATGTTCATCTCGACAGTTTATAGAATCATCTATATGTGATCCAGCATTGTTCATATCCTCTTCTTCTATAATGTCCTCTTCTAAATTAGGTCTTACCATAACAATGTCTTCATCTTCATCAGAACTCAAAGTTATTATCTCTATAAACAATAAACAAATGGTTCAGATAAATTCCACAGATGTAAACATAAAGATGGCAGTGTGAAATAAATAGAAACCAGTATCAGCATTACTGGTAAATTGTTTTATCTGAAGGTAGAATTGATAGGTTTTTAGTTTTAATGAAATTATTTTAAAGTGTGAATGGTATAAAACCTTATATTTATTCTTTAATCTTGGATGATGGGTTTACCTTTTTCATGTTCTTTATCTAAATCTTTGTTATCTAATAAAATAACATCATCGTTCTTTGATGCTTCTGTAGCTTCATCTTCAGCAGCTGAAAAATAATGTAAAATAAATGATTGTTCACAAAAGAATAAATACTTATGTGTAGTAAGACATGTTTAAATTGCTGGTGTACTTTAATAAATATAATATCTGAATTAGTATTTTAGTCTTTAGTAACTAGAAAGAAACACATCGGCCAACCTCCAGCATATTCCGGTACCCGAGGTTGGCCAAATACAGTTCTCCATATTCTGAGACTATTCACGCGGCGTTATGGAGACGTGCACACTGGTATACATTGTTTCTGCGTTGTTACTTAGTATGGCGATGTGAACGGGAGGCGAATATGATATATAATGGGCCAGATCTGTGGCTCAGGTAGACTTTTTATTTACTGGATCAGAGGGTTGCATTGATGCTAATATGTCCGGCCACAAAATGAAGATTTTGAGGGCACGACGGCCAATTGAAAGGGCACCCCGGCAATGTCCACGGTGACAAAAAGATGATCATTTGCCCTAATAAGTTTTAACTGACATTGAGTAATGAATACCAGAAAATAAGTTCAAACTGCCATGAAAAACTATCAAAACAAGCCAACAGTGAAGCTGATGTCCCCCGACGAAATCCCAAAACAAATAGATGACACATATTAATTAATTGCTCATTTATCTTTTTCAAAAAGTATCGAGCAATGAAACTGAGTATCTATACTTAGTCTAAGCAGAAAAATGTTCACGATCAAACTTAGTCAAGTTTTTGAAGTACCTGGTAATGAAACTATGCATCAAGTTTCATCACTCTCCATCACTTTGAATCAAAGTTATCTTGTCCCAAAGCATCGACCAATCACCTAATGAACATCTGTATCAAGTTGAAACAATCTACCTCAATTAAAAGCAGGGTTGCTATGTTCCAAAGTCTTGACTAATCAAATTGGCTAAGTAGCGATAGACTAATCAAATTGTTTATCGCTACTTAGCCTAAGCAGAAAATTTTCATCATCAAAACATAGTCAAGGTATTGATATAATGAATCTATACTCGGAGTTTTATCGCTCTCACCCAATTAGAACCAAAGTTATCTTCCTTCAAAGTCTCAACCAATCAAATTGCTTATCTCTGCATGGATCAAACTCTGTCAAGGCATTCACCTAATAGTAATAGACACCCGCACTAAGTTTGAACATTCTATCTCAATTAGAAGGAGAGTTATTGTGTTCCAAAGACTTGAACAATCAAATTGATGTAATGAAACTATACATGAAATTTCCCCACTATCACTCAATAAGCTCCAAAGTCTCAACAAATCAAATTGCTTATAGCTCTGCTTACCCTGAGCAGAAATTGTTCAATATCAAACATAGTCAAGGTATCGATGTGATGAAACTATACACAAAGTTTCATCACTCTCACTTAATTAGAACCCAAGTTATCATGCTCCAAAGCATCAGCCAATCAAATTGCTTATCTTTGCTTACCCTAGCAAGAAAATGCTTATCTTCGAACTCCATCAAATCATTCACCTAATGAACGCCTACACCAAGTTTAGTAGCAGAGTTATTGTGTTCCAAAGTCTCAACCGATCAAATTGTTGACCGCTCTGCTTACCCTGAGCAGAAAATGGTCATTATCGAGCTTAGTCAAGGTATTGATGTAATGAAACAATATACCAAGTTTGATCACTCTCATATAATTATTGTGTCCCAAAGCATCAAGCAATCAAATTGCTTATCTCTGCATACCCTAAACAGAAAATGGTCATCTTCGAATTCCATCAAGGCATTCACCTAATAAACACCTACATCAAGTTTGAACATTCTAGCTCAATTAGGAGAGTTATTGTGTCCCAAAAAGTGTTATGGACTGACAGACAGACGGACGGACAGACAAACCCATTTTAATAGTCCCCCCTGCTTCCTTAGAAAGATGGGGGATTACAATATGCATTACCAAAGTACAACTATATGTGTGTATCCAGACATCCAAGACAGGTATAGTTTTGCATTCTGAATTATTTAGCAGTTTGTACAGAAAATCTTAAAATGTTACATTTAAAAACCAAACTCTTTGATTGTTTTTTTGTCGTATTTTGACCAGACCTGCCGATTCAAGCCAGTCCAAAAGAGATTATTTTCCAAAGCATAACTTGAAATAACAACGGAGGATTGTCTTCTGTTAGTAATATAAAATAACCAAATGTTGTCAGATAATCTCACCACTTTGCAAAAGGAATGTATATTTTAATCACAGTTTGAAGGCATTAAAAAGTGCCTTCCACAAATTACCAATGGTGGCACCAGGATAGGTAGGATTTTCAAGTAACCAGGACATTTTCACAAATTCTCGATGGAATGCGATGTGGAGTACTTCCTGGATAGGAAACACAATCATCAGAAGTAATTGCATTTTAGCATCAATAAGAAATGATGGGAAAATTGACTCATGGAGATTGAATATGTCCAGCCACTCCTCAACACCACTGTCATAAGGTGCTATTTTTAAAAATATAAAATATGTACCTTGCAGTAAAGATTTAAGTTCTGAATCTTTCTCTTCCTTGGCTTGTTTTTGTACTAAACTTTTCTTCAGTTCATTTAATCTTCTTTTTCTCTCGAATTCTTCATTTTGAGCAGCTATAGTATCTTTATCTAAATCCTTTTCACTGATTATTTGCCTGAAAATCAAAGATGATATTGAAATCATAATGTAACTGGCCCACTGTTGTTGTCCATTTTGTATCAATGACACAATCAACAGAGAGAGAGAGAGAGAGAAGGGGAGGGGGGGCGTCTCAAAACTAGTCATTTTGCATCTTATGTATACCAGTATAACTACCATAATGGGTTTACACAAAGTTTCTTACAATACAACTTGTTAGAACCCTTTCTGAGATATGGCCTTAAATAATAATGGTACACCAAAAAAATAATGTCAATATAAGAGTCCATGATGAAGACAATCTTATTAAAAATAGATGTGTCTTCAGGGTCTTTGACGACCGCTCAATAATACATGTACCTTAGCCCGTGATTAGACAGCCAAGAATATGTACACTGTATTGTGTTTATTGTTCAGTTAGATTACCTGATATTCTTTCTTTTAAAATTTGATTTATTCTTTGATTTCTTTTTTGACTTTTCTTTCTTTTCCTTTTTTCGTTTACGTTTTTTAGTAGATGTAGAAGCAGGTTTAGTTGTCGCAGAACTTGTTGTAGCAACAGCTGTAGTTTCTCCTTCTGGTGTAGGTGTTTCATCTGATTTCTCAAGAGAAATGATTTCATCTCCATCCTCAACCCCTAACTCAGATTCTAACTGATCTAACTTTTCTTCATCTAATAATTCTGATTCATCAGATTCGTCATCTGGTAAAAAATAATTTTTTTGTAATCATATTGATATATTAGGTATCAAATCTGAGAAATTTTCTACATACATGTATTCAAAATCGCCGCGACAACTTGCCACTGACATTTGTCACCATCAAGTGACTATATTACTCAACAGTGATCATAGGAATGTGTATACGAAGACATTCAAGATTTAATTTGGCCTATTTTCTATTTAAAATTTGGAAGCAACTGTACAATTAATTAAGTAAAGATGGGTTGCCAGGCAACAAAACATACGCCCACAGCAGCTAAATCGTCCGAGCAGTCGACAAGGGTTGCCACATATTTATTCTTTTGTAGGTAATTAGGGGAATTTAATAGACAATTTCATACAGATGACATTATAATTTCCGTTGTTTGAAGGTTCACAAGGTTCTAAAATCTAAAACAAGGCCGTAACTCTGGAAGCAATCTACAGAAATTGTTCAAATTCGACAGGCTTTTTTCGTTTTAATAATTCAAATAATGCATATGAATTTCATACAGATCGGATGATAACTTTTGTTGTTCGAAAGTTCACAAAGTTCAACAAAGTAAATCAAGGGCCATAACTCTAGACGTAATTGATGGAAATTGCTGACATTCAATAGGCTTGTTTGTCTTCATTTCACTAATTTAGGTGATAACTGAAACTCAATAGGCTTGTTCGTTTTACTAATTTGAATGATACATATAAATTTCATACAGATCGGATAATAACTTTTGTCGTTAGAGCATTTACAAAGTACAACAAAGTGAAACAAGGGCCATAACTCACGGCGTAATTAACGGAAATTGCTGAAATTCAATAGGCTACTTCATTTCACTAATTTAAATGATGCATATCAATTTCAAACAGATCGGATGATAACTGTTGTCATTAGAGCGTTCACAATATTCAACAAAGTGAAACAAGGTCCATAACTCTAGATGTAATTAACCGAAATTGCTGAAATTCAATAGGCTTCTTTGTTTTACTAATTTAAATGATGCATATAAATTTCATACAAATCGTTTGATAACTTTGTCATTAGAGCGTTCACAAGGTGCAACAAAGTAAAACAAGGGCCATAACTCCAGAAGAAATAAACGGAAATTGCTGAAATTCAATAGGCTTCTTCATTTCACTAATTTAAATGATGCATATCAATTTCAAACAGATCGGATGATGACTGTTGTCATTAGAGCGTTCACAAGATTCAACAAAGTGAAACAAGGGTCATAACTCTAGATGTAATTAACGGAAATTGCCGAAATTCAATAGGCTTCTTTGTTTTACTAATTTAAATGATGCATATAAATTTCATACAGATCGGTTGATAACTTTTGTCGTTAGAGCATTCACAAGGTGCAACAAAGTGAAACAAGGGCCATAACTCCAGAAGAAATTAATGGAAATTGCTGAAATCCATAGGCTTCTTCATTTTACTAATTTAAATGATGCATATCAATTTCTTACAGATCGGTTGATAACTTTTGTCATTAGAGCGTTCACAACATTCAACAAAGTGAAACAAGGGCCATATTTCTATGTGGGCGTATAAAAACTGTGAAATAAAATGGGGTTTAATTTAACATCCTACTCCCACTGGGAAAATGAAGGCGGGAATATATCATATTGTGTGCTATAAGGGAAATTTTTCCAGGACAGCGACGCTATACGGCCTACTCTTATATCGAATTCCAACTGCCAAAGGATCTTTTACTACATGCATGCTAATGAGTATACGAGGCCTCGTATTTTTGTCCTACATGAAATGAAATTGTCCTACTCTTATATTGCGTTCCAAATGCCAATGGATTTTTTACTTGCATGCCAATGTGTGTACGGGACCTCAGGTTTTTGTTCAATTCGAACCACTATACATTGTTCCTTGCCAGGCCCTCTGTCCTGCACCACTGACAAGGGGGAACCATGCTGGAAAATACCGATGAACTTTCTCGGCCAATGCAGGGATCGAACATACGATCCCACGGATAGCATGCCGTCTTACTTACTGAGCCACGGTGGCTTCCCGTCCTATCCAAACAACTATTAGTCATTGTTTTTTTGAGGAACGCGATTGCTTGCAAGCGTCTGCTGGGCACCTAATGTCGACCGAGGGGAGGTTTTACTCCCTCGCCTTAAAATTGAAAATCACTCTCCTTATTTGTATGGACATACATGTACATGTATGTATTTTTTTTCAAAAGAGTGTGAAAGAATCACATTCCGATAGCCGCCATGCTATCATTGTTAACATTTATTTGATGTATTCGATTAGTGTACGTGATCGCACATGGTAATAAAATTCTGAAGAAAATGTTTCTAAAAATAGATGGCACCTATGCAGCATTGGTTAGTTTGACTGAAATGTAAAGTAGAACTCTCTCGAGACGTGAGAAATTATGACAGATGCCACGTGAAAATTTCCAGTGAGAATAATTCCTGAAGCATTACATGTAGATTATATTTGGATGAAATTGTCAAGCGTTTATGATTATATTTCGAAAAGGGGTTATGTTTTTAAACAAAATTTATACAAGCTACATGTATATATATTTAGAAATGTCAACAAGTATTTCTATTGCAATACCGTATGTAGTTATAGACGATAGCAGAAGTTTCACTTGACCGTACAACTACAAGTGCTATTATTTAGCAGACGATGTTTATTATCATTTATGTAACCAGAATGGCCCCTTACACACAGTTATTGATCTTCAGAACCATTTCCTTTACATAAAACTAATCACTCGCCTAAATATCACATCAGACCACTCTCCTTAACTTCTAAATAACTCTTCTTACCAAAACTGGGAGAGCTTTTTTAGGGGAGCGATTTTTTCAATTTGTTCATTATGGGGAGCTTTTTTCGGCTCTCCTCTAAAATACAAAAAACAACGACTGAACGATACATTGTCCCTTCCCAGGCCCACTGTCCTGTACCACTGACAAGGGGGAACCACACCCCGTAAAAATTTCCATAAACTTTCTCGTCCACCGCAGGGATCGAACACGGGACCCAAGGTTAACTAGCGAGCCAACATCATACTCCTAAAAACTGTGAATGGTGGCTGTTAAAAAATGCAGCCTAATGCCAAGATAGTTCTTGTTATGACTTAGACTTCCAAACCTGTAATATATTTAACAGAAATCAGAAACCCCTGTAATTTTGATACAAACTATACATTGGTGTTTTACCCTACCTCCTTCTTCATCCTCTTCTTCGGATTCTCCACTTGATTCCTCCTCCTCCCCCTCTGATTCATCTTCTTTATCTTCATCATCACCCTCTTCCCAGTCACTTCCATCATCGTCTTCAATATTATCTACTCCCTGATTACTACAACTTCCACCTTCTCCACTATCTTGTGTGGCTTCTGCTATAACCTGAACGTCATCCTCATTTAAGAAAGCATCTTGACCAAAAAGCTCATCTTCTAAAATAGAATTTTCTTCCCCACTACCTTCGGGTAAGTCTTCTTCAATATATGAATCATAATTAAGTTTGTTTGACAACACGTCTGCAAGTTTACTGTTTGTTTCAAGCTCAGGTCCTGGATCTCCACTAGCCATCCTTAATTAATAAATCTTTTATTTGTTTAAATTCCCGGTTTAATCAGACAGATTTGGGTAATCATAGTTTTGTTTTTCACTCTGAAACAAAAAGAAGAAAAGATTCAATATTTTAAAAGTTCAAATTAAATGGAAGTTTATAAATTTCATATATCAATATATCAGACTAAATTATTTAATGTAGGCCTACTAATTAAGGCGTAATAAAACAACTCCCTTTAATGTGTCTAACAATAAGTTCCTATAGGCTGTAGTCTAAGAGTCTGAATGGGACCCAAACCAGCCAATTTTGTTGACCCCTTCAATTTTACATCTTAATTCAAATAGAATATGATATCAGATATGATATATGGCTGAAGTGAAACTGAAAGCCTCCTGATGCTCTTCTTCTTTTCAAATGTATGGCTACACTTACACTAAAAGCAGATAAATTTGATCTTGATGAATTGAAAGTTTGAAAATAGGACAAATGTTTCATTTGAATAACCATACATAGATCTGTACATTTCCCGGAAAACCCATTTCACTTATGACTATGACCAGCAAGCCTACTCTTAACTTAGTAAAAATGACTAATGCAATCCAATGAAGTAAAAACCTTAAACTAACGGTTTGTGATAAGACCTGGTTGCTTGGTAAGATTAATAATCCGCAACTCCATTCACTGTCGAAGATAATGAATATCTAAAGTTTCATTCTAAAATCATACAAACATCATGAGTACCTGTAATGCCGATGTAAATTAATATATTAATTTTAGATTTTCTGGAAAATCACTCCATTGTTCAATTAATAACTTCCGGTGAAATGCATTATGGTTTACAAATGAAAATTTGACAGCCAGTGCCCGAAAAAAGTATTAGTATTCTACTCTAAATCAACTTATTACAGAATAAATAGCTTTACTAGTCGCAAGAAATGTTCTGACCTATTTCAGGCATATTAATAAATCCCTTTTTCGATTCAACTTTGGTCAGTATAGTGTTACAAATTGTTATATCACATGAAGCAGACGATGTGTTCGTACCAATTAAAAATATTTGAAGTTAGCAACCAAAATATACAACACCTGCATACTAATGGTCAATCTGTTTTACAGAGAATTACGAGTCTCGTATAATATATCTGTCATAGATGACTGCCTTAACACGTGCTGTCACAGCAAGCGGTGTGAATCATTGGCTGAATGGCGCGTGCATCGTTTACATAAGACATAACTGCTTTGGAGAGAATGCTGCATTTTAGTCATTTTAATACCCATTTACACTAAATCGGAAATAATTTTTAACTACAAATATACGTCAAACGCCTTTATTTATTTTTCCAATATATACAAAAAATGTTTTAGAATTTAATTTGTCGCAGGAAAAAAGTTAATATTTCTAGCTCATTAAGCCGCATCAATGTCATCCTTATCAGTGATTGTCGCGGCCAAGCAAATATTCACTGCGGATCAGTGTGACTAATGGTATCTGCTGTAGGACCTCCAGAGGCTGGAGCCAATGCCTAGAACCATTAAAATTTTAGAATTATTTTATTCTCTTTTGAACTCTAAATCCCAGGTATTAGTTTCTGATTAGTGGCACAAATTCTTATGTTATACCATATAAGAATAATAAAAAAAAATAATATGCTATCATAACGTCAGTCAATTCTCCGTTTGATCGGAAAACCCTATAATATATCTAGGCAAAATCATAATTCTACCCGTCTATTTGCTGAAATATGTCCTGGTTTACACAAGTTTATCTCAGCCTCCAAGGTAAGCACTTAGATAATTTGCCCCACCCTCCTAGAAGCGTGAGGACACTGGCTACTAGTACAAAATTTCTGAGATAAAACATTACAATAGGATATAAATTTCAAATAATAATTTATAATTAAAACAAAACCAAAAAACTTACAAAAATGCAGGTGCATTTTTAAGAATGATTGTACATGAATTTACATTTAAAAATGTAAAATAACGAAGTCTCCCTAAGGGAAGTAAATCTATAAATAATTTTGAAAAGCGACGCGCGACGCAAAAGGCGACTCGTCGCTTTATAAAGGGCGACGTCGTGTTAAAGAGTCGACGTCGCTTTTTCTCCATAGCTCAACAATGAAAAAAGCGAGCGCGACGCGAATTTTGCGTCGCGCGTCGCTTTTTTTTAAAGGCGACGCGGGAAGTGGCCGAAATAGAACACCATAAGACCCCACATATTTCATGGACGCTATCAACAGAGAGGTATACTGCGTGGGCTTCGTCTAGCTTGGTCATGCGATGTTGGTTAAATATGTGCCCTGCAAATAAAATAATAAGTGACGTCATAATATTGGGTAATCCAAAGTTGATCGTAGTTCTTGGTATCCAGCATTAGCCCACCCCCCCCGGTCCAATATTAGTACATAGTATTGGACTCCGGGTGACATCTTTGCAAGTGACCAATCAATCGCGGGGGTCGGTGAGCGGGATCTCAATGGTTCCCCTATATAGGTGGAAGTGGCCGTTAAGTCTCAATGAACGAATAATCCGAATGGTTCAGACATCATATAGACATCACGACATCGTTGGGCGTTCATAGAAAAACACCATACCGATACGAGAGTGAGACCATGTACCGTTTTAGAAGTAGGTTTGAGGTCTATGCTCGTTGAACAAGACTATATGTTGCAACTTATACATGTGATGCCATAGCTGTTGTGAATTGTGTAGTTTCTTATATTTCTCACATAAACTGATTTAGAATAATACGGTGTCCGATATTTGTATTGGTCATTTGAAAGTACTCACCGTGAAGTCCAAAATATTGAAGCGCTGCTATGACATAGAAAAGATTTCCATAGTTCCTGTTGGCTGCTAGCTGTGACCCTGACCACCATTGTGTCACACTTTCTTATCCACGGATACTGGTTCTCTGAACAAGTTTGCAATTGGTTTTATATATTCCTTATTCACTGTATAGATGCCCCCAAACATATTTCTGTATACAATTCATTATCGCGTACATGACTGCACGGTTGAATCCTGCGTTTTTGTCGAGGCTAATTTTTCATTGTACGTCCTCGGTATCCCCAGTGGTCTCATTACGTTTACTCCGCTATACCCTGGTTTAATCCATAGGGTTTCCACGATTTCGAATTATCTGCTCTGGCCTTGATTGTAGCTAAGATCTACGAACAAATCAAAAACAGTTTACAAAACAGTTTATCGCCTATTCCATACGTGCTAGGTATTAGTATTCTACGCATCCTGGCACAATTTTTAATTTTTTGGACCACGGGAACAGTGTCCGCTAATCTATCCTAGTTGGTGGCCGTGGCATTTTGGGCGTGTATGTATAATACTATAGGGTTTCTTTTAGTTATAAGAAAGGTGTTCTGTTTAATCGAATAACACACTATTAATGGATAACAATTACTATGGTTTATTTCACTGCGACGTTTCAACAAGATTTCACAAGTCGTTTTCAAGAATATAACACAAATAAATAAAATAAAATGAAATCGGAGCTCAAGGGGAACATACCCATAGCCTCCTCGGCTTAGAGGCTAGGGTGAACACATCATCCTAGTGCGAACCTTATACTATCAAGAAGTATGTGGCTCTTGCCACGTTTAAGCCGTTCTGGTCTGAGTTAGAAAGGATATGAAACTCAGACCGTGGATATTTTAATAACTCGAAAAGTACTATCATAACTTTGTAGTTTGCTTTATTTGTTTAATTATATAAACTTAGTAACAACATAAACGGTGTTCCAGAGTCAGTTAATTGATGATTGAAATAATTGATCCCGCAACGTGAAGTCGAAGAAACGCCTAGAAGAAAGTGTCACATCTGTCCGCATAGTGTCACGTATTTTTATTTAGTGTCGTGATGAAGGATAGTCGCAACGTAACTCTACCCCGTAGTGCCACATCTGTTATGGGTAACCCGCCGCACAAACTGTCTGGCAGTGGTCATTCATGATTCCTGTTGTGTTTTCAACAACTCCAAATCTGTTTTAGGTAGTACAAATTAGATAACTCTTGTCGGGGATACCCCACCACTACAAATGTCTGGCAATTACATAGCTCTGTCAGGAGTACCCCACTCCCACCACTACAAATGTCTGTCAGAGTGTTTTTGTAATACCTGAAGATGTATGGTACACTGCTGTACGATTTTCATGTGGTACACTTTTGAGCTAATCTAGCCTAGTTGAGGTGGGGGGGCATGGAATACCACACCCACCACCAGAAACCCGACAGACTTACATTCTGATGGTAGGTATACATGCATTGATACCATATAGGAGAAAATTGGTACACTTTCCAGCTAGGTTGACCCCCGCTGCATGGGCTCCCGCTCTATTAGGCTACCTTCTGGTTAATTCCTGACCTTTTGTCTCTTTTGAAGGGGAGCCTTTGCGTTTTGCTTATTTTACCCGATGACAGTTACTCCCCTTTCCGGCATGGAGAATAGGCATGGTCTATTTGACCACTCTGTAATAAATGTAATTCAAATTTAACATGAAAACTGTGCAAGGGTAAAAAAAAGTAGTGAAATTTAAACGATTAGAGAATTAATTGACTTAGGACTTAGGACAATATGCCATTTATGTTTAAATCGAACTGTAGCCCACGGTTTAATTCTTCTTATTGTTTATCCTTTTTTTTCCAGTAATAATTTCTATCTAGTCTTCAACGTACGGGGGATCTGGGCCGGTAAGGTCTAAAAGTCAAGACCGATAACAGATTTTGTCATAGGTCACAATCTCGCCAACAATCAATCTCGTCAACAATCACGAGCGCTAACCCTATTTACATTATGTGGTTGATTATCCAGTAAATTTCGCAAAGTCAAGTAAGAGATGCGCCGTTTCCCGGCCGAAATAAATCCCATAATTCATACATCATTAGAGTGGTTATTGGTAAATGATAAAGCCAGCTCAATTTTCCGTCATAGCTCTAGGTCACAAGATGTAAACAGGGCTAGCGTTAATCCCAGCCCTTTACCCTAACCCTAAGCTACAATCTCGCGAACAATCACATGCCATAACCGTATTTACATCTCGGCGACCTTGACAAAAATTGAGCTGGCCTTAACAAATAGATACACCTCTTTGGGCCAAACAAACATGAATCGTGACGAGATGACAAATTAGGATTAATAAAAAACATAGATATGGTCCATGAAGAGAAATTTTACAATAAAAAAATTAAAAGTCTTGGATATTGAACTTGCAATTCAAATGGATTTTCTGCAATGGCAATTCTTAAATTAATTTCATGGGCGTCGACATCGTGTTTTAGAGCTAGTTACTTCCCTTAGATTTTGTAAAATGATATTGTAAAAGACCGGACAGTCTAGCCAAACGTTTACGATACTGTCTGTATGATAGAGATTAGCAAATTGGTGATACTATTTGAATTTGAAGCATTTTAAATGTGCATTTGAAGCATGAAATATTGCATTCATTGTAAACCAAATTAGTACTTAAAATTGACAATTTGGTCAACCCCAGTTACTTATTTTTGATACTTCTATTTCAACTAACCAGTTTGTGAATGAAACTAGATATTAATAGTTGTACCGTAAAGGTCCATGCATGGTTGTATATGGTCAGAGGGGGTTGGATGGCTGAATGGTTAGCACGTGCGCGCTGTATCATAAAGTCTGTCATTGAGTCAACTGGCGCGTGGTTTAATCGATTCCCCGGTTGTACGTGGCAAGAAGTAGGGTCGCCTGTCCAACCTCGTGGGTTTTCTCCGGGTCCTCCAGTTTCCTCCCACTACTAAAGACCCCTACGCGCAAGCGATTTATGGAAATAAAATTGAACGGTGAACCATATGTTAGTCCCGAAATGACCTAGTTTGTGTCGAGTGGACGTTGAAGCCCATTTCTCTCTCTCTCCCTCTCTCGTCAGAAAACAAAGTCATGCTATGTATTTTGAGTGCTAACTTCATTGAATGCGAATTTAACGGAAATAGACTCGTGCGCATGGGTTCTCAAGAACAACATTCCTGAAGCGGCGAAGTTTGTTGACACTTGTTGGGTTTGTTACCGGCAACAAAATTGTAGTCTATGACTTTTTTATTTTAAGATTGTAAATTAAGAAGATGAGGACTGTACCAACATGGGTTGATAAAGTTCTTGATAGAGACAAAGCAGAGCAATGGTATATTTTATTTCACAACTCAACTTTAGGCTAGAATTGTTTAATTGAAAAAATGCGACCTAAATTTAAATTAGGCCTAGGGCCTTGTTAAAAAGTAAAATATTTATCAGAATTATCATGATCAAACAGTTGTATCATAGAGCAGCCTTTCCTCAGTGACAAATAAGGAGCTGTGTTACCCCTTGTCGATGATGCAGGATGGAAGGCCCGGCGCAGCGCCAACTGTCTGAACCGTGGTAAATTAAACAGATTTCTTTCTTCCATGACCATTATGAACAAACTACTCTACTTTGGTTATTTATTATTTATATTTATATACTTACCTGTGTGTTTGAAATTACCTCCGGTTATATAAAATCCATTGTACAACTATATATGCCAGAGAATAAAAAAGTTCTCTCTTGTAAAATTGAACTCATCACAAACTTTGACACCGAGAAATACCAAAATGGAATCGAATTACTTCACTTATTGGGATAGATCATTTCGTATAAGGGGGTCAAAGCAAGGCTTGTCTATCGTAATGGTGTTTGGCCCTTTTACGAAAATTTTAATTTTGTGTATGAATAAGCTATTGCTCTCAGACCCAGTAATGAGTTTGTGCATATTTTGTTTTTGCCTTGTATTAATTATTTGGTTAGAGAGTTCGGTGGGATTATTTCTTTTGAACTACATTTGTTTTACTTGCCTTGAATCTCACCCTTGAATATTTTTAATATTTCCTGATGAACTTAAGCAGTCCTGTCAATTAACCTGCAGCAATCTGCCATTGAATCATTGAAAATGTATATAACGTTACTTTTTTTTATATAAATACCAAAAGTTATTATCAACAAATCATACTGCACATCAGTTTAATCATCGGCAGATAGTTCCATGTCTTTCTATTTCTCTTTGCATATTATTTTCGGTGTGCAAAAACTGTTCAGAATTTTATAATCATGCGTCTCGGTAACACAATTAATTTCCGAAATTCCCGGCTTCGTTTTGAAATTCACAAGGCAATGTATCCATACCATTGTACTCTCAGTTATTAGTTACCTCAATATTTTGAAATCCACGGACAATGCAATTTTCCGATGGCATTTAGTAGATCGTGATCATGCCTCAGCCAATCAACACTTTGAATTCTATTACCGTAAAAGGTACCATACCATATGAGTTATGCTACACAGATGCAGTGACAATAGTTAAATTTAGCGCCGCGAAACTTGCACAAGTTTTTCCCACGGTCTGCATAATTAACACGCAAAACCCAATAATACACGCAATCTGCTATGCCTCTTCTGACGAGTGATTTTTTGTTTTATAAAGACGATAAACGATGTTAACAGACATCGCGAAGTGTTGTTATCAAGAATGTTTCGATTTCAGTATCTGGCGAATGAACAAAAAAAGTAATTTAATCAGGAATATTATTATTGACATGAACAGTCGGAACGTAAATTAAATATGGAAATTATGGTGGCCTTTTTTTTCATATTTTTTTGTGCAGGGATGTAGCCAGGATTTGCTGAGTGGTGGAAAAAATAGTTTCCGAGCGGAGTGAGAAAAAAAAATTTTGGATGGGGGGCGTGGTCTTTTATGAAAATTCAACCCTTCTTGGTGTATTTTCAGAGCATCTGCTGCCTTTTGTATCTGTCTCTAGGATTTAGTCTAGATTCGGTAGAATGAATTTTTTAATGTATACATTAAAAATTGATAGTATGACACCATTTACGACATCCAAACCTTTAACATTGGAGTGCCGTAAATTGGTCTGGGTGACCTATTTACGAAAAATAAGACCGTAGAATTGTAAAATGAATAGACCTACACAACTTCTAAATAGAAATAAACAAAATACCAATACTTTTTTCTTTAAACTAATTTGGTATGATACTACGGCACACAAAAATAAATTATGCTGTGGCAGACATGGTTTACGTCAGCTTTTACCATGGCTTTGAGTTTGTGTACAGAGAAGGACGAAGGGGTTTAAATGCGACTGGGTGGCTTTCTTCGATTTTTTCTTTGTGCTGGGCGGCAAAAAATAGGGCCGGGCGCAAGTGCCCTGCGCCGCCCTGCATGGCTGACATCCCTGTTTGTGGTAATCATAAACTTTGAAAATGGACTAATAACCACAGAGCATTGGGATTAGACCCTGCGTTATGAAATATGATCAATTAAAATTATAAAATAAAGCGTGTTTATTTCTAAATGTTAGTCACAAAGTTGCCTATAATTGACAGGGTCAGGGATGTAATATGTTTTATAAAAATATATATAATATACAGGGGTGAAATTATGGGGTGAAAAGCAATATTATATTTACGAGTATTTGTATAATCTGTGATATATTCATTGTGAATAAAATTTAGTAGATTGACAATCAATTGTTTCCAAATTAATGTCATTGTCTTCAGTTGCTATTTTGTTGCCTAAACCCAAACGATCAAAAAGGTTGTGCGCTGATTTGACTACAACATACGTGATTGTCAAAATTTGTCAACCTTCACCCCCTTCAACATATTACGATGGTTTAGCTCATCACGTGACATGTGTAATGTTGTGATGGACACTGTCGAAAATACATGCAAAAACAATGACTTTTCAAGAGAACTTTTTTTTCGTTGGGATATTTAATTGTGTTATGGATTTTATTCAACCAGAGGTGATTTTAATCACATACATGGAGGCAAGTTTTTAATAACAATTATAACAGTTGGTGATCGTCCTTTTTGTCCCAAAAATGTGGGAGGGGGGGGAGGTTTTTCTTTTAAAAAAATTTTTTAATGAACAGAGCAAGCAATATACTTCAGGAATATCAACCTTTTATTTCATGTCAAAACACAACTCATCTGCATATTAAAGCCACTGATCGTCATTTGCATTGTTCAGATTAATTATTTAAACTTTAGATATTCTAGCTTGGATTCAATCAGATAATGTAAAGAGATTTATAAACTGAACACTTGGGCCTATAGGTGGTGTCAACTGATTTAATGTTGCAGTATATCAATTGTTGCAAAATTTTCAATACATATCATGTCTTTGGACTGATATTCTTTTTAGACATTCAACTTTCATAATATTGTAGTTTGCAAATAGTAAGACCATCAGAAGAATTCTTAAAAAAAAAAAAAATCTTTTGCATAACGACTAACGATCACTAATAATCGGCTGATTTAGTCATTTAAGCCCCCCCCCCCCCGGCCATTCCGAAAATCTGCTGTTGTTACGTTTATTAGAGAGACTGTTCCATGTAATTCAGAATCGACGAGACGTATTCCCATCTTAACATATAGTTCCAGGTTGTATTGTAATTGTATTCAAAATTTGTATTTGGTGCTGTACGCGTGCAAACGAAAATGTCGGCCATTGCTGCCGTTAACAGGTCGCAATTATATCCGCTCGCTTCATTAACTCTTGCGCTTCGGAATTTCGTAGCCTGGCTACATTTCGGAACTTTTACCATTGGTTTTAAAGTAGCTAAGTCTCTAACTCAGTATCATCAAAAATGATGATCGGGTAGAATTTTCTGGGCGAGCGGGGACGATCACCATTTTTTTTTAAGTCGCCTAATAATACTTTAGATAAATGTACCCTTTCTGGAACTTTTAAACTTTAGTCATCAGTTGAAGAATCTGTATTTTTGGAATTGAAGCATGGAGTGAAGGGGGGCAAGAATCTTGGAGCTTGTGTTACTGTTAATGTCTGAAAAAATAATTGTTTGGTACAAAGCAATATATTCCCATTACTCTTCAGATTATTGTTATTTCTGGAGTTACAATAAAAGAGTGCTGCATTGAATAGACATATTGAAATACTTTCTGGGGATACATTTTTCTCAAAATAATTTTTAACCAGTAATAAATATGATATTAAAAATATTGATATCGACATTATGCAAAAATCATCTAAATTATTCTAAATTCTTCAAACTTACGTTGCATAAATAAGAATGAAAAGGTAGACAAAAAGATCCATTGTGGTCTGATCCCAGATATGACCTACAAAGAGTTGTCTTTCCTTTACTCCTCCCCAGTTGCACTTTTGGCCGTATTACTATTACTGAGTTAATGAAATGGCTCTTCCAAATATACCAAAATTTTGAGGGTCGAGGGCCTTTATCAAAAACTTAAAATTTCAATAAACGAAAAATATCAGAAAATTTTACCTAAGCTCCACAAAATTCCGCTCAACACTAAGTTGGTCTATTTTTCTCTATAGAAAACATCATGTGGTCAATGTTTGACACTCACGAGAAGGCTAACACGACGTATACTTTTCTCGGTCAGCTTTGTGCGATGTCTGGAAATGGTACACCTAGCGCCTCTAGCAGCGTTTAGCATCGCTATTGACAGTTGGAATTCAAGTGCTGTAAAGGCAACATTTCCCCTCATAGCACACTGTATGACGTATACCCACCTTCATTAGCCCGGCTGGTACATGTACTGAAAGGACATTAAATAAACTTATTCATTGATATCAATTAAGTTGGCATGATTTTAAGGAACCTTTCACCTGACCTTCAGTGTCTTTACCTTGGTATGGTGAAGTGAGAACTACTTATAAGCTACTGTTAACTATACCTGTGTGGCCGAATGGTTAACACATGCGCGTTGTATCAGAAGGCCTGTCATTCGACTCATTGAGTCAATTCCTTGCTTGTAAGTGACAAGGAGTAGGGTCGCCTGTCCAACCTTGTGGGTTTTCTCCTGGTCCTCCAGTTTCCTCCCACTGCTAAAGACCCCTACGCACAAGCGAATTATTGAAATAAAATTGAACCATATGTTAGTCTCGAAATGACCTACAAGTAGTTTGTGTCAGTGGACTTTAAACTCTCACTCTCTCTCTCTCACTCAACTATACCCTTAGGTAAAACTAACTACCAAAAACCAACTCTTTTTCTTTCTTTTGTTTGTAGATCTCTTAAGTATTCTAGCTTAGCATTTAGGTGTACATGTAGATACATGTATGTGAATATGGTAAAAGCTTACATATTTTGCATGCAAAATAACAATGTACATCATTTGTATCTCATCAAATAGCCTTTAGATCAGACAAGCAATGTAGTAGACCTAATATTGATACAGTCAGCTAGAACAGAATACATATAATGTAGATTATAATGAAGTGAAATGCTTATTTTATGTCAACATTTATATTTACAGTATATGGGATCTGTGTTTTAATCCAAGTGGAACTCAGCTGATTGTTGCTGCAGGAAGCAGGGTTTTAGTCTATGACACCAGTGATGGTTCTATTATTCAACCATTAAAAGGCCATAAAGATACAGTTTATTGTGTGACTTATGCCAAAGATGGAAAGCATTTTGCTTCTGGATCTGCAGATAAGAGTGTCATCATATGGACTAGTAAATTGGAAGGAATACTCAAATATACGTTAGTATTAACAAATCCGTACAAAATGATACTTTAAAAATATGAAAATCTAAATTGGCAATATTTGCATAATATGATACTACTAGCAGGATACCTGGGGGTCATAACTCCGAAACCGGAAGTGGTAGACTAACGCCACCTGGCCTATGTTACTCCCCGGTCCGAGCTACCCCTATACCCCAAATTTCAGACTCGGGGCAGACCTAGTGTAGCCGCCAACCCCGAACAGACCGGCTTTGCTCGGGGGTCATAACTCTGAAACCGGAAGTGGTAGACTAACGCCACCTGGCCTATGCTACCCCTATACCCCAAATTTCAGACTCGGGGCAGACCTAGTGTAGCTGCCAACCCCGAACAGACAGACGGACAGACAAACGACAGTCACAAATATTAGTATAGATGAAAAGGTTGAATAGGATAGTAGATGAAAAGGTTGAATAGGATAGTAAATAAAAACAATCTAGATGATAAACTTGTAGTTTTTTTTACATTAAAAAGCTTTAACTGCATTTGGTTTTCTCTCATACAGTAGTTACATCAAGTATTTCATGCATAATAATACATGTGTACATGTTTCTACAGTAACTAGAGGAAAGTCTCCCAAGTCTTGGCAATACTTATATATGATAAACTTTATTCACAGTTTAATTAAAGACAAGTTTTGGTTCATAATTTTAAAAACTCATCGAAAGAGCACATGTATGTATTTGAAAGTTTTTGCATTCTATTTCTAGGCACAATGATGCTATTCAGTGTATGAAATATAATCCTGTAACCCACCAGTTAGCAAGCTGTGCATGTACAGATTTTGGTAAGAAATCAAACCTGTCAAAAAATGAAATCAAAAGAAAAGGGGGTTTAACGTCCTTCTGTTCTGCTCCGAACTGGCCTAATGAAGATGGGCATACGTCATACAGTGTGCTATGAGGGAAATTTTGCCCAGACCGCGGCACTACAGCCTACTTTTATATCGAATTCCAACTGTCAAGGGATCTTCTACGTGCACGCCAATATATACACGGGACCTCGGTTTTTCATCCCATCGAAATGACTAGACAGCTGTCCTTGTCGGGCCCTCCATCCTGCATCACTGACAATGGTCGAGAAATAATATGAGCCGAGCAAGAGGAATTATCACTCTCAGCCTTACAATAAATGTAACTAATTCTGGTAAATATAAGCAATGACCTATATTGAGTAAAGCATTTTTTACCCGCTTCCGCTCATAGATGACAGTGTTATTCATCAAACATAATATACAATGTATGTTAGCATGGATTAAACCCTCATCTCAAAATATAAGACATCGTCCGTAAGATGCAAATGACAATCACCAGCTTTAAGTCCCAGAACCAGTTACAGAACTAATCTAAAGAAAATTATCTTCAAAGGAGCATACCTGGATACGATGCACTAGACTACAAATGCTTAATTTATACTAATTTATTTATAAAGTAAAATTTACAGATTCCATAACTTGGTCGATTTGTCTCAGACTTTGCATACAATCTAATTAGAAGCCCTCCCCCTCCTCCAGGATGTATTTTACACCAACCATTGAAGATTCTAAAAGCACTAATGCCTCTTTGACAGTTAATCATGGAATTTACATGAAAGGCATCAATTTTTTTTTTCAGGTTTATGGGCACCAGAGAAAAAATCTGTATCAAAACATAAAGTAAATAGTCGGATAACAGCCTGTAGTTGGACCAATGATGGTCAGTATATGGCATTAGGGCTTTATAATGGTCTGGTTAGCATTAGAAATAAGGTAATGTTTGAAAACAAATTATTTATGATTATTGAGTACACTTTTTGAATTTTGTATGTGCTAAGTTATGATTGCCTATTTCATGACATAATGTGATAAGCTGCTCTGATATTGCATTACAGTCTGGAGAAGAAAAAGTTAAAATAGAAAGACCTGGTGCCAACATGGCTCCTGTGTGGGCCATAGCATGGAATCCAAGCAGGTATTAAACAGTTTCTTCACTGGTCAGTGCCCAGTGGTCATAATACCATATATTGGGCTATTGTTCAAAGAATTTGCCTATGCCTGTAAAAATAAATATTATACCTGCAGAACATTTTATGAGTATCAGTACCCTAATTTTGTGAATTTTGTCTGCTTTCCTTTCAGTGAGCAAAATTATTAAATAAATCTTTATCATGTGATCGCCCCGTAAGTGCCAGTACCTGTAGTTCTTTTGTTATAATGAAAAAAATAATTTTTACTTTTGTTCTACTTTTTGTAGGGATGAACCATATGATGTGTTAGCTGTAGCTGATTGGGGACAGAAACTTTCATTCTATCAGTTATCAGGAAAACAGGTAAATAATTCATGTTTTTCTTATTTTAATCCATTGAGTGAGCACTATACGAAACACCTTCTCATTTGTCATTATTGCCTGTAGTCGCTTGCTAATCATTCTTGATGCCCATCATCTAATCAAAAAAACAAAGTATTTCTGTGATTTTACGATGCCACAATATTATACATTCCAGATTGGTAAAGATCGTCCATTAGGTTATGATCCGTGTGCATTAAACTGGTGGGCCGGTGGAGAGTATGTTATTTTAGGTGGAGCTAATAAACAGTGTTCTCTACATACTAAAGAAGGTGTTAAACTAGGTGTTATAGGTGATCAGACATCATGGGTATGGTGCTGTGAAGTTAGAGAGGATGGTAATTATGTGGTAGGTACACAAGATGAATGGAGGGACTGTCTCATTTGAAACAACTGAAGGATTGGAATTAGGGGGTCAGTCCTGCAAAATTGGATTATCTTTGAAAACAGTTGTCATTCTTTGTTAGCAATATTCAAATCATTCTAATTTACAATCTGTTTTAAGAGCATTGCCATATCTGACCTATGGTAACTTGTCATAAATTTGGTATAATCTTTAAATAGACAAAGCTGCAATTCAAGCCATAGTTTGGGCACATATCTCTCGTGGTTTTAAAAGATATTAAATTTTGAAATGAGCTTAAAAATGGTCAATTTTCGTCATGAATCTAAAAAATTCTCAAAACGAGGCAACAGAAACATATTTCTATGCCGAAACAAAGATATCAGAGCTACTATACTTACTGTACCGTAAAATGGTCAATTTTCGTCATGAATCTAAAAAATTCTCAAAACGAGGCTCCAGAAATATATTTCTATGCAGAAACAAAGATATCCAAGCTACTATATTTACTGTGCCGTTCGAAACAACTTTGGATACTATTTTTAGATCAACCAAAGTCCGAGATACTGTTCCTTTGACTGACTATCCTAACCTATCTGGTGAAGTGATCATTTCTTTCTGTTGATAATTTATATTTTTAGGAATAAAGGAGACAGGTACTAAATTATCCCTAAGAGATTAGTTTTTATAAGCCCACATGTAAATATGGAAGTATATTGTCGTCGCCCCCGTCTGTCCGTCCGTCGTCCACAATTTCTTGTGAACGCCAAAAGTTATCATCCAATTGTTTTAAAATTGATAGATGTTGTTTACATTAGTGAGATGAAGAAGCCTATTTAATTTCAATAATTTCTATTTATTATGTCTTAGAGTTATGGCCCTTGTTTCACTTTGTTGAACCCTGTGAACACTCTAATGCCAGATGTTAACATCTGATCTTTGTGAAATTTATATGCAATATTGAAATTAGGGAACCAAAGAAGCCTATTGAATTTCAGCAATTTCCGTTAATTATTTTTAGAGTTATGGCTCTTGTTTCACTTTGTTTAACCTTGTGAACGCTCTAACACCAAAAGTTCTCATCCAATCTTTGTTAAATTTATATGCATTAATTAAATTAGTGAAACAAAGAAACATATTGAATTTCAGCAATTTCCGTTTATTACGTCTAGAGTTATGGCCCCTGTTTCACTTTATTGAACCTTGTGGAAGTTCCAACGCCAAAAATTATCATCTGATCTTTGTGAAATTTTATAGGTATTATTTAAATTGGTGAAACGAAGAAGCTCGTTGAATTTCAGCAATATTCATTAATTACTTTTGCCGATCTGTATGAAATTGATATTAATTAGTAAAAAGAAGAATCCTATTGAATTTCAGCAATTTCCGTTTATTACGTCTAGAGTCATGGCCCTTGTTTCACTTGTTGTACATTGTGAATGTTCTAACGCCAAAAATTATCATGTGATCTTTGTGAAATTTATATGCATTATTTAAATTTGTGAAACGAAAAAGCCTATCAAATCTCAGCAGTTTCTGTTAATTACTTCTAGAGTTCTGGCCCTTGTTTCACTTTGTTGAACCTTGTGAACACTCTAACATCAAAAGTTATCTGCCGATCTGTTGATATGTGTCATTTAAATTAGTAAAAAGAAGAATCCTATTGAATTTCAACAATTTCTGTTTATTACTTTTAGAGTTATGGCCAAAAGTTATCAGCCGATCTGTATGAAATTTATATGCATCATTTAGATTAGTGAAACCACGAAACCTATTGAATTTCAGCAATTTACAATAATTACTTCTCGAGTTATGGCCTTTGTTTCACTTTGTTCAACCTTGTTTATGCTCAATGGATGAAAGTTATCATCTGATATGTATGAAATTTATATGCATCATTTGAATTTGTGAAACAGAGTTCTGTTGAATTTCAGCAATTTCGGTCAATTATTTCTAGAATCATGGCCCTTGTTTTACTTTGTGAAACTTGTGAACGTTCGAATGACAAAAATTATCATCTGATTTGTATGAAATTTATGTCAAATTTCAAAATTTTCTGTAAATTACTTGTTTTCAGTTTGTACTTTGTAGAACCTTGTGAACCCTCAAATGTGAAAAATTATGTTCTGATCTGACGATTTAGCTGCTGTGGGCGTATGTTTCATTGCCTGGCAACCTGTCTTTATCAGTAATGTCAATGGTCTTGAACACTCCTGAATTTTCAAACTGTTTGTATTAGTGTAGTTCTATAGTAAGAATAATAAATGTTATATTTATATATTGTAGGCTGTTGGTTGTCAAGATGGTACATTGGCTTATTATCAGGTTATATTTAGTACTGTACATGGTTTATATAAAGATAGATATGCCTACAGAGATAATATGACAGATGTTATAATACAACATTTAATTACAGAACAAAAAGGTACAGTAGAATCTGTGTTAAGCAGGGAATTTTTATGACTGACCGCTTAACAGGAGTGACCTCTTAATAAAACATCAGTGTTTGTTAGTGCTGACAAGTAAATTTTACGCTTGGATGCATGGGGGGGGGGCAAACATCAATACATGCATCAATAAATTTGTCTGTCGCTGAAACTTGCTTGGAACGAAAATTCTTTGACTCCAATCTCTGATATATCTTTAGCTGTAAACATGTCATTTTGTACCAACATTGATACTACTGTCTACCATTGTGATGTATTCAATAATATTTATCCATTTTGTGAAAAAAATCCATGAATTAATTTTATCAAAAAAACACATGTCCAAAAAACCATCGCTGAATAAGTCACCGATTTTCAGGGAATGTAACTCTGTATGTAATATAGGAGGCGCTAAAACTTCTGTTTAGCAACAAAGTGGCAATGGAAAATAGATACTAAATGATTGTGACAAAACTCGACTTTGACAGTACTTTTAGTTTTTTCAATCAGTAACAAATAATATTTTTGTTACACGTGAAAACAATGATCAGGGTTTGTCATTTAATAAAACAAAAGATTAATTAACAGATAATCACAGTTTTATTGTTATTTTCCCTGTCCGTTTTACCTGATCGTTGGGGGGGCCAGATAATTAACTATTAATCACAGGATCAGTAGAAGTGCTACGAAGTATGACAAGATGGTGTCATTCAAATGAATATGCGCTATTTTGCTAAATTTATTAGTAAAATACTGACCACTGGCCATGTTAGAAGAGTTACGGTTGATTAAAGAGATGAAACAGTAGAATTGCTGAGGAGGGGGGGGGAAGGAATTATCGTGACTGCTTACATGGAGATGTCGCGGAATAGGAGTGGCTGCTCGTACTGTTTTTCTATTTATTCATTCTTTAAAAATGTTACTTTGAAGGTAATTAGGTCATCTATATGAATTTGTCCACATTTCTTGTGTGAGTATATTGTAAGTTATTATATGTAAGGAAGAATCCTATTGAAAGTTTAATTCAATGTCTAATTACTTTTGATGTGCTAGGTGCTAGGTTATATTTTGGCAGCCATAATAATTTTTTTTCAGGAATTTGAATGTATTTTTCTGTTGATATATTAAATTTTTTATTTTCAATGAATTGATACATGCATATTAGAATTATTCCAAGTATGAGCCAAGCATTTTAAAAATTATCCGTTTTACTATGACTTTTGTGTATGTTTTCATTGCAATTGAAGTATTAATTTTATTTGAAAGATATATTCTATATTGTCCTCCTTTTCAGTGAGGATCAAATGTCGAGATTTAGTAAAAAAGATAGCCATCTACAAACATAGACTTGCTGTATGTATTAATTATTTGTCCCCCGCCTTTCGAAGAAAGCAGGGGACTATTAAAATGGGTTCGTCCGTCTGTCTGTCTGTCTGTCTGTCTGTCTGTCTGTCTGTCCGTCTGTCTGTCCGTCACACTTTTTGGGACACAATAACTCTCTTCCTAATTGAGCTAGAATGTTCAAACTTGGTGTATGTGTTTATTAGGTCAATGCCTTGATGGAGTTCGAAGATGAGCATTTTCCGCTTAGGGTAAGCAGAGATAAGCAATTTGATTGGTTGATGCTTTGGGACACGATAACTCTCTTCCTAATTGGGCTAGAATGTTCAAACTTGGTGTATGTGTTGATTAGGCTAATGCCTTGATGGAGTTCGAAGATGAGCATTTTCCGCTTAGGGTAAGCAGAGATAAGCAATTTGATTGGTTGATGCTTTGGGACACGATAACTTTTAATTGAGCTAGAATGTTCAAACTTGGTGTATGTGTTTATTAGGTCAATGCCTTGATGGAGTTCGAAGATGAGCATTTTCCGATAAGGGTAAGCAGAGATAAGCAATTTGATTGGTTGATACTTTGGGGCACGATAACTCTCTTCCTAATTGAGCTAGAATGTTCAAACTTGGTGTATGTGTTGATTAGGTCAATGCCTTGATGGAGTTCGAAGATGAGCATTTTCCGCTTAGGGTAAGCAGAGATAAGCAATTTGATTGGTTGATGCTTTGGGACACAATAACTTTAGTTCTAATTAAGTGAGATTGATGAAACTTGGTGTATAGTTTCATTACAGTAATACCTTGACTAAGTTTGATAATGAGCATTTTCTGCTCAGGGTAAGCAGAGCGATACGCAATTTGATTGGTCGAGACTTTGGAAAACAATAACTCTCCTACTTTGATTGTCCCCCGCCTTTCGAAGAAAGCAGGGGACTATTAAAATGGGTTCGTCCGTCTGTCCGTCTGTCTGTCTGTCCGTCCGTCTGTCCGTCACACTTTTTGGGACACAATAACTCTCTTCCTAATTGAGCTAGAATGTTCAAACTTGGTGTATGTGTTTATTAGGTCAATGCCTTGATGGAGTTCGAAGATGAGCATTTTCCGCTTAGGGTAAGCAGAGATAAGCAATTTGATTGGTTGATGCTTTGGGACACGATAACTCTCTTCCTAATTGGGCTAGAATGTTCAAACTTGGTGTATGTGTTGATTAGGCTAATGCCTTGATGGAGTTCGAAGATGAGCATTTTCCGCTTAGGGTAAGCAGAGATAAGCAATTTGATTGGTTGATGCTTTGGGACACGATAACTTTTAATTGAGCTAGAATGTTCAAACTTGGTGTATGTGTTTATTAGGTCAATGCCTTGATGGAGTTCGAAGATGAGCATTTTCCGCTAAGGGTAAGCAGAGATAAGCAATTTGATTGGTTGATACTTTGGGGCACGATAACTCTCTTCCTAATTGAGCTAGAATGTTCAAACTTGGTGTATGTGTTGATTAGGTCAATGCCTTGATGGAGTTCGAAGATGAGCATTTTCCGCTTAGGGTAAGCAGAGATAAGCAATTTGATTGGTTGATGCTTTGGGACACAATAACTTTAGTTCTAATTAAGTGAGATTGATGAAACTTGGTGTATAGTTTCATTACAGTAATACCTTGACTAAGTTTGATAATGAGCATTTTCTGCTCAGGGTAAGCAGAGCGATACGCAATTTGATTGGTCGAGACTTTGGAAAACAATAACTCTCCTACTTTGATTGTCCCCCGCCTTTCGAAGAAAGCAGGGAACTATTAAAATGGGTTCGTCCGTCTGTCTGTTTGTCTGTCTGTCCGTTCCGCTTATTTGTGATAAATTTATATGTGTCCTCTAATTATTTTCCTATTTCGGCGGGGGACATCAGCCTCACTGTTGGCTTGTTTTATGTATGTTTTATGTATGTTTTATTATGATGTTATGTATGATATGTATGTTCTTAATGTAAATAAAGCTCTTCCATCCACGTCAACATATCGTCCACTGATCTATTTATAAATTCAATAAAGTTTTGTGCATAAGTTAGCCGACGCAAAATGTCTGAATTTATATCTTGCATTGTGGAGCAAATTACAACCGTAAAGGCATAATGACCCGTTTTGGATACTTTTGATTATGAGACAGTTTTTATTTGGATGAACTAGATGTACACTATCGTTATTATATATTTGTAGGTACAACTACCTGACCGTATAGTTATTTATGAACTTTATTCTGATGATTCAGCTGACATGCATTATCGTGTCAAAGAGAAGATTAATAAGAAGTTAGAATGTAATTTATTAGTTGTTTGTTCTAAACATATTATACTCTGTCAGGTAAGATCTAATAGGCGAGTTATGGCATTAATGACCTTCAGTTCTTTTACTGCAATGGTGGAGGATTTGTTCCTATGATTGTTTTTGACAATGGTTCAAGTTACCTGTATACCTTAGTTTTAATACATTTCCTTCCACTACTGATGACATCATTTTAAGTGGGTGTCAAAACACCATTTATCAAAAGTAATTAAATAAACTTAATGAGTTTCTCTTTTTGACCAAAAAGATATTTCTTCCAAAATCATTTTGAATATTTCATTAATTTGACTGGATTTCTTTTTTTAACAGGAGAAGCGGCTGCAGTGTTTGTCGTTTCAAGGTATAAAGGAAAAGGAATGGATAATGGAGTCTTTAATTCGTTATATTAAAGTCATAGGTGGTGCATCTGGGAGAGAGGGACTACTAGTTGGATTGAAAAATGGACAGGTACTGTAATGTTTGTTAGTCTATTAATTCCAACTTTACAGAAACAAAAAAGTCTTCCATGATTGGTTCACTCATATGGTAACATATAGGTATATGCTGCAGACATTTAGAAATTTGTGATAGAAATTCTGTTATTTTTAACTGATTAACAACACATTTTGCTGTTAATTATCTAATATTTATGGCTGTCAATAAAATGGGGTCTTCCACAATATACAAGCCGCTGTGGACTCAGTGAGTAAGAAGTTGCACAACTAACCTAGAGGTCCCTTGTTCGATCCCGGTGTTAGCCAAGAAAGTTCATCAGGATTTTCTGGCTTGGTCATCCCATGTTCGTGGTGTAGGGCTAGTAAGGGACAATGTATAGTTGCTCAGATGGGACAAAAAATCATTGGCGTGCACATAAAAGAACCCTTGGAATTCATTTTTATGAAAAAACACTTTAAATTCATATAAACAATACTACAGCAAGGATCATTTTAGACACTTATTTACAGTAGGCCACTGATCTTTTAGTTTGGTATTTTAAGACCCCAACCATGCAGTCTAATAACAAAATTCATTGAAAAATGGCCATGAAGAAAGATAAAATAGAATTTTCTTGTATAAAGGATTTTTGCAATATATTGCACTACACATTATATCAATACACTTTGCTGTATTATTGCAATTATTGATTTTTGGTTGCAGTACCCAGTCTTAGTTGTATTACATGTTTTTTTTAAACTGGTTTTGTTAACTTTTATTTGTTTTTAATAAAACAATAAATTACATATTTCTTTTTACAGATAATGAAAGTATTTACAGATAATCCGTTTCCTATACAACTATTAAAACAGACTACATCTGTCAGATGTTTAGATCTTAGTGCTAGTAGAAATAAACTAGCTGTTGTAGATGAACATAGTACTGTATTAGTATATGATCTTACTACTAAGGAACTCTTATTCCAGGTTTGAAAAATTATTTTATTTTATAGGATATATGTTAGTCTAAGAATTTTAATTAGAAACTAATTTAATGACATTATTTATTATCTTTTCTATTTTATAGGGTACATGTTAGTCTGTACAAGTTTGGTGGGACTACATTCAAATTCAATGATGCATGCACAAAAATTCTCAGCAATGAATGTGATCTCACTAAAAATAAGCTCACTATAATCTTTACCTAAAACATTAATAATTTGCCAATTCTAATGACTGACTTAACCAAGTAATCCAAGAATTATTTACACAGGAGACTGAAATATTAACTGTCATTGTCAACTTTTAATATAGTTTGTTATTTTATGAGAACGATTGCATTGGGAATAGGTTCATGTATACAACTTTATGGATATTTTGAAATTATCTTTCATTCTTCTTAAGTCTATTTTTCTTAATCTGAGCAAACAAGAGGTTTGTCCAGGAACCCTCAGTCTCTGATTGGTGAAATTATTTAGACATTAGCTGATACTATATCACCAAACATTGAATACAGATAATTATCCTGAAGTATCTGATAAATTGTTCAATTCAAAATGTTCTTTATTCTAACATGTTGTGATTTTGTTCAGGAACCAAATGGTAATAGTGTAGCTTGGAATACACAGTATGAAGATATGATATGTTTTTCTGGTAATGGTATGCTGAATATTAAAGCTAGTACTTTTCCTGTTCATCAACAAAAACTCCAGGTAATGTCTAGGATTTTGTTGGTTAATACTCGATCCGATACGAAGGACACACATTGTTATCATTTCAACATCAATATTTCTTCTTGTCAGACAGTTGTTTTACTTTGTAAAAGGACCAAAACTAGATTCATTTATGATATCATATAGTGGCCATTATTTAACCATTTTATCACCAGTACCATCATCTCTGAAATTTAATTGCAAATTATGGTGTTGCTGTTGTGCCAAACATGAGAATTCCCAATAAGCTATGAAGTAACTCTTTTATGTAATTTTAAATTTCAGGGATTTGTTGTGGGTTTTACAGGATCAAAGATCTTTTGTTTACATGTATATGCTATGTCATCTGTTGATGTACCACAATCAGCACCAATGTACCAATATTTAGAGAAGAAACAATTCAAGTAGGTTAAGAATGATGATGGATGACTTTTATGTGTTTTGAATACTCTATTGAATTTTAGAAATTTGATTCTCCCAATTCGAGATACACTAGTGAAGAGAAAAGTATTGATCATTTAATTATATGTCAATTAAAAGGATCTTCTCTCCATAGATGATTTATTTGCTATAATTGATTATGTGCCGATTCTGATTAAACCACATGTTTTATCAAGACTAATAAAACTTTATTTTACATCAATTTAGTATTTCCAGATTGACAATATCTAGAATATCCATAATGTTTTAAATCCCAAAGTATTCAACTCACATTTATCAAAACAATGCTAATGCACACAATGTCAATTTTGACAACATACGGCTAGACATTAATGATATTGCTTAAGAGCTTTCTGGATTTACTAGTTTTCATCTTGACCTTGATAATGGTCTGAAAATAATATCCTTAGTTACACACCATTTAATATATGTGCCTGACAAAAATACAATTTCCTGCAGAGGTTATTAATATAGCAATATACAGAATGTATTATAGTGCTTTTATCTCCCTTGCGATGTTATATCTCTGTTGCATTAATTACTTTGCCAAGTTTTTTACTACTGGTCCATATTCAGCAGGATATATTGGAATACAAGGAAAAATTGTCTTATCCAATTACACAAAGATTGGAGCCATAGTGTGAGCAGGGAGGGTTTTATGATTGGACGTGTTGTCACAGATCTAGCTCAATGATAAAAACACTTTTTTTTGTTTTGATATTTCTTTTATTTTCTTGAAATCTTCAAGGACTTTATGAAGAAGTGCGGCATTGTCGCGGAGAAAAACTTGATACTATCTTATGTTTTATATTATAGAGATGCGTATAAGATAGCATGTTTGGGTGTAACAGATGGAGATTGGGAAGTACTAGCACATGAAGCATTAGAAGGATCAGATTTTACAATAGCTAAGAAAGCTTTCATCAAAATCAAAGATTTACGTTATCTTGAACTTATTCATAATATTGAGGTATGTAGAAATGAAGATTTTTGCATTTAAAAATATGAACTAATTAGGCAGTTTTCCCAATAATCTTCTTCCCCTAAGAAATTTAAAATGAAACACTGTACATTTCCTTTGAACTATTTTCTATATGTAATGAAACTAATTGTGTTAAAGTACTGCTATCTCGTATATATATCTGATTATCATATTTGAGCTTTTACTTATTAATAGTTTTATGGTCAGATTGGTATTGGTTACACTTACAGATCAATATTGTAGTGAAATTTGGCAAAATAACCAGTCATAATTTTTTATCACAATTGATTGCTGCAAAATATTGTTCGGTTAATTGTACAATGTTGCTACTTATCATTTGCTGACAATAAGATCTATGATTATTCATCTTCTATTTGTAGGAACGTAAAAAGCGTGGTGAGAATGACAACATGGTGTTTTTAGGAGATACATACGCATATCAAGGCAAGTTTCAAGAAGCTGCTAAGTTGTTTAAAAAAGCTGGACAAGAACAAAGAGCTTTGAACATGTACACAGATCTACGAATGTTTGATAATGCTAAGGTATGTCACATATTTTTATACACCTCGCATATATTTTCTTAAAATGTTCAAGAAAATCTTAAAGGTAATTTAATCATGGTATAGCAAGATTCTATAACTGGTCTATTTGGGATTCTTTGTGTAGTGACGTCAGTATTTAATCACTGTTAAATACAGATAGTAATCAAAGAAAGTAATCAATAGCCATAATATTATTAAAGATACATTATGGGAGATTAGATAAAGAGCTGGCCTCGATCATCATTACTTAAGTCGGTACGATAAAAAACATAGTCTCGATTATCCATTTCATGAATAAATCATGAATGGAAGTCGAACAGCAAATCGGAAACTAATCCAATAGACATCGCAGGCTAGCGATGACATCGAGAGTTGATTATGGTCGGGATAAGTTAATTAATGTCTAATTAATAATTTAGATAACATTTCAGGCCTAAAGAAAGACCTGCAATAGGCAGATTTAGCTCTTGTGTAATGTATGTTTAATAATTGTTATAAATGACAAATTGTTTTTGTATAGGAATTTATTGGTATTGGAGATCCTCAAGATAAGAAATTATTGATGACCAAACAAGCAGATTGGGCTAAAAGTAGTAATGAACCTAGAGCAGCTGCAGAGATGTATATATCAGCAGGAGAACATAAAAAAGCTATAGAAATAATAGGAGATAATGGTTGGACAGACATGTTAGTACAATTTCATTAAACAAAGGATAGCCAAGTAAAATTCAGAATATAATTGTTGGTTTTCGGACAGATAATTTCAATAGCTGATGTGACAGTCAATTAATATGAATGGTGATTATCTTGCTGTAGGTTGATTTACCACATGTTTGATTGGAATGGCAATTAAGATGGCCCATTTTATGGTTTATAAAAAATTTCTGTGAAAGTTGCAGAATGAGCCCGAAGTTGGTACTACCCGTTTTTATTTTCCAATACATTTTGTTGGTCATTAGAGATATCGTAGGTTTTACCGAATTGATCTTGAAACAACTTTACAAAGTTTATATTTGTACAGATATCTATGAGCACATACTATTGTGACAGGGGGGACATTGGTTGGGAACCACTGATCTTAGCCATATTTTATATATGAATATATTTTCATCAGGTTAATTGATGTAGCAAGAAGATTGGATAAAGCTGATCGTGAAGCTCTAGGACGATGTGCCTATCATCTAGCTAGATTACATGATTATGGTAGTGCTGCTGAAGTCTATAGTAAAATGGGTGATATTAAATCATTGATCACCATGAGGGTGGAAGCTCAACATTGGGATGATGTAAGTAATAATTGATATTGATGCTGTCAAAAAGCAGTAAAATATTTATTTAGATGATTTACAGGTGTATGATGGCAATAGACATTATTTACCCATGTGGCAAAAACACATCTTATATTGTTCAGTTGTCTAAATAATAATACATTATTAGTGTTATCTTTGTAAAGTAGTTCAACAGCAGAACTTTTTATCACTGGAACATTTTTTTGTCTTGTCTGAGCTATACTTGGAAATAATTATTCATTCTTAATTGCATCAAGTCACTTGTGGTATCACTTGTTACAATTATTGATCAGTTTATATCTCAATTATAAATTGTTTTTTTTTTTTTTTATAAAGCCTGTATTTTATACCTTTATGCATCCTATCCAGGTAAAATACAGTATCTGTTGCATATACCATACTTTTTAATGGCATGTTAATAGATATTTTACAGAGAAAAGTTATCTTGTTAATTTTTCCAGGCTTTTACTCTTGTTGATAAACATCCAGAATATAAAGAAGATGTCTATGTACCATATGCACAATTTCTAGCTGAAAATGATCAGTTTGAAGAAGCTCAACAAGGTAAAACCTTTATCTGTTTGTTTGTCTGCTTCTCTGGGTCACCTATGTGCAAACGAAGTATTAAAATTGTACCATATGTTAGTCCCAAAATGACCTAGTTTGTGTAAACAAAAGATTGAATACAGGACTCTGGGTAAAAACAGTACAGTATGTAGCTATTTTCATATGTACATAGACTGGATAGCTTTTGTTACCAAATAAAATTTAAGTATATCATCTACTACTCTTGTCTCTAGGCATAGTTTAGACAAAAATTAATTACTATTTGGGCTGATCTAATGTGTTATTTTGATTTAGTAATAGAGGGAAAAGTGCTATGTGTATATGATAAAAAAAAATTGTTTCAAAAGATTACGCAGAAGTTGGCTTACTATGTACTAAGTCTAGTCCCGTTTTTAGTTTTATGTGACTGAGGTGCAACACAATTAATTATCTCACAACTACCAACTTAGTAAAATTTGGAAACAAGAGAGATTGTCATCCCACAAAACAATTCACATTGTAAAATGCGATAAAGAATCAATTTTAACTGGAAGATTTTGTTTTCTACAGCTTTCCATAAAGCGGGTTTACAAGCTGAAGCTGTTAAGGTATTAGAACAACTTACCCATAATGCTGTTGTGGAGAGTCGCTATGACGATGCTGGTTATTATTTCTGGAAACTTTCGATGCAGTGTCTTGATATTGCTAGAGGTAATAAGTAAATGTCTCATAGAGTTATATTTTTCTGTGACAAATGGGTCATCTAAAAGGTAACAATTAAATGAAAAGGTTGGAAAAAGTGGACTAATCTAAATTCAGAAGTTTATACTTATGTAATTAAACATTTATTTATCAAGAAAATTTAATTATGTTTGTTTATATCTCTGAATAACTTGTTTTCCTTTCAGATGAAAAAGATAAACAAGAGGAGATGTTGATTAAATTTAATGATTTTCAGAAGAAAGCAGAAATGTATTATACTTATCATACTATACATAGACACGTGGTAAGTAGATTTGATTAATATTTCAACCAATTTGACTCTTTCGTTCTTTCTTTGATATATTACAACACATGAAGATACAGCAAGTTCTTGGTCTATAATTACACAACCTACATCTTATTTGATGTAAAACTATAATCTATGTCCAATATTAATTTCCTCTACAATCAGTTAATATGAAATAGGTTTTAAAAAATGTCATTGAAACAATTTATTTGAATATGTTATTTTAGTCAGTTTCCTGTCTTTCATATTATGTTTAATTACAGGTTGAACCATTTACATCTGTATTACCTGAAGGTTTATTAAATATATCACGATATCTGGTACATTGTATGGGTACAGATATACCACATGGTGTTTCTAAAGGGTATGTTTATTACATTTACGTACTACTATATCATTATTTTTTGTTATTTTAATCTTTTATTGTCTCTGGCCTTACAAAGCATGGAACTAGTGAAATCCTTTTGTCCATCCATCCATCTCTCTGTCTGTCCCACATTTTGGAACAAGACGATAACTTTGATTCTAATTGTGTGACAGTGATGAAACTTTGTGTTCAGTTTGATGATGAGCATTTTCTGCTTAGGCTAAGCACAGATAAGCAATTTGATTTGTTGATGCTTTGTAACACAATAACTCTGATTCTAATTGGTTGTATTGTATCAATAGGTCTTGTCATTGAGTCAGCTGGTGTGGTTTCGATTCCCTGGTTGTATGTGGCAAGGAGTAATGTCGCCTGTTCAACCTCGTGGGTTTTCTCCGGGTCGTCCGGTTTCCTCCCACTGCTAAAGACCCCCTACGCGTAAGCAGATTATTGAAATAAAAAATGGAACCATATGTTAATCCCGAAATGACCTAGTTTGTGGCAAGTGGACGTTAAACCCCATTTCTCTCTCGCTTCATTATATCTGTACCTTGACTAAGTTTGATAAGAATTTTCTGCTCCACTTAATCTGAGTAATAAGCAATTGGATTGTTGTAGACCTTGGAACATGATAACATTTATTATAAGTGAGAGTGGGTTACAATTAATACCATGACTATAGCTAAGTATGATGATGAGCAAAGTCTGCTTAGGCTAAGCAGAAGTAAGTAATTGGTTTCATCACATTAATACCTTGATTAAGTTCGATAAATGCCATTTTCTGCTCTGGTTAAGTACAGTGATGCTTTATGAAAAGATAAATGTGCAAGTAATTATTGAGTTTCATCTTTTTATTTTGGTATTAAACCATCTGGCCGATTTGACAATAAACCAAGAAAAAATAATACATCTGCCTTTCTTGTTCCATACATAGTACAATAAATAATGACTTGGTTGAATCATATGGAATATTAGAGTATTGAAAAGTCTGATGAGTTGAGCATAATATGACTATAATATTCCAATGTGTTTATAATGGTATGCATTATAGAAATCAGAAAGGTTTACTTATTGTGTAGCTGCTAATTTTTCGTAATTTGATTTCTATAATTACCGGTATATAGGATTCTATTCTTGAAATAGACGTTAATGTTAATTATGGTAATTTCCTACTAATATGATTACTGAGCTAATATGAACTCATCTAATAATATCAATATGTCCATGTATATTGTTGTCCCTTGCATCTGTTGTCTGTCAGTCTTTCACTGTTTCTTGTAAAATCCAGAGTTCCACATTTATTCATTAATAAAAGGCTTCAGTGCACAATTTTAATTTCCAGATTCATTAGAAGAATAATATAGATCACATACTGGTAATGGTTTGTTCTTCTTGTTGAGATAAAAAGCAGTGTGGGATTTTTTTAAGTGGTTAGTAAAGCATCTGTACTTGAATATTTCAGAGCAACATTTTACACATTAGCCAAACAGAGTAAGAACCTGGGAGCATATAAACTAGCACGACATGCCTATGATAAGCTACAATCGTTGAGAATACCACCAAGATTTCTAGAAGCTGTTGATTTAGGTAGTATAACTATCAGAGCTAAACCATTTCAAGATGGAGAGGTTAGAATTTATACTTTTTTATTAGTTGACAGCCAAAAATGAAACTAAAATTAAACAACCATCTTCTGCGTAATCTTTCTTAACAAAAATTAAATATTCTAAAGCTTCGTTTCATTACTTATAAAAATAACAGATCAACCCAATTTCATAACCTAAGCTCCATTATTTGATCGGAAGTTCAGACTTTCGACCTCTATATTGATCTCATTTATTTTTGTGATTGTGTGCAGTTAAATTGAATTTAATAAGATATGCCATATGATAAAAATATAAAGAGGGAGGAAATTGTTTTATTTTGAACAGGATCTGTTACCACTGTGTTACCGATGTTCTACAACTAATCCCTTACTAAATAAAATAGGACCACAATGTGTCAACTGCCTACAGCCCTTTGTTTTTTCTGCTGTTAATTATGGTAATGATTTTGTTTCTTTTTCTATTCTATGATAAAATTGAAGATAATTATGTTGTTTGGGCCAAATATAGACTGATGGATTATAAAATTTTTTAAAGTGACTGGATAATGGCACAGAAAGCTAAAGCATGTTAACATCTTCATTCTTAAACACATCCGGTTTCCTCCCACTGCTAAAGACCCCTATGCGCAAGCGAATTATTGAAATAAAATTAAACCATGTGTTAGTCCCGAAATGACCTAGTTTGTGTCGAGTGGATGTTAAACCCCATTTCTCTCTCTCTCTTAAACACAAAGATCTCGGATTTTATGTGGCTAAATAACAAAATCTTTGGCCTCGTCAAAGTAGTTATCTTTCTGCACACATGATAGTTTCGGATTTTCTAAATAAAGCAACTAGGTCAAAGCAGACTGCATATAGCATTCAATACCAAATCGACAGTCAAGAGGGATATAAATAATTGTTGAAAGGCGTCTAGAAACCTATATAATACCAATGACCGATGGATTTGATAGATAGATTTAATTTGATTATGGGTTGATTATCTAGTGAATAAGGATGTGAATAGATTTTGATTAATTATTTATTATAGAAGTATTACCATTAGTTGAGTTTGTAATAGAAGATGGCATTACTGATGAAGAAGCTATACAGATATTAGATTTGTCCATACCAAAGCAGAAATCAAAAGATCCAACGGGTAGTTGGCAGGAAAATAAAATGTCCAGTATCCTTATTAAAAGTATTTAAACTTATCAAACGAGTCAGTGAACTGACTCTATTTCATGTAATATCTAGTTTTCACAAATTATTCACCATATTCCTGCTACTTATTATAATGATGTCTAGGTTGTATAAATTAAAAATCTTATATTTAAGTACCATCTGCCTTGTGATTGTGAATGAATTGTAATTTGTCTACCAGGACGAAATCCTTCACCATGTCCAAATTGGAAGATATTTTTGATATTTGTTTTTTGGGTGAAGGAATAATATTTTAAAGATTTATGTATGACCTAAATCTGCAGTTGGTTTTTTTTTTGGCTTCAAATGTAATAAACATTTATATTTTGACATTTATTAACATGGAAAGCCCATAATCAACTCTCTAGGCTATTAGATGGCCGATGCATTGAATGGATTAGAATACCTGCCCCATTTAATAATTTAACATTAAAATGTTTAATCAAGACTTATTATCGTAGCAATAGTACTTGACAATCAAAACTTTTTAAGCTATATCTTGTCAAAACCTGATAACTTTGATCAAAATAAAATAATTTGACAGAAATGTTTGATATATTCATTTTTCAATTCCTTACGTCTGAACTATTATAGCAAGAACAACCAGCTCTTTATCTTAATCTTACATAATGTATCTTTAATTATATCATTGATTATTATAAATACAGAGTTTACATGTAAATGATATTTATCTTTTAACTTATGACAAGATAATATGCAATCATTACGGCTTGGTGATGATCCTGAAACAGATGAAGGGGATCCATTTACTGCTCAGCTTAAAGTACCTGATCATGATGTACGCTATTTGTACAATAAGTTTTGTTTAATTTCCTAATCGGCCGTAGTGTAGCCACTTGACCATTAATGATATTGATTTATCTATTTGAAATTCTGCAGAAAAATTTAAAGTACCTATATGAATGTATTGTATTACCAACCAATCCTGTTGTTGATAAATTTGTGGGGATGGTGACTGGCTGAGTGGTCTAATGCAAGTCTGGCATTGAGTCAAGGGTTTTGATCCCACTCTTTATCCATCTCTAATATTTTAATTCTTATAATGTTTGTCATGTAAAAAATAAAGAATTTATAATATTAAATCTTTATACTGAATGCAGGTTAAAATGTCAGCATAAAATGATACTTTCTCCTAAGACAGTTTTATTAGTCTCTTTTAGGCAAAGGGGGTAAATATAGTGGAACATTAAGGGCACTTGGTTTTCGATTAGAATGCTTTATTAGATTCCCAGCAAGGCCAAAAATATAGAGTGTTACCTTGTCTTGCATAATGAATGAAAAACTGTGTACATTCGATAAAGCTACTAACAAAATCCTCCCCCCCCCCTCGCTAGCTCTTCATCTATAGGAATAAAATTAATCATATTTTAGTCTTTAAATGTTGGTTGTAATTCTATTGGTGGGCATTTGACCCCTATTCCATTTTATTTTTCAAGTCCATTATAAATGTTATAGTCATTGATATAATAAGCTGATTGCAATTTGGTGCTGCTGTGGTTACATACAAGTCTGTATGAAACAATTCTGCAATATTTTTTCTGACTGAATAGAATTACTTAATTACCCCAGCAAATTTACTGATCCTGTTCAACTGACACCCATTGCTTTTCAGCCATTTCTGATTGTTAATTTTGGGGATGACAGTCCAAATACAACAGAATACAGATATCTGAAAATCCACTCACACATTTAGTGATCACTGCCTCCCTCCCCCCCCCCCCCCACCCTAATTACAAAAAACAAAAACGCAAGCCATAAACAGTAGAGGCCTATCTTTGTCACTTGTTCTATGAACTTTGTAATTAAGACAACTTTTAAAACTGATACCTTTAATATATTATTTCAGGGTGAACCAGCAACTTTCCGTCCAGTAGTAGTGAATAGAAAAATTCTACAATCTATGTCCAGATCAGATGTACATATATTAAAATGGCCAAAACCATTACGTTACCAGTTTTTCCGTTCATTATTAGTAGATGTTTCAATAACCAAGTGCTCATTCTGTAATAAGGTAAGAAATGAAAATGATTTACACTTTAATTATTTTATATTGTTGTCACCCCCTGTCTCAACAACTGTCTCTTTATCAGTCCTGTAAAAACTCTAAAGGCCAGTGTATTTAAAATGGTTGCTTTCATTGTATAGCTTATCATAAGCAGGAACCCTGTTGAAAATTTCGAGCCACACATAAGTTTTATACAGAGTTATTGCTGTGTTTTACTGAAGTCTTATAAACGATCTACTGGTCAGAGTGAAAATGAATTCCTCTGTCCGTCTTTCTGTCTGTGTGTCACACTTTTGGATATCAATAAACCTCCTAATTGAGAGAATGTTTAAACTTGGTGTAGGTGGTAAATATTCATTAGTCATTGACATGAAGTTTATATACAGTGCTTATGTTCATCAGTTGAAGAATAATATTGAACAATTTCCGATAATTAGCTGGAGCTATTCCTTCATCGATTTTAAAAATATTTTGATGGTCTAGAGGCTACAGTTATTGTCTTTGTAATTGACTTAAAATTGATAAACAATGCTTATGTTCATGAGACGAAGAATCCTATTGAATAATTTCCAATAATTAGTGGGAGTTATGAACCTTTATCAGTTTGAATAATTTTGTGGATGCTCTTGAAGCTAAAGTTATCCTGTTGATTTAAAATTTATACACAGGAATAACTACAAGCTATTAAAATTTTAATTATTGACTTGATTTAAAATGTTAGAAGCCATTAAAATTTTAATTACTTCATAAGTTGTTATTTTTGATCACTTTTTAGTGCTTTGTGAATGCTCCCATTACCTACTAAAGAATAAATATGTGAAAAGTTTTAGAAATTCTTGGATGACTGTAGGTGCAGGTTTCATTTCCTGGCAACCTATCCCCGTGCTTATTTTTACATTACAGGGGGATCACGGTGGCTAAGTGGGTAAGACGCTGGCTCTCTAGCCTGGAGGTCGGGTGTTTTATCCCTGCATTGGTTGAGAAAGTCCATCCAGATTTTCCAGCGTGGTTCCCCCTTGTCAGAGTTGCAGGAAGGAGGGCCTGACAAGGACAGCTGTCTAGTCGTTCGGATGGGACAAAAAAAACCCAAAGGTCCCGTGTACACATTGGCACGCAAGTAAAAGATTCCTTGAGAGTTGGAATTCGATATAAGAGTAGACCATAGTGCTGTCTGGGCAAAATTTTCTTCATAACACACTGTATGGCAAATACCCATCTTCATTAGCCCAATTCGGAGCAGAACAGTAGGATGTTAAACCCCATTTCATTTATTTTTACATCACAACATCTATTAATTTTTTCTCTTCCTGCAAAAAGTTGCTTTTATTTGTTGCCTGGCAATACTACTTTTCTCCGTAGTGCTGATAGTGCACTGATGTGTTGGTCATTACATATGGTTTGGATATACACACTAAAGTCACATGTTTATATTGTATTGTACATGTGCTAACAAACAACACAATTGTGAAGAAAAATAAACATTTGTCTCATACCCCCTTTTCTTGGCACAAGTTCCTGATTGTATCCTCTCTTATATCTCTATATTTGACTTTCATCTTGTTTTATCATAAAGTCTGTCATTGAGTCAACTGGCGTGGTTTCGATTCCCCAGTTGTACGTGACAAGGAGTTGGGTCGCCTGTCCAACCCCATGGGTTTTCTCTGGGTCCTCCGGTTTCCTCCCACTGCTAAAGACCCCTACGCGCAAGCGAATTATGGAAATAAAATTAAACCATATATTAGTCCCGAAATGACCTAGTTTGTGTCGAGTGGACGTTAAACCCCATTTCTCTCTCTCTCTCCTCTTGTTTTGTTATCTCTCTATTGACTTTGATAAAGGTTTTCCAGCCCTATCATTTATAACTCATAGCTGTCAGATGATTGAAATTGAGATTACATAAATCTGATTAAGTCATAATATATGGCTATTATTGGATTTTTTGACAATAATTTGATGTAATTGTATATGAATATCATAAATAGATAAAATCATTATAATTTCAGATGTTCCATACTGATGATTATGAACAGCAATATCTACAAAAAGGTCACTGTCCATTCTGTCGTACGAAACATGAAGATTAGATAATTATGCTCATATTAACTGGTGTGTAGTCTGACAGACAAATTATTTTTCTGTCAACTTTTTTTTGTTTACTCCTCATTATCTTGGCTAAAATCATCTCAAATTTAGGTCCATATTATCGGATGATGATTACAGGATCCTAATAAATTTCCTTGTGATGACAACATTTTATGTCTTTATTATGATTTTTACTAAAACAGCTCGTTTAAACCTGCTCATAAAAAGATTTGATAGGTGAAGATTTTTATTTTGGTGATCTACTGACTGACATTGAGTGTGATGACATAATTCCTTTGATATTATTAGGCTAAAAGGTATCCATATTTCTTAGCTCAAGATTGTCACAAATTGTTAGAACTAAGCTGAGGATTTAGATTTATTATTATTATTACAGCATATTTATATTGTGCCCTTTCATATAACATGTTCAGGGGCACTTTACAAAGTGACAATATAATTATAAATAAACAACAAGATTATGAACATGTTAACGATTGTATACAGAGTCAGTTAAAAAGCCTGATTAAATAAATGTGTTTTAAGTTGTTTTTTTAAAGAATATGGACATGTACAACATCTTAGACTAAATGGTAGATTATTCCATAGAACAGGTGCTTGATAACTAAAAGAGTGCTGACCATAAGAGACTAGTTGAACAGTTTTGGGCTTTAAAAGTAGTTTATCTGATGTATGTAATGTTTGGCCAGGTGTATAAATCGAATTGCAGTATTTCTTAAAATTTCGATTGTATCTTAGTTTAAGTTTTCGTGAATAAGGGTCCAGAGAGGTAAACAGGATCTAAATTATTTAAACATTTAAAAGTAAGTAATAAAATCTTAAAATCATTTCGATATTTAACAGTTAACCAGAGTAAATCATATAACAGGAGTTATGTTGTCACATTTCTTAGTTAAAGTAACAAATCTAGCTGCAGTATTCTGTACTTTTTGTAATTTATCTATAAGCTTTAAAGGTAAACCAACTAAAAAGTGAATTAAAGTTATCTAATCAAGAAGTGACCAGAGAATTTACAAGTGACTTAGTGGCCTCTACATATTTATGTATTTTACCCATAATTCTGATGTACATAAATTTTAACACTCGAAATGTATTACTGGTTGGTATATTTAGAACTCTTTGAACATGGTTGTGACATAAAGTATATTAGATAATAATGTACTGTAAATATCAGAAAAAAGAAACAAAATTGTAATATAATTTTAATTGGATTGCGGACTCATTAATGAAATTTCCTTTATGAAATGGAATAATATTCAACTGACTCAAGAAATTAATGAAGTCTTTAAGTAAGACTTAAGAGCATACTGTTTGAATGGCATTTAGTAATTGAACACATTAAAATAAACACAACAGTTCTATGGATAACAATTACTATATTTAATTAAAGCTACGTTTCAACAATGATTCTCTTGTTGTGCTTGATAACGACAAGAGAATCATTGTTGAAACGTAGCTTTAATTAAATATAGTAATTGTTATCCATAGAACTGTTGTGTTTAACTTAAGAGCATCTTTATCAGGCTAGACATTGTCAATCTATTTGTAAATTAATTGCTTTTCTTGTCATATAAGATAAATTATTTGTTAAAGATACCTTCCAGTGTACAAACTGGGTTATTTGATGATGTATTTGTACTAAAAACATATTTAAACTAAAGTCTAATTAATCTATCAAAAATTTCCTTCAAATCCCCCTGAAAACGTATTTGTGAGGAAATATCCCAAGCTATAAAAAATCTTTTAAAAAAAGTCATGTTTTTGTCACATGAATTGGCTGTCTCAGTAACTCGCAACCGATGTGAAGCCGGGCAAAAATTCATTGCATATTAAAGACAGTGTTGTTTTTAGTCGCTTTCCATTTATCATAAATATCGAAGCCTAAGTAAATTCTCAGTTTATCCCCAGCAAACTTCTTGTTCTGTGTTTTTTATATCAGAAACTGTTGTACGTTTGAAGTCTCTCACTTTTTCCACATCAGCTCACCATCAAGTTTATCTACATCAATATCAAGTGCTCCCCAACACAGATGTCAGACAATCTATGCGTGCAACCTTTGACATCATGTGAGGAGACAACCCTTAATCGTCGGGCTGTCAATTAATGACATCCTCAGATTTTTGTCCTTTGCGCGCCCCATGGGTGTTTTTCAAGGAATCCAGTACTCTTCTAGAAAGATTGGGTGTCTCTACTTTCCATATATACCAAAATTGCCATACTTTTAATGGAAAAAAACACCAAATAAATACTTTTGTGGGAAAGTATCTTTAATTTATTACTGGAAATCAATTTTTAAAAGTTAAAATTTTGATGGATGACCATATAATTGAGTTGACTGACTAATGAAGTAAATGCATGAAATATAAGTTATTACCAATATGCATGAAATATGATTTTATACTTATTACATGAGAGGGCATATTTAATTTCACTTTCATTTAAACTATATTGTTTTACTGTATGTAAATTTAAATTTCATTTATTGTATATTCCTGTTAATTTATTTTGCATTTGTGAAATATTGAAAGAATTTGTCAATTTAAAAATGTCTTGTCAAGACAAAATGAGCTATGTTTAAAATAGTACTTTAAAATATTGTACATTCCGTCCTATTATTATTTATATATACATGTATATATATTCTGTGATAATTGCTTTTACAGCTTACAAGTTACACAAATAAAATGAATTTAATTGGAGTTATTTTAAAGTTGTCCTTCAAGAATAATTGTCCTTCAGTGGATGTGCAGAAATTGTATTCCCTTTAGGGTGGGTAATGTTGATGGAATGATTAGGACATTTAATATCAATATCCAATTAGACATACCTCTGAATAGTTCAGTTTCATATGTGTAAAGTTGGAAATCTAATGATTTTGTTGTCTCACATGTAGCAGATATTGAAATGGACTCCTTTATCTCATGAATGTTCATGATGAGCATATATTGATAATTATTAAACTCTTGGATTTGATAATTTTGGGTTTCCATGGAAACATATTTTACATAGTTTTTTGAATGCATTTATTTTTCGGAAGCATATAAGATTTGTTTATAAAACTTTGTTTGCTCATAAATCCATTATAGTTGGTGCGCCCTTGTTCAGGCCTCAGGGGGATGGAAGATTGGTCAGTTTCTAAATAAGTGCCCACATTTTGCAAGAATTGGACGGAGAACAGGGAGAATCGGTAATCCTCACATTGTCTGAATAAGAACTAGCAGTTGCCAGGCAAGATACGCCCACATTTTGCAAGAGATACAATCAGGGCCCATAACAGAGGTGGATTCAATGGGGGGGGCGCGAGGGTTGCACGCCCCCCCTAATTTTCGACAGTGCCCTTTTTTACTGCTGAAAGTGCCTTTTCTCAGACTCAAATATGTCCGTTCCCAACCCGTTGTAGGGATCCCAAATGACTCAAACCATCGACTCAAACACACCAGTCTGGGAAATAGCTCTTGGAATGGCTACAGATGCAAGGAAATGACGGATAATTTTCTTGGGGACCCCCCCCCCCCCCCCTCAGCAGCGTGCCCCGTCTCCACGGTCAATGCCTTTATTTTGCAGCGCCCCCCCCTTTTCAAAATTCCTAGATCCGCCCCTGCATAATCCAGACAGTTATGGCCTGAAATACGCAAATATCGAAAGAGACTGAGGTCTTTGGGATATAAAGATATATTTTAAGTTTCATCATAATTGTGACCTCTAGAGTTTCCACAACCTTCGTATTACATATGGTGGAATGTTGATATATTTAAACAGTTTTTAAAATCGAATAAAACATTGTGACCTCTACAGAATACACAAGCTAAAAACCAAGATTTTTTGTACAATCAGGGGTCATAATACAGGAAGTTGCTCTGATATGCCCAAATAGCGAAAGGAACCAAGATCTTTGTTACATAAACATATTTTAAGTTTCATCAAAATCTGACAACAATTGTGACTTCTAGAGTGTCCACAACCTTGGTATGACATACTTTTACACTATTTACGTACAAGGAACCGACATTTTGTCAGGCAGTTTTGGTCCCATTTTCATGAAAGGGGATGTAACTCTGCAACTGAAGGGCCTGAATTGCTGAATATGAACCTAATGCTTCACACCAAATTTGACAAAAATCTGTAGCCTCTATCGCATTCCCAAAGCTTTCAGTAATGGGAAATGTGGCGTAATGCTGGTTATCGATAGGGTTCGTCCTACATGACACCAGAACATATGGTTAAAAACTGTAGCCTCTCGGTTAGCAATGATTAACAGTTAACCCCAATGATTCCAACCAAATTTGAAAAAATAAAACTGCCCCTCTATCACTTTTACAAGTTTTAAACAAAAGTGTGTGTTGGGGGGGGGGGGGGAGTAACTCCGGAATTGATGGTCGTATAATGCTGATTATCGACAGGGCTCATCCAGAGAACGATGAACGTTTTACGCCCTCATATTCCATGTCATCACGCTAGAAAACCCACCCTTTGTTACACTGTTTCGGGCCATAACAAAACAAGTCGTGGCTTGATGCGCACCAAAGTTTTTTGATCCTTAACATATATTTTTAAGTTTCATTTATATTGGACAAAAATTGTTGCCTCTGGCGGGCCACAACCTTGGTATATGTATCACGAGCTTTGACTCGATTTACGTAATGAGGAGTGGCAATTTGAACGCGAATTTAAGGTCCGATTTATAGCCAATTTGACGTCATCAGCGATTATTGTGAAATAAACATATATTTCAGCATTTTTTGAAAATAAAATAAAATTTCGGACCTCTAGCGGATACACAAGCTATGTAGATGAATGTCGTACAATCAGGGACAATAATCCAGGGCCCTGTTTCACAAAAACTTGAATCTCCTTAAAATCTTCTTAAACTAAAATTCCATCCTAACTTAAGATAGATGCGTTTCACAAAACGATTATAAGCATTTTAGATAAAATCCACTAAAATAATATTGTAAGTTAAAATTGTATCTTAACATAAAATAGTGGCGTTTCACAAAACTATTTTAGGGACAATTTTAAACATACATTATGCAAGAGCTAAATCTGTCTATTGCAGGTCTTTCTTTAGGCCTGAAATGTTATCTAAATTATTAATTAGACATTAATTAACCTATCCAGACCATAATCAACTCTAGATGGCATCGCTAGCCTGCGATTCTTAGTGGATTGTGAGTCGATTTACTGCATAACTTTCCTTCACGATTTAACGATTAAATGGATAATCGAGACTATGCTGTTTATCGTACTGACTTTAATAATAATGATGATCAAGGCTAGGCGGAAATTCAATCGCTTTGTTCTCGGTTCATAGTGGATCAATTTGAATGAAATTTTTAGCAAATTGCCTTTACATTATCTAGTTTTTAACTATTATAGTGAGAACTGTCGACTCGTTATCGAATCTCCCAGAATATATCTTTAACTAAAATCAATATTAACTTAGGACAGCCGTGACCCTCTCCTAACTTAAAATCACGACATTAATAAACATTAATTAGAGCTACGTTGTCAGATCTATTGCGACATATAGATATATTTGGAAAATGAAAATGAAATGAAATGGAGTTTAACGTCCTACTGTTCTGCTCCTAACCTGGGCTAATGAAGACGGGCATACGCCATACAGTGTGCTATGAGGGAAATTTTGCCCGGACAGCGGCACTACGGCCTACTCTTATATCGCATTCCAACTGCCAAGGGATCTTTTACGTGCACGCCAATGTGTACACGGGACCTCGGTTTTTCGTCCCATCCGAACGACTTGACAGCTTTCCTTGTCAGCCCCTCCGTACTGCATCACTGACAAGGGAGAACCACGCCGGAAAATCTGGATGAACTTCGGCCAATGCAGGCATAGAACACCCGACCTCGATATATTTGGAATAATGATAATATTGTCAATGGCCCGGGTTATATAATTTGAACACACTATCATTCACAAACATAATTTTCATTCAATTTCTTTTCATTGCATGAAAAATATAGCTGCGGTCCACCCGTTTATTGTATTGTAAGGGAATATAACAAAACGCCCGAGAGAGAGAGAGAGAGAGAGAGAGAGAGAGAGAGAGAGATGGGTTTAACGTCCACTAAACACAAACTAGGTCATTTCGGGACTAACAGATGGTTCAACTTTATTTGAATAATTCGCTTGCGCATAGGTGTCTTTAGTAGTGGGGGGACTCGGAGAAAACCCACGAGGTTGGACGGGCGACCATACTCCGTGTCACGTACAACCGGGGAATCGAAACCTCGCCAGTCCTATAATACTAGACACGCCATATGCAAAGTATTTATGGTTTTGGGGTTATGATGATTTATATAGGAGCCATGGGTATTTTATATTGGTAAATGTCATTTTAATTTACTAAGATAGATAGGCATTATCCAACAAGGAGTGTGGCACTTTGGCATTTTCAAAGTATTATTGAAAGGGTCCGTGGGACTGACAATTCAAATCTAGGTATCGGAACATTGGCTATTTCGTGTATTAGTTTAAAAGTTGTTAAATACTTTTAAAATTCGACAATACTTTAATCTAGATTAATCGTTTGAGTCAGAAATATCACATGTCTGACCATGTGCTGACATTGTTACAACGTATGAAATCCTCCTCATTTGTATTGTAACGGTTAGTTCAACCTGGCAACAGTTTTCAGTTCCGAAGCGTTTATGCTTACACCCTAAGTGCCCTCGCCGGAATTGTGCACTGCGCGGGCGCAAGCAATTTTAACTAAAATCTATTAAAATTGCATTTTAAGTTACAATCGATCTTCGTGAAACGCATAAAATTTAAAATTTCATTTTGATTTTAGTTAAAATCTATTTTAGTGATTTTAGTTTAAGTTTTTGTGAAACCGCAGGGCCCAGGAAGTTACGGTCCGTGCGTGCCAAAATCGAACCCATTAGAGATCTTAGTGATATAAACATAATATTCGCTCTTCAGTTTCATCAAAATTGGATAAAAAATGTGACCTGCAGAGTTTCCACGACCAAATGTAAACAGACAGACGGCGGTGTTCAATACATTTCTTTTTGACATGCAATCGCAAACACTACCAACGTGCCATATTGTTTAAAATACTTCACAAATAAAAACCAACATTGATCCCATCAGCAACTCATACATCTTTTTATAAAACGACATTTTACCCATCCAAAATTAAACCAATGTTAAACTACCAAGTCATAAAGAAAGAATAAACACTCATTTTACTGTAACCTGTCTTTGCCAAAAAATAAAACAGTATTATTAATCGTTCCCTCCACTTCATCCATCACTTTTACTGTTTTGAATAAAAAAAAAAATACCATTAATTAAATGGGTAGTAGATAGCAACCTATTTCCATGGTTGTTATTCGAAATAAAACCTATGGACTCAACCCATGGAAATAAGTTGCTATCTGACAAAAACTATTTGAGCATGCGAAATTCAAAGTTTGTGGTTATTGGAGGGTAATATAAAAGCCTAATAACTTTACAGAAGGTTAGTGATCGACTTATTGTGGCTGGTATCCAATTTTCTCTTATTTCAAAACGTTTGCAGTTTGCAACAATTCCTCAGTTAGCCTCGTATTGAAATTGTCAGGGGCGGACTGGTAGCTCTATTTCTTAGGACCTACTGGTTTCGATGGGCGGTGACGAATACTTGACATAACGAGAAAACGAAACTAGTTCCATTCACTA